TTAGGAGTACAGCTATTTAAAGTTTTTGCAGTTTCATGTAGACGTATTGCACTAATAATGAAGTTCAGCTCATTCGTTCAATCAGCCTTGCGCGCCTGTCAGACATGTGGAACTGTTTCCCGCGCAAACAGGCGGAACCATGATACACACGCGCTGCGGAAATGCCGTAAACGCGGAACCATGCTCACGAGACTGTCTGCCGACAGTGCGGCGGCCTGCACCACAGCAGTGAAAGGGGAGCGAATGCCTTGTCCTTGAGCCATGTGATGCTTCAGCCCACCACTCGCTTCAGTGAACCCCTCAAAACCGCTCTGGATCTCTCTTTACATTCCCTGAACTACTTCAGTGAGCTTCCCTAACCACTGCCTGGATATCATTCCCTACGTTCTCGCTCAGACTCCTAGACATTAGGGCGTGTAACTTTTTCTGTTTACGTCAAAAGTACGGTCGGAGCCCCCCAACGTACGGACGGGCCCCGTCCGTACGTTTGGGAATGTGGTAAGGACGTGGAGCCGTCCGTACCACATTTGTGGAACTTTTTCTGTTCTCGAAATTTAAAATACATGCGACAGGTAACACACATTACCACGGTCGCAACCCTCTCGTCAAAGTCGCCCAACTCGAATCCGCGCCCCGACAAGGTGCCACGTCAAATTCGGTTGGCAATCGGGCGTGGGAAATCGAGTCGCACAGAAAGCTGCGATTCTGATTTCGTGCGCCAATGGGATGCCAGAACAGTAAGACAGTACGGACGGCTGTCCGGACAGTGTCAGAATGGTTGAACGGACGCTGGGGAGGTGTGAAAGTGACAGTTTTGGTACGGACGTTGGCGACGTCGCACGGGATGTGGCGAAATCGTTGACGAAGATGGGCGAATCTAGTAACCCCTTCAAAGTCCGTACGGGCCCCCGTCCGTACTTCATAAAGAGAAAAAGTTACACGCCCTTAGTCTCGTTCGGTTTCTTAGAATCCATGGCTGTCGCCTGAAGTTCCGCTACCAACCATCAACTAGGTATAGATATTAATCTTAAACTTTGATAAGTTGTAGTATCTCTTGAAGTTGGAGTTTCGTGGTCTAGCGTGATCCGTGGATTCTCACAGCTCGGCTCGTTTTCTCAGCTAGTTGTCTACCGTTATCGCAATCATAGTCATAATCGTATTTGTTTATAATATAGTGCTACTACGTTCGCTTAGGTTTGCGAAGAACTAGCATCAGGTCGTTTCCCGACAAGCACCATGGTAGTATCATTGAGAAATTTCTGTTGAAGGCTGTCGGATGCGGTTCGTGACGTGAAGTTTCGCGAGGTGAATCCGGTTATTCTTGATGCGTGTCAGCTCTTCTTCAGCTCCTTAGAACATGGTTCACTTGGCGACGGCTATACAGCTGTTTCAGACTGACGCCGTTCATGTGCACGGCGGCGACAAAGACGATAGATTCTTACATCGGAACCGGTGATACGAGACGTTTTCTTTGGACGGCGAGTTCTGTTGACGACGATAGAGATGATGACTGCGACAATCGAGGCATTTCTGACGGCAAATATTCCGATGAGAGCACCTCTAACGGTGACTCAACGTCTTCTGACAGTGAAAAGTAGTAGTTCCGGGAGTTCTGAGGTGACGATTATCTTCTCACGGTGGCGGTTGATGTCTTCTGATCATGGGTTCGAGTATCATGGAGATCCGACGGCGACGAACGGTGACGGGGAGGTTTCACGTTGATGACGGCAGCTGCGTTGAAGGCGAAGGCGAAACCGATTCGGAAAAATCTGAGGGAGTTGGTGAGCAGGGCGATTCCGATGCGGTGTTCTGATGGCGACGATATCATGCGCCTGCGGAGTTTTGGACGGTGACGATTGGAGCCTTTGTAATTGGGACGATTGAACATCGGCGAGACGCAAGCTCACGTTGCCGACTGGATGACGATCGAGACGCAAAATCTCGTTCATGACTGCGAACGCACGATTAGGTCGGCGTATTCTGATGTTGAAATCGCGAGATCTTACAGCGACGACGATTGACGATTTCGTGCTGACTGCGAGTTCTGACGGTGACGTGGCGACTTCAAGACGGCGAAATCTCACGTTGCCGACTAAGATGTCGACGATCAAGACAGAATGGTGGAAGGCTGACGACTGCGATGTGTTCGTCGATGCTGACGGTCGAGTTGCCGTTGATGCTGTCGTATCGTCGCCGGTTATTGTGATGACGGCGACGATAGATGGTGGTGAAGGCGAAATCGACGCTCAATGCGACGGCGAAGGCGATGACGAAGCATCCTGTTGGGTCTTGGAACGTCGGCTGCTGCTCCCGTCGCTCAGCAACCCCTCATACCGCTAAGTCCCCTCCTCACACCCTTACTCGCTCCCTTGCCATTCTGTCTTTGGATTATTCTCTTAACGCTTTGATTTCTCATTGCATGCTCGTAACCACAACGTCAATTCCGCAAGGCGATGGTAGCACATGTCACTGGGGCGGCTTGAGCTCGTCCTAGAGTCCTAGGGGGGTAGAATGCTCGCGTCTCCTTCTTACCTCGTCCCCCTTGCCCGCTAGCTCGCCAACCTAGTGCCATGGGCTACCATCGCCTCTCTGTTTTCACTGCATCCTTCCACCTTGTTCTCTCTTTTCAAGTCTTCCAGTTTTCCCTGCCTTTGCTTCATTTGTCGCTTGTGATCCTTTTCCATGGCTTTATTCTATCCTCAACCAGTTTCCTGCATGCATCCCGTGTCCTCTATTCTCATTCTCGCCAGCCCATGCCGTTGTTCCAGGAGGGAGGGCAGTGGGATGACGCACGGCCTGCGTCCTGCATGCCCTGCTGACCACGCCACTCCTTCACGCGCCAAACGAGCTCCACTGGCGCTGCTGCTGCTGGGAGGGCTGCTGCTGGGAGCGACTGCTGCTGCTTCCGTCGCTCAACCCGTCGTACCGCTGCTAAGTCACCTCTTAATCCCCTGACTCACCCTCTTGCCATCCTGACCGCTTTCTGTCCTTGCTTTATTTTCGTAACGCGTTTTTCTCTCACCGCATGCTCGTAACCAAAACTTCGTTTCTGCATGGGAGGGGCAAAAAGTTGAATTGGGGGTTTCTGGCGCGTGGCGATGGTAGCACATGGCACTGGGGCGGCTTGAGCTCGTCCTAGAGTCCTAGGGGGGTAGAATGCTCGCGTCTCCTTCTTACCTCGTCCCCCTTGCCTGCTAGCTCGCCAACCTAGTGCCATGGGCTACCATCGCCTCTCTGTTTTCACTGCATCCTTCCACCTTGTTTTCACTTTTCAATTCTTCCAGTTTTCCCTGCCTTTGCTTCATTTGTCGCTTGTGATCCTTTTCCATGGCTTTATTCCATCCTCGACCAGTTTCCTGCATCCCGTATCCTTTATTTTTATTCTCACCAGCCCATGCCCTTGTTCCAGGAGGGAGGGCAGTGGGATGACGCACGGCCTGCGTCCTGCATGCCCTGCTGACCACGCCACTCCTTCACGCGCCAAACGAGCTCCACTGGCGCTGCTGCTGCTGGGAGGGCTGCTGCTGGGAGCGACTGCTGCTGCTTCCGTCGCTCAACCCGTCGTACCGCTGCTAAGTCACCTCTTAATCCCCTGACTCACCCTCTTGCCATCCTTATCGCTTTCTGTCTTTGGTTCGTTTTCGTAACGCGTTGCTCTCTCACCGCATGCTCGTAACCAAAACTTCATTTCCGCATGGGAGGGGCAAAAAGTTGAATTGGGGGTTTCTGGCGCGTGGCGATGGTAGCACATGGCACTGGGGCGGCTTGAGCTCGTCCTAGAGTCCTAGGGGGGTAGAATGCTCGCGTCTCCTTCTTACCTCGTCCCCCTTGCCCGCTAGCTCGCCAACCTAGTGCCATGGGCTACCATCGCCTCTCTGTTTTCACTGCATCCTTCCACCCGCTTTTCACTTTTCAGTTCTTCCAGTTTTCCCTGCCTTTGCTTCATTTGTCGCTTGTGATCCTTTTCCGTGGCGTTATTCCATCCTGACCAGTTTCCTGCATCCCGTATCCTTTATTCTCATTCTCACCATCCCATTCCCTTGTTCCAGGAGGGAGGGCAGTGGGATGACGCACGGCCTGCGTCCTGCATGCCCTGCTGACCACGCCACTCCTTCACGCGCCAAACGAGCTCCACTGGCGCTGCTGCTGCTGGGAGGGCTGCTGCTGCCCATGCATGCATGTGCCATGCATGTTGCAGTGCATGCATGTGCCATGCATGTTGCAGTGCATGCATGTGCCATGCATGTTGCAGTGCGTGCATGTGCTATGCATGTTGCAGTCCATGCATGTGCCATGCATGTTGCAGTCCATGCCTGTGCCATGGATGTTGCAGTGCATGTCTGTGCCATGCCTGTGCCATGCATGTTGCAGTGCATGTCTGTGCCGTGCATGTTGCAGTGCATGCCTGTGCAGCACCAACAGTCCTTTCCTCGTTGACCATATTCCCTCCGATCGTATTCCCTCTCCAGCCCCCTCAGAAAAGTCCCTCCTGTCCAAAAACGTCCTGCCTCCCAACCCGTCTGGCCGCACTGCAGCAGGGCCAACAATAACAAGCTTGTAGTCTTACAACAGCTATCCCCTTCCACCCATCTCCCTGTTACCTCCTTATCCCTGCCTGCAGTGACCCCTGTGCCGGAGCGGTGGCGATGCTTCTTTCCCCAATACGCCCTCCCCTTCGCCTCTTCCCCCTTCTTCATTCTAAACACCGTCTTTGATGACGCTTCTTTCCTGATTGGTAAGCAGCTTCCCAACACCACCAACCCTGTAGCATGTCTTAAAAAAATGATTCAGTCGCAACCAAACATGTTGGCTTCATTACGATCACACTTGTTTAGACCACCATTAGAGGGTGTCGGCAGTTGGTGCACAGAAAGAGAGTGCAGTGCTGCACAGAGTACAGCCTTGTCGGTGTTCAATAGCATGGTCCAATTGTTAAGGTTCAAGAAAGGGTTTGGTGCCTTCGTGCCATTGCGGCTTGTAGCGCACAAAATTTTATCTTCATGGCGATGGAGTTTTGTGAGAAGCTTCAAGACTTCGGTCCAGGTAGCTGTAGCTCGATGGGTGGCCCAAGGGGCTACTGATGCATCATTGGTTGACCATTTGTTTTTGGAATCTTGAGATAGTGTTTGCTAGGAGGAAATTATTAATGTTGCTGTTGTGTGAGAACTCCTTAGGTATCTTGTTATATTCTGCACCTTATCCTTGATAGTGAAGTTTTAGTCGTTTGTTATCGTGATCAGAATAAATGTTTGGCTGGTTTGATGGAAGCGCAACATTAGTGATGTCGCGAATTGCGCTACGCCATGTCATCACAACACTTCCTCGGGCGCTCCGCGATCATCGTTACTTCTCCAAGTCGCGTACTGTAACAAGGTTGGTCAGGTCACTGTCGTCCCCGGGGAACCCTGGTTGGGGTTCCGCAAACTTGGAAGGGATCGCATCGATCGCATGTATTCGCGATGGCCCAGCCCTGGGTGTTCGCTGTGTACCCTGTGTTCGTTGATTACAGAACAGTACTCACGTTTCGCAACTGGTAAAGAACCACGTCAGCGGCAGATGTGTCAACTTTTCGAACCATCCCTTGGGGCCACAATCAAGCGCAGCGCATTCGAGCAAATTCCGCGACGCGGCAATTCGTGCTTGAACGTCCCACATCAACCCGTAATCCGACGATTCACAAGGGCATTCAGCCCCTCTTTTCACAAGGGCACTCACAAATCGCCTCGACAATTTCCCGCACCGCTACAGACAGTCGGCGCCCAGGACTTGGTGGGGCGAGGTTGGTCGTTCTGCCCCCTAGTGTCCTCGCCATGTCGGTTGTTAGGCTACTGAAGTCTCCAGCAGAAGGCTGGTTGAACGTACCGCTAGGTCGCGGGCCGCGGTACAAGAAAGCAGACCTGTCCGAAATCGGCTGGTGCTGGAGGGTGGCCGCTCGCGCCGACTAAGGCGCATGCGCATTCTTGACTGTACGGCATGATGATAACCCACTTCACATGGAAGATTGAGAAGCCAGTAATTGACAACGCAGATCTAGGCGCGCGTCCCGGCGCTGGTTCTGAGTAACCAGCAGTGACTATTCGGTCGCGCAGTGGGATGGAATTTGGATTTTGTGATTCCGCAAACTAGGTTGCTTTGGCCTCTCCTTGCAATCGGCTTGTCAAACATATCGAGGAGAGTTGAGAAGGTGGTGAGCTAAAAGGAAGTCGCGAGTTAAATAGAGAGCGAGGAGGGATTAGGAGGGGCGAGGAGTGGCGGGGCGAGCTAGAAAGGGCGAGGAGGGGCTAGGAAGGGCAAAGAGGGGCGTATAGGAGCGTAGAGGGGCGAGGAACGGTGGGAAGAGGCGGGGAAGTGCAAGATGGAAGCGCAGCCAGCGATAGAGAGACGGCGGGAGGCGCGGGACCGATCCGCGCGAGAACGATCGGCGCGAGAACGATCCGCGCGATGGCGACCATTGTTGGGGCTGTGCTTGTGCTTGACCTTCGCCCTCTTGCTCATAGGCCTCGCGGAAGCTTCTAGTAGCAGCGCAAAAAGCAGCGGAAAGAGCAGCGGTAAGGGGAGCGGTGGAAAGGGGAGCTCGGGAGGCAAAGTTAAGGCGAGCGCGAATGTCACCGCGATACCAGGCAATGGCGGGATCGCGCGGCTCGTTCTGCTGCGCAACAATTCCTTCGGCGCGAAATGCCTCGACGGCAGGTGCGGAAATTTCTGCTCGCAGATTTGGCTATTGGACGTCTCCATAATCAGTCTGACCTCGATAACTGCTTCGACTCTGAACTTCCGACAGAAAGAGAGAAACAACTATCGAGTGCGCACTCCGGCCATTGTCACCCTTCTATTAGGAAACCAATTTCGCAACAATCCGTTCTGCTGTCGCGGTTTCCCTGGCGCGCGCCCCTCCCCGCAGCCCGCCGGGGTACTACCGCCGCGTGGGCTACGGCAATGGCGGCAGTATAGTCACGCTCGTGCCCTTTCCAGAGCACCACGGTTGCTTCCTTTCCTTTCGCCGTTGCTTAACGGTAGCGTATTGTCGATGTTTTCCTTTACGCCATGTCCTCCTGACAGCCCGCCTGGTTACTACCGCCGCGTGGGGTACGGCAACGGCGCCAAGTCGTGGCACATCCACTTCCCTGGCGGCGGATGGTGTGCGACGCGCGACGAGTGTGCGGCGCGTGCGACGACGTTTCTCGGATCGACGAAGTACATGCCGCAATCGTCGCAGGTGAGCGGGATTTACACGCGAGAGCGTGACAGCAATGGAGCGGGCGAAAACTAGTGGGTGCGCAAAGACGCGAGCGGCGAATGACAAAATCTCACACTTTGCAATACAAATCGGTCAAAACCGAGAGGCTCATATCAGACAGACATATCGCGGCACCACCGCACCCATCTCTTCCCTCTTTCCTTCAGGGATCATGGGTGGGGGAGCAGCTGACGGGAATTTTGTCTTCCCGTCAGCCGGAGAACAGGCTGTTTTACAACTGGAACCTCGCGCTCCTCGCCTACTGCGACGGAGGGGGCTACGCGGGCAGCGCGGGGAGGGTCGCAGTGAAGGGCAAGGGGAAAGGCGGCGCGCTGTTCATGCAGGGCGACGCGATCGTTAAAGCCGTTCTCAGTGGTATGCGTGATAGTAGGCGATTTGGCGGTTATAATCCTCATAGCTGCGTGTGGGGCGTAGAGCGTGCTTGTCCCAAACATAGTGAGTACGAACCAGCATGCTTGCTCCCTGACATTTACCTCTCTGCCGCTGGTGAATGCCACCTGACATTTACCTTTCTGCCGTGAATCCAGCACTCCCTTCTGCCCATAAAAGTCCCCGTCTCTCTCCATCTCCATCTCATCAACCTTGTCCCTTCTCCCCTCTCTCTTCTCCCTTGTCCCTCCTTCCCTCCCGGCTCCTTTATTCCTCCCTCTTCCATCCTCCCTTCTCCCTTCTCCCTTCTCCCCCTCCCTTCTCCCTTCTCCCTTTTCCCATTTCCCTTCTCCCCTCTCCCTTCTACCCCTCCCTTCTCCCCTCTCCCTTCCCCCTTCTCCCCTCTCCCTTCTCTCCTCTCCTTCTCCCTTCTCCCCTTTCCCTTATCCCTTCGCGCTTCTGCCTTCTCCCTCCACCTTTCTCCCCTCTCCTTTCTCCCTTCTCTCTTCTCCTCACTCCATTCTCCCCAGTTTCCTCTCCGTTCTCCCCTCTCCCTTCTCACTTCTGTCTCCTCCCTTCTCTCTTCTCCCCTCTCCCATCTCCCTTCTCCCCTTCGCTGTTCCGACTTCTCCCTTTCTCCCTTCTCCCTTCTCCCTTCTCCCTCATTCACTCTCACATCTCCCTTCTTCCTATCTCCCGTGTCCCGACTCTTCTACCCCTTCCCCTGTCTCCCTTCTCATGACACGCAGACCTCAGCGGGACGCAGAACGGCTTGGCAGCGGCATCGCGAATTCTCATCTCAGGCTGCTCTGCGGGAGGCTTCCCTGTCACGCGCATATGCGACTCCGTGGCCGCCGCTCACCCCAACGCCAACGTCAAGTGCCTCATTGACGGCGCGTTCTTCCTAGGTAAGAGGGCAGGGCGGTATTGTTTGAGCCAGTCAAGTGCCTCAGCAAGGGTGCGTCTTTCCTAGGCAAGAGGGCAGCACGCTAGAAACTCTGGGACATCTCAATTTACAGAGCTAATTAAGTGCCCCATTGATGGTGCGTGCTTCCTGCGGTAGAGCCTATGGGACAGAATTTCAGGTGCCAACGTCAAGCGCCTTGCCATGATGGCGATGCGTTCTTTGTGGCACGTGGACTGTGTGCTACCCGGGCTGCTAGCAGTTCACGTGGGGTGCGAATGGCGGCTTCCCGGCCCTGTTTGAGAATTTTCAAAAGCAACTGAGCTCTGTCCCACCTGCCCTCTCCCTCTCCCTTTTCCCTCCAGATGCGAGGGACCGGCAAGACAATTTCACTTTCAGGTCAACTCTACAGAGTGTTGCTTCCCTGCATAGATTCACCGACAGCAAATGCAGCCAATGTAAGCACCAATTGTTACAGTCACACACAACACATTGCTTTTATATTCTCTATTGCTGATTTGTTCTGTTTTGTTTGTGCTTATAGCTGTAGGTGACGAACCATGGAAGTGCATGCTTCCAGAATACTCGTTAAAGGCAGTCTCAAGGCCATTGTTTGTCACCAACGCTCTATTCGACTACACCGCCCTTCAACTGTATAACCTGCTGCGGAATACCACATTTCAAGTCAACAACAGGTGCCTTCGGCAAATCATATGGGAGCAGAACGACCTACCCAAGGCTGTGGCTGCCGACCAATGGAAGCCCTTCAATGCAAAGCCCGGAGAGTGTGACTCTACGTCGCGCACTAAAATACAGTCTACAGTTTCAGATTTGTTCACAAAGCTAAAGAGCTTGGTGGGTAGCGAGAAAAACGTACTGGCGTTTCTAGCGACGGACTGCGTGGGCCATTGTGTAACCACTACATCTCAGTGGTTCAGCCCCACGCATAATAGTACAGTCATGAAAGACGCTGTGGTACGATGGTTCAAGGGAAAGCTTACAGGAGGAAAGCTCTATTTCTGACTTGGAGTGGCAGCCTTGTTGTGCAAGTAAAGATAGTACTTAGGTTGTATTTTTATTGTATCCACTAAAATAGGTGCCACGGATGTTGATATTTGATATTTGATATTTGATAAGGCGGTAGCATAGCATCTCATTGTGCATGTTAAAGCAAACGAAAATTGTGTTGATGGAAATGCACTGTACAATATGCAGCATCCGCTGGTGTACCTGAAAGCGGGTAGCATTCAGTACCTGTACATGACATTTGGCTTTTATTGGTGAGTGAAATAGTGATTCTCTGTCCATACGTTTATATGTTCTTTCAGTTAATACTTTGCGCTTTCCCAATGTATCTCTTCCGAGATTGCTAACGACGAGGAAAAGTTCGTCTTGAATGGAATCGGGTTTGCGTCGCGGGAGTTCATATTCCCGCCATCCCACCCGTACCGCAGCAACCGCGAGGAACCACGACACTCCATCAAGCTATTTGTGTGCCGGGTATTGCGCCACTTCTTTTGAGACTTATTCCGAGTCGCAATTCAAAATTCACTCTCGAGCCGCTCGCACCTGACCATACCGGCGCAGTTCTCATCATTTGTCCGCGGCAGATTCAATGCTCGCCAATGTCGTTACGCACCCTGACGAAGCAACGAAGTTACAATTGCCACATCCACACGATTTCATCTCGTTTTGCGATTCATTTCTCGGCGCAAACGAAAGCGAGGGTTGATGGTTCGGCGACATTGTTTCACACGGAGACAAGGGACGGATTTCATCATGGCTTACTTGTGCAGCTCAGTCAAGCGCGATCACCCCTCTTCATATCGCTCGCGAAGGGTCGAATATCCTTGGCTCGCGTTTCCAAGGCACAGACACCGACCGGCGGCAAGCATACTAATCATTTGTCTGTCTAAAACAGTACTTTCCTAAGAATTTCGCGCTTTGAAGTGCCTTGTGGGATAAATTTCGTAACTTGTGGGAAACCCCCCGAGCAAGTTTATGTAGGGGAAGTAGGCCTAGTGCACGAGAAAATCAGGGGTCAAATGATTCGGATGCGGTCTGTGCTTGGGAACGCGATGTCGGGCGTGTGGCCGAAGCTCTCATCCCATCATCCACGCGCATTCTTTCCCCCGCATGGCACATCCTAATCAGGATTATTCGGTACCACACACGGTTCTTCCTAGTCCTATTGGCCATGCCCCACCCCATCCCCCCCTCCCCACCGACGAGCTTTTGGCGGTTGATTGAGTACATACATACGAAGACCCTTCGCCAATATCACTCTTTCATGTAGTCACAATCCATCGGTATCCGCCTTCGTTTATAGCTCACAGTCAACTCCTCTTATCATGCGCTTCGGAGCTGTAGAAAGGCCGTAGGCTGCCCTACCACGCTCGATGAGAACGTGGTAGCTACGCTGCTTTAGGCTACGCTGCTCTAGGCTACGCTGCTCTAGGCGATGCTGCTTAGTCTCGTGATCACCAAGCACCTGACTCCACCACAAGTGTCTTGGTTGCCAGTAGAGTCCATCCGTTGCTTACCTTCACGATCTAGTAACCTTTAAGAAATCCACTGAACGCCATCCAAAAGTCTTTAGGAAATGGCAGCAGCAGCAGCAGCAGCAGCGGCGGCAGTCTGTTTAGCCGTGACGCTCCTAGCGCAGGTATCAGCAGCTGCCGAGTCTGCGAGTGCATCGTCGATGGGTCCGATCCCGTCGGGCGTGCCCAACACGAATCTCTACCTCCTGCCGAACAACGACCTCGGCGCGAAATGCCTCGACGGCAGGTAGGACTTCGAATCGGCTCAAAAATCACTGTCGGGTATTCCCAATACGAATCTCCACCTCCTGCCCACGAGGTCCGGTAGTTACGCGGGGCGGGTCTATGCCCGATGGGCGTTGATCCGGCTAGGCGTCGCGAACACGACTCTACGGTTTAGATCTTAGCAACGGCCTCCGCGCGACAATGCTTCGACATCTCAGAAGTTCTGACGTTTCGTGGTGATCTCCGCGGGCGGATTCGTCGCCTTATCTCATAAACGTTTTCATGAAGTCCGGTGTTGTATGTCATAGGCTCTACCCCCGCGCGCCTCCCCTTCCCCCCCACCTTCCGCTCTTCCCCTCCATCTTCCCTTTCCTGTCCGCGTTCCGCCCCGCAGTCCCCCCGGTTACTACTTCCGTCCGCGCAGCGGCAGCGCACCAAGTCGTAGCACATTCACCTGCCCATCGGCAGGTGGTGCGCAACGGTGGAGGACTGCGCAACCTCTGGGCAATTTTGAGACGTCTCAACATGTAACCCACCCCTCCGCCTACCCCGCTTTCCCTCCCTCTATCCCCGCTCCCCCCACCATCCCCCCCCCTTCCCCTCCCCCGTCCCACCCTTCCGCCTTCCGCCCCGCAGTCCCCCGGGTTATTACTTCCGGCCGGGCAGCGGCAGCGGCGCCAAGTCGTGGCACATTCACCTGCCCATCGGCGGGTGGTGCGCGACCATGGAGGACTGCGCGGACCGCGCCAAGACGCCGCTGGGGAGCACGCGCATGCAGTCGGACAAGAACTGGCGCTGGTCGAAGTTTCTCAGCAAGGGGATGATGAGCCCTCTGGCGAAGACTAATCCATTGTTTTTCAATTGGAATTATGTCATGCCCGTGTATTGCGACGGAGGCGGGTTTCAAGGGAGGGCGGGGTTGAGATCGGTGCAGGGCGGTCCGTCGCTGTACCTCGACGGTCGAAAGGTTCTCCGTGCGATTCTTAGAGGTGAGCAAGCGTGTGTTCTGGGTTGCATTCTTGGGCACGTTTGCTTAAGCTAAAGCGTGTGTGATGTCAATCAGGTGTTCCGCGAGTGCCAAAAAAAAAGTCCCAAAACGCTTCAGGTTTTTAGAAGTCCCAAATAATAACTTCAGAAACGCGGAACGTTCCGACAATCGATGCAATAATAGCTGTCGCCCGAACGTCCATTGCTCTCCACATTGCTATTTCCAGCCTTTCCAGCCTTTCCTACCTCATTCTCACTTCTCTGCCTTCTCATTCCCCTGCCCTTTCCAATTCCACGCCCTCCCATTCCCCCTTCCATTCTCACTAATCCGCCTTCTCATGTCCCGTTTTTCCGTGTCCGTTACTGTCGTCCGCCGCCCGGACAGATGTCATGGCGACACGTGGCATGTCGTCAGCCACTCACGTGCTTCTATCGGGAGCATCGGCGGGCGCGCAGGCGGTAACGACCTTTTGTGACTTTATCGCGGGGCAGCTGCCAGGCGCCACCACCAAGTGCCTTATGGACTCGGGCGTGTTTGTCGGTACGCCTAAGCCTACGGTTCTGCACACATTCATTTGTGACAATCGGAAACTGTTTTGAGACGTGCCAAAACACTTCTTCTATCACGTTCGCCACCACCGCGTGCCTCATGGACTCGGGCGTGTTCGTAGGCAGCACGGATTTAAAGAGTCTTTTGTGACTGTATCGGGAAGTCTCGCTCGTTCACTCCCTGCTCCATGCCCCGTTGCTGCATTTATTCAACTTGGAGCAACCCACCTCCCCCTTCCCTCGGTCCCCACCATCCGCCTCTCCCTCTTCTCACCCTCCCTCCCCCTCCCCCACGACCTGATCTCCCCGTGGGCGCGGGCAGATGCGCGCGACCGCAAGGGCGGGCGGAGGTTCCGCTCAGTGGCGCAGAAGCTAGTGGCGATACACCAGTTCCAGGGGAGTGACCGCTGCAGCACAGGTGCGCACTTTCCCCACCGTTCCCCTCCGTTCCATTCCCCCCCGATCTATCCACCTCCGTTACCTTCCTCCCTGTTCTCCCCCCCGTGCCCCGTCCTGCTCTTCCCCCTATTCCCCCGTCATGGCTTCCCCCCACATTACTTTCCTCCATCATTCTGGCTCGCATTCACTCGACTTGCCAATGGAAGCAATGGCGCTCATAGGATGAGATTATTCCCCTTTCCATCCTCATGTGCCTTTCCTCATGTGCTCTGGCCCTTCCATTCTTCTCCTCCTTCACATTCCCCTCTCCTCCCCACCTGTATTCCAATCAACCCTCCCCAGCACACCTACCCCCTCCACCAAAGCACGTCTTCGAAGCACCTCATCGTGCATCAAAACTGATGCAAAACCATCATCTCTTGTCGATCTCTTACAATGCATCCAACCACCGCTGTTGTCCAGATTACAATAAACCCTTCCAGAAATCATATCCTGTTCAACCATCCTCTCTCCCTCCCTCTCCCCCTCCCTCCTCTCCAATCCAGAGTACAACTCGAGCACTCAGTGGCGCTGCTTCTTCCCGCAGTTCTCCCTGTGCTTATTCTTGTGGCGCTTAAAAAACGGATTCCTACCATCCCATCACCCTTTCTCCTCCCCTCCCCAATCCAGAGTACAACTCGAGCACGCAGTGGCGCTGTTTCTTCCCGCAGTACTCTCTCCGCTTCGTCTCCCACCCCGTCTTCATCGCCAACTCCCTCTTCGACCGTCACGCCGCCGTCATCGGCAACCAAATGCCGCTCGATTTCACCTACGCTGACACGTGCCTGACAGAGCTCCTCGCACAGCCAATCACAGTCAGCCAGCTCCAGAGCAGCAACATGAGGAGCGTGATTCCGGTCGCGCAGAAACCGATGCAGCACTGTACGGACGCAGAGAGGGATTCAGTGCTGAATGTTGCAGTGAATGTGCTGGATACTGTGGAAACGTACATAAAGAGCCACCCACAGTCGGCGGCGTTTCTGCCTGGGACAGATGATCATGGGTTCACGTTTGTTGGTCTTTGGAGTAAGATGGATCTCAAAGGGGCTAGGATACGGAATGCAGTTAGGGCGTGGTATAGGGGGTCGGGGCTTAAATCAAATCTGATTTATTCATAAGTAGGAGGCTCATACGAAATGTATGCAAGATGCCTATTCTGGTCAGTGTACCTCTTAGCTAATATCGTCTAAAATAGTTTCCTCCTGAAGGATGGCAGTATGGCTCACTGTGCTAGAGGAGAACAGCCACCATCTGCTTATCACGGCTCAGTTATGGTACTGCAGAACGAGGTCATTGTTAATAGTGGAATGAACGACTGTTGTGCTTCAGCTTACTCACGTGTCTTGTGCTGATTCCCATCTTTTTGTCCTATCAGGACTCAGTTGCGTGTAGCCTCTTTACTAACAAGTAAGCTGCCTCAAAATGCTCAAACCATTATCCTGTCGGGTCGCAATGATACTAGAATACGTAGGGAGGAGATAAGAATCAAGGTATGTTTTCTAGAGATTATTATTCTAGCCTCAACTTGAGCAACCAGCATCACTGTTGCACAGTTGCCTACGGTATATTGGGTCTGATTTATTAACTGAACTGAGGAAGGAGTTGCAATCACGCTTTACGTAATTATCTATGTTTCTGTATAGGTGCGTTTTATGGAGTCGCAATTCTGTCTATCGATGTCATAGGAAGATGATTTCGATCTCCGATGAATCAGAGAATGACTCACCTTCTGCCGTTGCCAGATCAACTCCAGCGTCATATGGCCCTTGCAACGAATCACATTCCTTTCCGATAAGTTCAATCACGTGCGAGTCTTTTGTCGATTCAATCATTGCGATTGCTGGTCTGTTCAACAGCAGAAACTTTTTGCTGCTGATGGTTCTGGAGCATCTTTCAAACTTTGTAGCAAGTTTTCGCGACATTCTGCATGTTCTGGGAACACTGCACAGCTGCTGAAACCAAGCAGTCTTATATTTTAGTGATACAGTGGTACAGAATTCAAAATTCCCAATCCAAACTATCTTGGAAATCAGCGTGAGCTGTATTGTGGAAATTCTCGCCCAACGTCATCATAAACTTGTGTCTCCCTGTCATTCGGCGAGCCACCTCGGGAAGATTTTCGGATAAGGTGTGGTCGTGCTTCACTCGTCGTCAAAATGGAAGCGCGCATGCCTGCGCGCATGTTTTCCGACTTTCTCCACATTCCCCCCCAGTTCCCCCTAACTGTTCCTCCTCTCACCAAATCTTCCTCAGCCCCAACCTCGCTTCCCCCCACCCCCAGAGACAACTTTCCCCGCCCGGACCCCGACCCCCTCCTTACGCGCAGCACGGCACCCAGCACCACACCACCAGACCCCTTTTCCATTTCCCCGCTTGTCCAATCAATGACTGCGGTGCTGCAGAAGAATCTCCGCCACTGTTCCCCATAATGCTGCTCCGCGTATCAACGGCTCTCAATCAAGTCGTGGCATGGCGGTCAACCCTCCTCTGTTGCGTTTCCGCTGGGGCCCAGGTCTGACTGGCTGGGGAAAGGCAGACCATGGAGGTTGGGGAAAACTACAATGGGTTAGAATGGGTCTGGATGTGTACACAGGGTAGGTTCGGCACTAGTTTGTGGGTGGCTTCGTCTGGTCTTTTCCATTCGTCCCCCTCTTGCTTCATCCATGCCCCGCCACTATAGCTGCCGTCAGTCACGCCACCATAGCCTTCCGTCCTCGCTTCCTCCCGTGCCCTTTCTTCCTCGCACGATTTCTCAATCTCGCTTGCAAAAGGTGCTGCACCGAAAAACATCTGAGCTCACTTTCCACATTCAACTTGCCACGCGAGGGAAAACCAGGATTGCAAGGTAACACGGGATTCCTCCCTGGCAACCGCCGGTCCCTGGTGTTCTCGTCTGGTCGTGTCTTTAGTCGCATCTAAGCCCACCCTGGACGAACGGCTCTGCGCGTTGGGTTCAGTTGCTTATCAGCGGGCTACTTAATCATTAGTCGATTCCCACAGTAGCCAGCACGAGCTGGAAGCCATAGGTCGCTCGTGTCTCCAGTCCAGAGCACCGAGCGTTATCCAGAACGCTGCACCCTGCAGCGGCGGCTCGGTCGCTCGGCCTCTCAAGCCCCGCAGCTCAGTCGCTCCCGTCTCTCCGCAGCGCGCTTCCCGGTGGATGAAGCCGTCAGCGGACCTATCGCCGTCCTCGGCCGCCATGTGTAAGCGCGAGGGGGGGCACGGCGGCGACGCGTCGAGGCTGACGGAGAGCGAGAAGGAGAAGACGAAGCTGCGCGAGCGGCAGCGGCGCGCCATAACCACCAAGATCTTTGCCGGCCTGCGCAAGTACGGCGGATACAACCTTCCGCCGAGGGCAGACATCAACGACGTTCTGCGCGCGCTCGCCGCGGAAGCCGGCTGGGTCGTCGAGTCCGACGGCACCACCTACCGCTCCCCCGTACAGGCCGCATCCTCTTTTCCTTCCGCCTTCTTGCACACCGTCTCCCATTCCGCTTTTCACGCACGTTTTCTACGCTTTCCTTAGCCTTCCCGCGGGCTGGCAGATTTCGTGGCCCGTTTCTTATTCGTCGGCTTCGCGCGTAGCCGTTGCTGGGGATCCCATCCACTTGCTATTCAGACGCTCGGTGGTTCTCGTTGTCCCGCTTGTGTCCAATGTTTCTTTGCCCGCTTTATTCTGTTCTTTAGCCCCTAATCTTCCGTGTTCTTCCTGTCCCGTCCCTCCACTCTCTCTCTCCCGTCGCCAGGGGTCGCAGCCGCCCACTCGCCACTCGTCGCTGCACAGTCGCACGGCGGCTGCCATCGCCGCCGGCTCGCTCGCCATGTACCCGGCACAGCAGGTGACGCAGCTGGCGCCGCAGCTGGCGCCGCAGTCGCCGGCGCAGCTGGCGCATCTACAACATCCTGCCGCGCACCTACCGCATTCCGCGCACCCGCACGCGCTTCCCCAGCTCGCCGCAACCCCGTCGGGCGCAACCGCATCCGTTTCGCCCATGTCTCCGCGGGAAGCTTGCGCGTCCGCTCCGCTCGTCGGCTCTCCGCCCTCCGCTGGCAGCCCCTCGCTGCTCCCCCGCTCCCCCCCGCCTTCCGTTCCCGCATCCGCTACAGCATCCGCCAGCGGCGCGGTGGGGGGAACCGGCGGAGGCATGGCGGGCGGTGGGTTGGGTGGCGCAGGCATGTACGGCGGCGGCATGATGGCGGGAATGAACGGGTTCGGCCTCCCCGGATCGTTCCCCGCGATGCACCTTCCGCACGGCATGCTTGCGCTGATGCCGCATCCGCCAGGCACTTCCTCCGCCGCTGCGGCTGGCGGAATGGGCGCGTTCGCCATGAGCATGGGGCCGGGCGGAATGAGCGCAGGCATGGGCGCGGGAATGGGCGCAGGCTTGAGCGCAAGCATGGGCGCGGGCACAGCGATGAGCGCGGGCGTGGACATGAAGATGGATCCGCACGGGGAGGGGATGCTTTTGGCGGGAACGGCGGGAGGAAGCAGCGCATGCATGATGGGAATGCTGGGGAGCGCGGGGGATTCCATGCCCGCTGCCGCCGCGGCAGCCGCGGCTGCCGCCAGTGGGGGCGGAATGGGCGGTGGTGTGTCCGGCGGTGTTGGCGGCGGAATGGGCGGCGGGATGGGCGGAGCAATGATGCTTCTTCCCGGATTCCACTCCCTGCCCCATGGCGCGGGCTCCGCTGCTGCTGGGGGGAACATGGGCGGGATTATGGGGCCCTTGGGGGAGCTACACATGGGCGGAGGGTTGCTAAACGGTGGGGGCGGCGGCAGCACTTTGCTCGGGGCGGAAGGGGAGGTGTCCCCATCGTCTGATATCACTCTGTCCGCGTCTATGGCATCCTCGTTACAAGCAGTTGCGGCCTCGCAACATCAAGAGCAACAGCAACAGTATGAGACCCAGCAGCACCAGCAACATCAGCACCAGCAGCAGCAACAACAGCTGCAGCAACAACAGATGCAGCAGCAACAGCACCTACCGCAGCAGCAGCAGCAGCAATATCACCACCAGCTTTCGGCTGCTGCTGCACATGCTGCTGGCATGCCTGCGGGGCTCGCCGGCATGGCTTCAGGCGCGAATCGCGGGCAGATCGCCGCCCGGCCGTAGATACACTCTTCTTGTCGCAAGACTTTCACGCCATCATGTCCTCATGGGAACCCTTTTCTGGTGTCAAACATCGTTTGATGAGTTCACGTCGTGACTTGAGTTTGTGCCAACAGACGGCGGCTTGGAGCCGCAGCTGCTGAGCTGCCTTCCTCACAGGCGTGCCATGTGCGGCTGCACATGCGCCTGTTCTGTTTGCATCTCGCCTTCACATCAGGGCAAAGCGCCCGATGCCGAGTGTTGCCTCGCTTTTCCTTTAATATGTTTTGGTTTGCCTAACGCTTTTGGTTTGCTGTACTTTTTGTGTGCATAGGTTGTGTGGCTTTAGGGAGGACATTAGCATGTCTGGTTAGTGAGTTGAGTGATCGAGAGCAAGCCAGCAGTGGCTTGCTCTCTGTGTGCCTCAGTTTACAACCGCAGACTTTTCGCGGTTCCCAAGTGTGTCAGTGTTAATAGTTTGTGTGCGTCTCAATGTGTGAAAGACAATGCTGATTTGATTTGTTTCTCTTCTCCAAAGTGCAGTTTATCTTGAATTTGAACTGACGTTATATTCTTCTTGCGTTATGAAATATTGCAAGTCACATACTGCCGGCCTCTTGGGGTCCAAAGGGCTGGACGTCTTGTGCAAATACCGGAAGCGGTTGTAGCGCAGCTCTGGCGGCGAAGCACACGCCATTAGGGATTCAGATTATCGCCAGCGGCTCACCTTTCTCGTACTTGAGATCGCGATTCTGGTTTCTGGGGGAAGTTCCTCGAGTTTTGGCGGCGATTCGAGAGCCCCAGCCATGGGATTCGCCTCCTTCATTGGGAGAGTCTTCTTTTCCGCCATTTTCATCCTCGCAGCATGGCAAAAGTGGGAACTTGCATTCAGCTCTGATGTATTTTTTCTTCGCACAAGCCTGTGCGAGCGTTGTGGAATCATGGTGAAATTACCACTGAATACTGAATGCCGATCCACGTTGTCGCAGGTTCAATGATTTCGGTCCCGATGGCGGACCCGCGTTGAAGAATATGACCCCGAAGCTGGAGACGTTTCAGAATCACTTGAAGGATTCGTTAGGCCTATCCGTTCCGCATGTTGACGTGAGTTTTACAATGCTTCATTCTTCGCTGCCATCGTGATCTCTCTTCGTCTCTGTGCGTTTTCGTATTGTTCGTGTTATTGGATGTGTCGTTGGCTGATATTGTAGTTTTGGTAAAGGGACTAACAGCGGAAGTTCAATCTACGTCTCTTCCACTACTTACTGCGTGTGGTTGCAGCCCAAGATTCTTCTGTTGACAGCGATCGTGTTGGAAGGAGTGGGTGGCATTTTATTTACGATTGGAAGCAGCTTGGGTGCATACTTCCTGGTACGTCCTTTTTAATCGGCTCCCAAGGGTCACCTCGTTACAATTTCACGCGGCACATGCGTCCTTTCAACGGTTGCCATCGTTTGTCGTTCCAGGACTCGTCCTAGCGGTGCATTATTGTCTAAGCACAACATATTCGTCCCAGGAGTTCTTGACGGTTTTCCCTGTTTTTTTTTCTTTTGCCTCGATACATACACTTGTCAGTTCTACATATTCGTCTCACGCCCGTTCAAACCTTGCCATCTGAAAACATTATGTTCTCTTCACCCGTCTTCACCCATTTGAACTCCCTGCTGCCTCCCCGCCAGCTGCTCTTCCTCGTGGCAGTGACGCCCATCATGCACGACTTCTACAACTTCAAGCCTGACAGCGCGGAATACATCCACGAGTTCATCCAGTTCCTCAAGGTAAACTTGTCAAGTTTCCCTTTTTTCAACCAATATAATCATGCTGAACCCTTACCTCCACCCGGATTCATCCGACCCCTCCTTCCCACATCTTCCCCCTTTTTTCCTAATCGGATCCTTGAGGCATGCTATCTCCAGCTAGTTTGCAGTAATCACATGACATCTTGACCTTCCCCAGCTTGCATCTGGCTGTTCGTCACCCATGATGCCGGTGCTGTACAATGTCGGTTAGGCGCCCTGTCGTCTTCTCTTGTTTTCCCCTCTCGGCAGTCTAATCATGTCTATGTGTTACACATGTCAACTCTTCCTCTCCCTTGTGCCACCATTGCAGAATCTTTCTCTGGTGGGAGCTCTACTTGTTTATCTTGGAATGCGCAGCTCGGCAGCCAAGCTGGCATCCAGGAAGCGAAAAGCCCCTTCCAAGTCTAAAGTCAGCTGAAACTCTGCGTCTAGCTAGACCATCATTTGGTGAACATGCATTTTGGAAAACAAAGCGAGCTGTATTGTGGGCGTCTGGCTTGGTGTGGCTTGGAATGAGCACCAATAGAGTGTTAATTCCAATGCACGAGGGCTGGCTGTGAAGTACTTGTTATTTTTTAGAAGTTGTCATCCGTTTTCGTTCTCACCCCACTAACATGACTTAATTTCAGGACCTCTCTCCGTATATGCATTTGAGGCTACAGAAACCACACGGCATGCTTGTACTGTATGTTCGGGCTCATTGAAAAGTATGCAGCTCATACAAGGACAGGATGATGCCAACTTCCAGAATGAACAGAAATGTTGTATGCAAGTCATTCCTGTTTAGACCTTCCTGTCTGTGTCTGGAGCAGGAGCTGATCGTAGCATCCTGATCGTAGCACGAATCATTTGATGCTACTTCTGCACTCTCTGAGAGAGATGCTCATCACGGCCCCACACTACACGTGCAAGTTACTGCTTTGCTGAGGAAGAGGATTCAAAGGTTGAGGGATGGGTGGATGAGGGTCGGGGGTGAGCAGAGTGCCCGGGCTGTTGATCAACGGGCGAGGGCACGGCAGTTGAGTGAGCGGCAGGAGGGGTTGGTTGTGAGTTGGCAGTGGATTGAGGAGATGATTGTTGTGAGATGGCAGTGCCAGTTACGACGGTGAATCCGGTGGCGGCGAGGCTCAGGAGAGCAATGGAGGAGAGCAGCACTCGCAGAGGCAGATACCTGGTGGGTTTGCAGGGGTGGCAGGGATTGCATGGGCGGCAGGCAGGGGATGATCGAGAGCGGGAGCGGATGACAGAGACAGACATGTTATGCTGGTGCCACATGCTGGTGCCACATGCTGGTGCCACATGCTGGTGCCACATGCTGGTGCCACATGCTGGTGCCACATGCTGGTGCCATATGGAAGAATGCAGCATGGATATGCATGGGATGATGATTGCAGCATGGGATGGAAATGAAGTCGCAGGTGGATCGGTGGGAAGAAGCGTACCATGAGGGCACTAATGCCGTGCGGGCAAAGACTGTGTCTGCACCCAACACCTGCTCACACACAGGCGAGAGAGCAAAGGGTCAAACTGGAATGTGCATACGTGCAGATGTGCAGATGCAGATTGCACTGTCATGCCATGCTTGGGTACAGGGTCTCATGCATCTTGTCTTTGTGACGACAGATTGGGGTTTAGCAGAGAGAATCTGGGGGTCATGTGGACTGACCGAAGGGTGAAGGCGGATTGAGTGGAGGGCGAAGGGAGGAGAAGGGCGAAGGGAGAAGGGAGATGCTATAAAAGAGAATTGCACGGAGGGTGGAGTGGGAAGGATGCCGTACAAGGAGGAAGAAGGAGAGGAGGAGGGCGAATTTGGGTCCGTCTGGCAGTAGCAGCGCCACCCATGCTGCCAGGGATGGCACCACACTCCATGTGTAGCTGGTGTGGGATGATGGAGGGTATGGGGAGAAGGATGGAAGGCTGAGATTCAAGAATTGAGGAAGAGAGATTAATGGCTGAGATGGAGGATACTGCACAGCACTCACTTCACGCGCAGCACTCAGTGCACCACACAGCACCCAACCGTACTACACCGCATAGCACTTACCGGGCAGCTGAGACTGAGAAGTTGCCTAGACTCGCCTCTGACGTGGCTGTGTGTGGTGCATGGGGTTGAATGAGCAGGGGAGGAGAGAACAGGGGAAAGGTGGAGAGAGAAGGAAGGTGTTGAGGGCAGGGACAGACAAAGAGGAGGTTGGGGGCATAAGCAGCGCTGCCTAGGATGGCAGCAGTGCGTAACGCCAGGGGCAGAAAGGAGCAGCAAGGAGAAGGAGTGAGTGAAGGCAGCAGAGGGGAGAGGGCAGGCAGCACTGACTGGCGGCGTATCGGGCCATGGCGAGCCCCCAGTGCGGCCCTCCCAGGAATGCGAGGATGGCTGCCCCGTACGCCGCCTGCGCTGCTGTTGGCTGCGTTGCCAGCAGCTCCTGCTCGCCCGGGGGAGAATGGGAAAAAATGAAAGAAAGGGCTTAGGGAGTGCGAGGATGGCTGCCCCATATGCCGCCTGCGCTGCTGCTGGAGGCGATGCCAGCAGCTCCTGAGAGGGATGGGACGCAGCGAGGGAATGAGGGGGGAAAGGAGAGGTGAAGGAGGGTGAATGGGGAGGGAAGGGGGCTGGAAGGGAGGGAGAGGGCCTAGGGGCCAGGGGGATGTATGGCAGTTGAGTGATGGCGATGGGAGGAGAGGAGAGGAGGAGAGGGGATGCAGGAGAGGTGAAGAGGAGAGGTGGAGAGGAGGAGAGGAGTACTGACAGGGAGGGGGACGAGGGAGCATATGGGCGGCGCGAGGGCGACGAATGGGATGGCGCCAGCTAGACCGAGAACGAGTGGCACCAGCGGCACGGATGCCAGCCCGCTTGGCTCCCGCGTCGATGTCACATAGATGCTCCCCCCGCTTCCCCCGCTCATCCCCCTCACGTGCGCTCCTCCCCCGCCTGTGGTTCCAGTGATTCCGCCAGTGGTTGCAGTAGTGCGGGTGCGCACGGCGGGTGGTGGCGGAAGGGATGGAGCGGGGGACGGCGCGGGCGCGGCGAGGAAGTGGCGGACGGCGGGAACGGTGTGGGCAACGGTGGGTGGTGGGTTGGTGGAGGAGAGGACTGGCGCAGCGGCGAACGAGGCGGTAATGGGGGCGCGGAGGCGATAGGAAGCATGCTCTGCGACTGGTGCGGGGAGAAGTCGCGCGCGCAAAGCGTGATCGGTCAGGGGCGCGCACGAGTTGGCGTTGAGGGGGCTACCCGCGCTAGGCGGAGGAAGGCGAGGCGGTAGAAGCGGAGAGGGCGGTGGGGTGCGGAAGGCAGGAAGCGGGGAGGACGGGCTATTGCAGAAGGCGGAAAGCGGTGATGAGCCCGCATAGGCTGCGCGGGATGCAGCGCGCCGAGCGGCATGGAAGAGCTTCAACGCTTGCGCCATGGGGAAGAGGGGCACACCAGCAGCGTGACAAGCGACAAAAAAAAAAAAAAAACAAAAAACGGATTCGTGAAGACAACCGCGACGAGGCGCGAGTGTCACATACACGGCCCGCCACCACTAAGTTAGGAGGCACAGCATAGAGATGATCGCCTAGGTTCGTCGTCGCATCTGCGCGTGCCGACCCCACGGAACGTGCTGGAAAGGGGCGCAATAGTAGTGCGCCTTTCTGGGGTCCCGAAAGGATTTGCACTCGGTATTGATAGTTCAATATGAACCACGCTTGAGAACTGTACAGTGGGTAAAACATTCAAATACAATTTGTTAAGTTGGTGAATAGAAAATACAAGCTTTCTGCATTCAGCCGAAGCACACCATATCGAAGAAATGCCCCTCCCACGCTTCCCGCAAACTGCGCGGCTGACCGTCAGTTCCCCCATCCGTGCCATCCAATGTCAACTGATCCAAAACACGTCGCCGTCGGATCACGAGTCGCCCACATCAACCTCTCGAGTCGCTGTTCCTCCAGCGCCGCCCTTCGTGCTCCCCTCGCGACCATCCCCAGCAGTTCCTCCCCACCAATGCCATCTCAACGACCCCAACTTTCGTGTTATGCAGCGCATCACTCCACTTCACCAGATTAAATCCATCCTAAACCAGAAGAACCTCCTTTTTTGCATGTTGTCTCTGCTCGTCACTGTCATTTTCCTCACCCCGCCGCCCGCTGCCCCTCCTGCTCCTCTCTGCTCTCCTCTGCGCCAGTCAAACCCAGCCCTTGGCGACTTGCTATCCCAAGTTGTTACGTAGTCCTGTTGTCACGTCACTCCTAGTCCAGTAGCTACGCCATCGTCCTAGTTTTCTCGTCCTAGTCTCTCCTCGTAATGGATATCGAACCGCATCAAGCCAGGTTGTCGCCAATGACCCTCCTAACCGTCAGCGACGCGGACCGTCGCAGACGAAAAGCGGAACTTGCGGAATTTAAAGCCGACATCGCGATAATAAGAGAGCGCTTCCATGCGATAAAGCAGGAAGACATGCAACTGTCTTTCCAGCTGCACCACATGCACGAGCAGGAGGACAGGGAGCACGCCGGTCTCATTAGCGGCCGCGGTATCCGCGCGTACGAGCCGCCTACCATCCGCAAGATGTACGACTCGGTCACGCAACCCACTCTCTCCGCAACCCCTTCTTCTCCTGAAGTTCTCGGCTCCAAGGCGCAAGCGCCAACCTCGCCGTCGAACGCGGAGAACCAGCAACCCGCGTCCTCCGTCACCTCCGCCTCTTCAGCCGCCGCGTCATCCGCGGGAGCGTTCTCGTTGATTCAGGATCTGCTATCCGGGCAGCGGCTGTTCAGCGAGGTGCTGCCGTGGTCGCGCTCTAACCCCCCCGCGGACGCCGCCAATACGGGCGACGCGCTTCTCAAGCAGGCGGGACTCGACGGCTTCACTCTCCTGTCGCCCAACGCCCAGTCGCAGAATCAGTCGTCGGCCGTCGCACAGTCGCCGCAGAAGGAGCCGACCGCGTCGCAGGCCGCAACCGTGGGCCTTCTACCGCTCGGCGACGAGGTGACCAGCCCTGAGCTCGTGTCTTCCCCGCAAAGGTCCTCCGCGCTTTCCCCGCCCGCCACCAGCGCGGATACCACTGGCGGAAGCCCCCCCTCCGTTCCGCGGCTGTCTCGTGTGCGTCGTTCCGCGCATCGCGCCGGGGCAGTCTCTGTGTCTTGTTCCTCCGCCTCTTCCGCCCCCGCGCTCCGCACTCCCTCATCGGCGCAATCTGCGCGTGCCCCCTCCCCTTCGCGCATCGTGAGCCTGTCGGAAAACTCCCCCTCGTGCGTCGGACAGGGGGTATCCCCCTCTTCGAACGCCACGTCATCAATCGGCGCGCAGCAGAATCCCCTGCGGGCCCTTACACCCGCGCAACAGCTGCGCGCCGAACTGGCGGAGCGGCGCAGCGGCGCGGCGGCAAAGCTGTTCTCCGACGCCGCCAAGGAGGCGCTGCTCGTGCGCGCGGGGCTGCTGCCGGGGCCCGCGGAGGCTGGCGCGACCCGCGCGCGCAGCAGCGAAGAAGGCGCAAGCGCCGGCGCCGGCGACAGCGCGGGCGCAATCCGCGCAACTCTCGCGGAGCGAGTGGCGCAGTCGGCGTCCGCTGGCGCCACCAGCGCGACGCCAAGCAAGATCGAGGAAGGGTGGCAATCGGAGAGTGTGGCGGAATCGCTCAGGCTGAGCGGGGAGCTGCGGAGCAGGCTGAGAGCTGCGCTCGGGGAGAGGGATTGCGCCAAGGGCGGTGAGAGCGAGTCGTCCATTCAGGTCGAGGCTGCTGCTTGAAGCTTGAAGTCTATTCAGGTAGAGACAGCTGGGATTTGCTTCAAGTCGGATAGCTAAGGGTTGCTCCACGTTGGGACAGCAGACTGAGAGCCGAACTGGGGGAGAGGTGAGAGTGGGGTGTCCATTCAGATAGAGGCTGCTGCTTGAGCACCTGGGGGTTGCTCCACGTCGGGCAGCTGAGTTTGTTTCAAGTCGAGCAGCTGAGTCTGTTTCAAGTCGGGCAGCTGGGCTGGGGTTGCTGGAAGTTGAGCAGTTGGATATTGCTTCGTGGCGGGCAGCTGGGCGAGGCGTAGATTGGGTTGCTGGAGAGGTGGGCGTAGTGGCTAGGTTGGAGGGTGTCTGGCTGGTGCTTGGTTGGTCTGAACTATGGCTGTTGCAGCCATGACTGTTACCTGCAACATGACCCATCTGCTGCTTGCATCAGTGCTGGTGGCTGCTGGCATGAGTATGTCAGATCTAATAATCCAGTCAAGAGACTGAATACCGATTCATGGAATTGTTATTAATGTGAGTTTTATTCATAGAACTACACTTTGTTAGTTAATTGTGAATTGCCTACAATCGTCTAAGCATACCATAATCGCTGGAATAGCATTCGTCTGTAAGTAGATATTAATGTTAATATCTGTGGTGGCATTAGATTGAGCTGCATGATTGTACTTACGGTATATATGATAGCTTTGTATAGGTTTGTCATGTGGTCTTCTATATCAGGAATCAGCCGACCAACTAAAACGAGCAACCTAGAAAACGGTTTCTCAAGTTTATCTTTGGATAGAATCTCTCGCCTGCAATTCCTAGATTCTGCCAGGCCTCGCTTGCCCTCCAACGGCATAACTTCCAGACGCCACGTCGTCGGTTTTGTCTGAAAATGAGCAGACGCGCTCAATCGTGACACCTTGCTGCTCGCTGTGGTCGCACACATGTCGCGATCCAATCGCCTGTCGTCGCAGCACCATCGTGCCGTCGCACAGGCGCACAGAGGCACATCCGCACATTCGCACCACCGCGGCGCGCCAGGGCGTGGCGGCGGCAGCGGCCAGCTGTGCGGCCGCTTGCTGCTGCTACTCGTCGTCGCACAAGCTCTCTATATTCTTAAGCTTAAATTCTCCCCGCGATCCGACGCGCAGCAGCAGAGCGCATCGACGGCCGCCCAGGGCCAATCGAACGGTCACGATTTGACGAAGCTGTTCAGCGCAAGCGGGGTGGGAAGCTCGCAGCGGGAGGCCGACGCGGATTCGATTCACCTCGGCGGCCCGCGGACCTACGACGCGTCGGGTGGCGCCGCGAGATTCGCGGGCGACGAGCGCAAGTGGGTGCGGAAATTCGCTGGCGGCGGGATCGACGCGAAAGACGACTCGGAGCCGAAAGGCGTGGAGTTTCGTAGCGGCGACGATGATTGGATGGTGGACGGGACTAAGACGACTCGCCCCCTGATAGTAGACGATGAGAGCGAAAGAAGTGGGAGGGGCGGTGGCGGGGGGGAGGAGGCGGAGCGGAAGGGCGTAGAGTTTCGGAGCGGCGACGATGACTGGATGGTGGACGGGACGCAGACGACTCGGCCGCTGATAGTGGATGAGGAGAGCGGGGGAGGCGGGGGCGGCGGGGGGGCGGGGGAGGCGGGGGGGAGGAGGCGGAGCGGAAGGGCATGGAGCTGAGAAGCGGCGATGATGATTGGATGGTGGATGGGATGCAGAGCGGACACGAGGTGATAGTAGATGAGGGGGAGGGGACGGACGACGATCGGGGGAGGGGGAGGGAAGGGGAGACGGACGACGATAGGGGGAGTGGGGAGGGTAAGGCTGGTGCAGGGAGGGCCGACGGGGAAATGGGGGGTGAGGGGGGAAGGGAAGGCGGAGGGGGAGACACGTCCTTTACAGGGAGTGGGGACGACATGGGGATGGACGAAGGGGGGGAGGCGGAAGCGGGAGAGGGGGAAGGTGCGGGCAAGGGGAGTGGCAGGGGGGGAGAGGGCGGGGAAGCGAACGAGGAGGAGGGGGAAGGGGAGGGGGAGCCGGTTTGGCAGTCCCCATTGGACGAGCCGTCTGAGTGGTCCCCACTGCAGGGCGCTCCTGACGGGCTGACGTGTCGCTCATGGCTGCAGGAGGCTGATGACGTGGCGTTTGGGCGGGACTTTGAGAAGCAGCCAATCGCAGTGATGGCATATGAGGTAAGACCGTGTGATGGCATGAAGAAGGAATTTCCTACCATCCTGGTTAAGGCGACTTACTGTGCAATGTGTCATGCGATGTGTCGTGCGATCTGGTCAGCAAGTGCCCTCATTACCCCTCTTATCATCCCTCCCCCCCCCCTCTCTCCTCCCCCACCCTCACCCTCTCCCCCCCCCAATCAGACCCCCCGCAGGTACCCGTGTGATGTGCCGTGCGAGATGGTGGGCAAGCGCCGCCCGTCCCAGCTGGACGGCAGCCTGGCGGGCAACGTGCCGCGGCACAAGCTGGTGCTGCGATCCATGGAACCGCGGGGGTACTACAGGAGCAACGACCCTGCATGGGCGCACAAGGATCATGCTGTGCGTGAGAGGGGTGGGGTGGGGTGGTGTGGGCTCTGGTGTGGTGTGGTTGGGTGTGTTGTGGGGGTACTATGCGAGCAACAATCCTGCGTAGGTGCACAAGGATCATGCTGCGCGTGAGAGGGGTGTGGCGGGGTGGGCTGGGCTCTGGTGTGGTGTGGTTGGGTGCGGTGCTGCGATCGGTGGAGCCATGCAACCCTGTATGGGCGCACAAGGATCATGCTGTGAGTGAGAGTGAGGGGTGCCTGGGATGGATGTGGTGAGTGTGGCGGGGTGGGCGAGCAGGGAAAATGCAGTGAGTGTGAGGGAGCAGCAGGGGGTGGGTGTGATGGGTGTGTGTGGTGGGGAGGCAGCGAGCTGGGTGGTGATGACAGTGCATTATGGCTGTGAGTGCAGTACGGGTCATGGGAGGAGTCTCATGCCTCTAGTGTTGAAAGGAGCCCTTTTCCTCGCTCGACTCTCTCTGCACCTGTGCCTACCACACACCACCACGTGGGTGATGATAATGGCGTTATGATTCAGACGTGCCAGTGCAGTACGGGTCATGGGAGGAGTATGATGTCATGCGCCCGCCCATCAACAAGAGAACTCCCCTTTTCCCATTCTATCCTGTCTATCTGCACGTGTCCCTACTTCCAACCACAAAACCTACCCCAACAGGTGGTGATGACAGTGCACTACGATTCAGACGTGCCAGTGCAGTACGGGTCATGGGAGGAGTATGATGTCATGCGCCCGCCCATCAACAAGAGAACTCCCCTTTTCCCATTCTATCCTGTCTATCTGCACGTGTCCCTACTTCCAACCACAAAACCTACCCCAACAGGTGGTGATGACAGTGCACTACGATTCAGACGTGCCAGTGCAGTACGGGTCATGGGAGGAGTATGATGTCATGCGCCCGCCCATCAACAAGAGAACTCCCCTTTTCCCATTCTATCCTGTCTATCTGCACGTGTCCCTACTTCCAACCACAAAACCTACCCCAACAGGTGGTGATGACAGTGCACTACGATTCAGACGTGCCAGTGCAGTACGGGTCATGGGAGGAGTATGATGTCATGCGCCCGCCCATCAACAAGAGAACTCCCCTTTTCCCATTCTATCCTGTCTATCTGCACGTGTCCCTACTTCCAACCACAAAACCTACCCCAACAGGTGGTGATGACAGTGCACTACGATTCAGACGTGCCAGTGCAGTACGGGTCATGGGAGGAGTATGATGTCATGCGCCCACCCATCAACAAGAGAACTCCCCTTTTCCCATTCTATCCTGTCTATCTGCACGTGTCCCTACTTCCAACCACAAAACCTACCCCAACAGGTGGTGATGACAGTGCACTACGATTCAGACGTGCCAGTGCAGTACGGGTCATGGGAGGAGTATGATGTCATGCGCCCACCTGTCAACAAAACCGCGTCGGCTCTCGCTGCTGCCTTTATCAGCAACTGCAATGCCAACAGCTTCAGACTCGAAGTAAGATGCCACTCTACCCCTCTTCACCGCTCTCCACCATTCACCACCCCTCTCTTTCTCCTCTCGCTGCTGCCTTTATCAGCAACTGCAATGCCAACAGCTTCAGACTCGAAGTGAGATGCCACTCTACCCCTCTTCACCGCTCTCCACCATTCACCACCCCTCTCTTTCTCCTCTCGCTGCTGCCTTTATCAGCAACTGCAATGCCAACAGCTTCAGACTCGAAGTAAGATGCCACTCTACCCCTCTTCACCGCTCTCCACCATTCACCACCCCTCTCTTTCTCCTCTCGCTGCTGCCTTTATCAGCAACTGCAATGCCAACAACTTCAGACTCGAAGTAAGATGCCACTCTACCCCTCTTCACCGCTCTCCACCATTCACCACCCCTCTCTTTCTCCTCTCGCTGCTGCCTTCATCAGCAACTGCAATGCCAACAACTTCAGGCTCGAAGTAAGATGCCACTCTACCCCTCTTCACCGCTCTCCACCATTCACCACCCCTCTCTTTCTCCTCTCGCTGCTGCCTTTATCAGCAACTGCAATGCCAACAGCTTCAGACTCGAAGTGAGATGCCACTCTACCCCTCTTCACCGCTCTCCACCATTCACCACCCCTCTCTTTCTCCTCTCGCTGCTGCCTTCATCAGCAACTGCAATGCCAACAGCTTCAGACTCGAAGTAAGATGCCACTCTACCCCTCTTCACCGCTCTCCACCATTCACCACCCCTCTCTTTCTCCTCTCGCTGCTGCCTTTATCAGCAACTGCAATGCCAACAACTTCAGACTCGAAGTGAGATGCCACTCTACCCCTCTTCACCGCTCTCCACCATTCACCACCCCTCTCTTTCTCCTCTCGCTGCTGCCTTCATCAGCAACTGCAATGCCAACAACTTCAGACTCGAAGTGAGATGCCACTCTACCCCTCTTCACCGCTCTCCACCATTCACCACCCCTCTCTTTCTCCTCTCGCTGCTGCCTTCATCAGCAACTGCAATGCCAACAGCTTCAGACTCGAAGTAAGATGCCACTCTACCCCTCTTCACCGCTCTCCACCATTCACCACCCCTCTCTTTCTCCTCTCGCTGCTGCCTTTATCAGCAACTGCAATGCCAACAACTTCAGACTCGAAGTAAGATGCCACTCTACCCCTCTTCACCGCTCTCCACCATTCACCACCCCTCTCTTTCTCCTCTCGCTGCTGCCTTTATCAGCAACTGCCGTGCCAACAACTTCAGGCTCGAGGTGAGATGCCATTGCCACCCCTTTCCACCCCTCTCCACCCCACTTCCCCGCACTCCTCCTTTTCCACCGCTCTCCGCCTCTCACGCTGCTGCTTTGGTCAGCAACTGCCATCAACAGCTGCCATTTCCAACCCACTCCACACCTTTCCGTTACTCTCCACCCCTCTACCCCCTTCTCTCCACTCCTCTCCACCTCTCTCCTCCTGCTCCCATTTCTACCTTCACAGCAAACGCCATGCCAACAACCTCTGGCTCAATGTATCGTCACTCTGCAGACATCCCAAGCGTGTGCTCATTTGCTGAGTTGCACAAGTGCGAGTTGCAAAAGTGATGGGATTGGCTGCATTTCCTCCTTTGCATCCCACATTCCGTGCCTTCTCTTCCCGCACCAACCCCATCTCCAGGCAGTGAAGGAGCTCAGCCGGCACATGGAGGTGCATTCGTACACCTGCCCGTGCTCACACGCTCTCCCTCGTCATCACTTCTCCCTTGCCATCACTTCTCCCTCGCCATCACTTCTCCCTCGCCATCACTTCTCCCTCGTCATCACTATTCTCTCGCCTTTGACAACACCTGCGAAGCCGACTATGTCACTGAGAATCACTGGCAGTGCCTCACAGCCCCCAGCTCTCCTCTCCTCCCTGTTTCCCCCCCTTATCCCAGGCGATAAAGAGCTGAGTCAGCACATGGAAGTTCACTCATACGGCCGCTGTCTCAGGCTCTCCTCTCCTCTCTGTCACCTCCCCTTATCCCAGGCGATAAAAGAGCTAAGCCGGCACATGGAGGTGCACTCATACGGCCGCTGTCTCAACAACATGCCATACGAAAAAGACAAACTCCCTGTGCTCGCACGGCACTTCTTCTCCCTCGCATTTGAGAACACCTGTGAAGGCGACTACGTGACTGAAAAGTTCTGGCAGTGCCTCGTAGCCGGCTCTGTCCCCGTCGTCATCGGCGCCCCCAACATCGCCGATTTCGCCCCTTCCCCCAACTCCTATCTGGAAATCAAATCTCTGGAGGACGTGCCGCGGGTGGCGCAGCAGATGGTTACGCTTGCTGGTAACCAGACGGCATATGACGAGATGCTCGCGTGGAAGAAAGACGGGCCTTCCCAGGCCTTTATCGCTAATATGGATCTCTCAGCTGTTCACTCCTCCTGCCGCCTCTGCATTTTCCTTGCCGACCGGATCCGGAGAAAGGACCTGGATGCTGCCAAAACCCGCCGCCCGTGCCGGTGCGAGGCGCCGGGGAAGCGCGAGGGGGAGAAGCTGGTGGTATACCACCTGTACGTGAGAGAACGGGGGACGTTTCACTTCACCTCAGTCTTCCTGCGCAGTGACCACCTCACTTTAAGAGGACTCACTTTAGCTATAAGACGCAGCTTTCAAAAAAAGGCGTACCGGCCGGTGTGGGTGGGGAAGCGGCCGGCGTCGCTTGGAGGGGATGAAAAGGCATGGGCTTTGAAGATTTATAGGATATACCCGGCGGGCTCAACGCAGAGAGAGGCGTTGTGGGGTGATGCGTGGTTTAGGAACTCGTCTCAGGTGGTGGCACATGTGACTGCACACCCCTGTGCTCGGCTAGAAGTGATCTTCGTATGAGGGAGAGCCAGTTGCTTGCGTAGTGGTGTAGTGTAGAGACGCTCAGATGGGATAAGAAGGCATCGGCTTTGAAAATCTACATGGTATACCTGGTCGGCAGTTTTGACTCAGTGAGAGAGGCGAAGTGGGGTGAGGCGTGGTTTCGGAACTTTTCTCAGGTGGTGGCGCATGTGACTGCACACCTGTGTGCCCACACGCACCGTGCAACATTCTCATCCAACTAGTATAGGGTGGATGGGTGGGCGGGAAATAAAACCTTTGTGATTTCAAGCAAAAACGTGGGTGGAGGCCAAATGGCTTCTGCCCACTCTTATTTTGGAGAAGAGTGACATTGCGGCATTGCCATTACAGCTTCGTTTTCATAAAATACATTTTTAAGTTTTTTTGCAGTTTTTAGAAACTTTTAAGTCATGTAGACTATTATTGAAGTTGGGCCCATCCCTTACATCACCCGACTCTATGCATGGAACAGCCTTGCGCGTCTGTCAGACATGTGGAACTGTTTCCCGCGCAAACAGGCGGAACTAAGCTGCACCCGCGCTGCGGAGATGCTGTAACTATGCTCACGAAACACGTTGAAATTTCGCTAATCAATGCCGAGGCATCCCCCAAGTGAAAGGCCAAGGCTCTTGGTTTACGAACTGTCCGCCGACGGGGCGGCGGCATGCACCACAGCAAGGAAAGGGGAGCGGATGCCTTCTTTCTTGAACTTGGTGCTGCTTCAGCCATTCGTCGCACCTCTCGCTTCAGTGAATCCCTGAAAACCGCTCTGGATCTCTCTCTACATTCCCTGAACTACTTCACTGAACTTCACTATCCACTGCCTGTGTCATTCCTGCTACATTCTCGCTCGGGCAAAGATCATATCGGGGCCGGGAAATAGCAGAGGGGTGTCCAAATTAGGGCCTGGTAGTCGAACCTAGACATTTAGAGTAAATTACTGAAATTCCCATAATCGTGAAATTGTTTTTACTTGTCAGAGGTTCTTACGCGGAAACTTTACGCCGATAGCGCCACCAAGCACTAGACGACGCTACCGGGAACTGTTAGGGAATGAAAAAAAAACTAAAACCCTTAGCGATCCCGGACGGCTTTTCGGGAGGGATCAACCCTAAACACGGGAACCCGCAAGGAGTTTAGGGTTGATGCCTCCCCGAGTCGCATCCGTTTCCGAGCGGGTTTTATTTTTTTGTCACGTTGAGTGATGTGTAACTTAAAAATATACACGATGAAACATACTTCCAGAGGAATACGACGCGAGCTTCGTATGAGAAAAATATTGAATGAAAAACGTCAAAATTCAGTAATTTCCTCAAAATCTCGGTTCGGGTAATCAGCCCAGCCACAAGGGCAGCTACGGGGATGTATCGAACGGTCAGGATTTACCCGGCCCTAATTTGGACACCTCCCTGCTATTTTCCGGCCCCAATATGATCTTTGCCCTTCTCGCTCGGGCTCCTAGACAATAGTCTCGTTTGGCTGTCGCCTGAAGTTCCGCTACCAACCGTTTACTACGTATAGATATTAATCTTAAAGTGAGATAAGTTTTAGTATCTCTTGTGGTTTCTCTAGCCATTCAGAGCACCTCTGTTGGAGTTCCATGGTCTAGCGTGATTCGTGAATTCTCACGGCTCGGCTCGTTTCCTCAGCTATTACGTGCCTGTCGTCTACCGTTACCGCAATCATAGTCACAATCGTATATGTTTATGAGATTGTGCTACTACGTTCGCTTAGGCATTCGTCGCAAAGAACTAGCATCAGGTCGTTTTCCGAAGCACCATGGTGATCTTAGTATCATTGAGAAAGTTCTGCAGAAGGCTGTCGGATGCGGTTCGTGACGTGAAGTTTCGCGAGGTGAATCCGGTTCTTCGTTATGCGTCTCAGATCTTCTTCGCTCCTTGAAGCATGGTTCACTTGGCGACGGCTACATAGCTGTTTCAGACTGACACCGTTCATGTGCACGGCGCGACAAAGACGAGAATCTCGTAAATCGCAACCGGTGATACAAGACGGTTTCTTTGGACGGCGAGTTCTGTCGACGACGATGATTGATGACGGCGACAACCGAGGCATTTCTGACGGCGAATATTCCGACCAGGAGTTATAACGACTTCTGATGGTGAAAAGTGGTACTTTTGGGAGTTCTGAGGGTGACGATAATCTTCTTACGGTGACGGTTGACGTCTTCTGGTCATGGTGTCGATTATCATGGAGATCCGACGGTGACGATCTTCCAACGGTGACAGACAGGTTTCACGTTGCTGACGGCAGCAGCGTTGACGGCGAAGGCGAAACCGAAGCGGAGAAATTTGATGGAGTTGATGACCAGGGCGATTCCGATGCGGAGTTCTTATGGCGGCGATATCATGCGCCTGCGGAGTTCTGATGGCGACGATATCATGCGACTGCGGAGTTCTGATGGCGACGATATCATGCGACTGCGGAGTTCTGATAGCGACGAAATCATGCGCCTGGCGACGATACCATGCGCGTGCGGAGTTCTGATGGCGACGATATCATGCGCGTGCGGAGCTTCGGACTGGATGTCGATCGAGACGCGAAATCTCATTTACGACTGCGATGGCGAGACTTAAGGATAGCACGATTAATACGGCGTATTCTGATGTTGAGATCGCGAGATCTTACGGCAACGACGATTGACCATTCGAGCTGACGATTCGTGCTGACTGCGAGTTCGAATGCGATTTCGAGTTCTGACGGTGACGAGGCGACTTCAAGACGGCGATATCTCACGTTGCCGACTGAGATGTCGACGATCAAGGCACAATGGTGGAAGGCTGACGACTGCGACGTGTTCGTCGATGCTGACGGTCGAGTCGCCGTCATATGGCGATCGAGGCGAATGTTGAGGCAGCATATTTGTGACGACGGGGACGGAAAGTTTTGAGGATTTCCGACGACGATCGTTGATCGTGAAGGCGAACTGGACGCTCAATGCGACGGCGATGGCGACGGCGATGCATCCTGCTCCCGTCGCTCAGCAACCCCTCATACCGCTAAGTCCCCTTTTCGCCCCCTTACCTGCTCCCTTGCCATCCTCATTGCTTTCTGCCTTTGGTTTGTTTTATAAACACTCGTAACCAAAACGTCAATTCCGCATGGCGATGGTAGCGCATGGCACTGGGGCGGCTTGAGCTCACACTAGAGTCCTAGGGGTTTAGAATGCACTCTCACTCACGCCCGCGTCTCCTTCTTAACCCCAGTCCATCCTCGCATGCTAGCTCGCCAACCTAGTGCCATGGGCTACCACCGCCTTTTGTTCTCCTGATGTCTTTTGTTTGTTTTATCTCTTCTTTCTTTCTCGAAACATGTACCATCCTTTTCATGTTTGCCTCCGCTTTCTTGCAGTTATTTCTTGTTCCTATGCTTCCCTCCCAAACCCATTTCTTTGTTCCAGTGGAGGAGGGAGGGCAGTGGGATGACGCACGGCCTGCGTCCTGCATGCCCTGCTGACCACGCCACTCCTTCACGCGCCAAACGAGCTCCACTGGCGCTGCTGCTGCTGGGAGGGCTGCTGCTGGGAGCGACTGCTGCTGCTTCCGTCGCTCAACCCGTCGTACCGCTGCTAAGTCACCTCTTAATCCCCTGACTCACCCTCTTGCCATCCTGACCGCTTTCTGTCTTTGGTTCATTTTCGTAACGCGTTGTTCTCTCACCGCGTGCTCGAAACCTAAACTTCATTTCCGCATGGGAGGGGCAAAAAGTTGAATTGGGGGTTTCTGGCGCGTGGCGATGGTAGCGCATGGCACTGGGGCGGCTTGAGCTCGTCCTAGAGTCCTAGGAGAGTAGAATGCTCGCGTCTCCTTCTTACCTCGTCCCCCTTGCCCGCTAGCTCGCCAACCTAGTGCCATGGGCTACCATCGCCTCTCTGTTTTCACTGCATCCTTCCACCTTGTTTTCACTTTTTAGTTCTTCCGGTTTTCTCTGTGTTGTTTTCTCTGTGTTTGCTTTATTTGTCGCTTGTGATCCTTTTCCGTGGCTTCATTCCATCCTCGACCAGTTTCCTGCATCCCGTATCCTTTATTCTCATTCTCACCAGCCCATGCCCTTGTTCCAGGAGGGAGGGCAGTGGGATGACGCACGGCCTGCGTCCTGCATGCCCTGCTGACCACGCCACTCCTTCACGCGCCAAACGAGCTCCACTGGCGCTGCTGCTGCTGGGAGGGCTGCTGCTGGGAGCGACTGCTGCTGCTTCCGTCGCTCAACCCGTCGTACCGCTGCTAAGTCACCTCTTAATCCCCTGACTCACCCTCTTGCCATCCTGACCGCTTTCTGTCTTTGGTTCATTTTCGTAACGCGTTGTTCTCTCACCGCATGCTCGTAACCAAAACTTCGCTTCCGCATGGGAGGGGAAAAATGTTGAATTGGGGGTTTTTGGCGCGTGGCAATGGTAGCACATGGCACTGGGGCGGCTTGAGCTCGTCCTAGAGTCCTAGGGGGGTAGAATGCCTGCGTCTCCTTCTTACCTCGTCCCCCTTGCCTGCTAGCTCGCCAACCTAGTGCCATGGGCTACCATCGCCTCTCTGTTTTCACTGCATCCTTCCACCTTGTTTTCACTTTTCAATTCTTACCGTCTTCCCTGCCTTTGATTCATTTGTCGCTTGTGATCCTTTTTCATGGTTTTATTCCATCCTCGACCAGTTTCCTGCATCCCGTATCCTTTATTCTCATTCTCACCAGCCCATGCCCTTGTTCCAGGAGGGAGGGCAGTGGGATGACGCACGGCCTGCGTCCTGCATGCCCTGCTGACCACGCCACTCCTTCACGCGCCAAACGAGCTCCACTGGCGCTGCTGCTGCTGGGAGGGCTGCTGCTGGGAGCGACTGCTGCTGCTTCCGTCGCTCAACCCGTCGTACCGCTGCTAAGTCACCTCTTAATCCCCTGACTCACCCTCTTGCCATCCTGACCGCTTTCTGTCTTTGGTTCATTTTCGTAACGCGTTGTTCTCTCACCACATGCTCGTAACCAAAACTTCATTTCCGCATGGGAGGGGCAAAAAGTTGAATTGGGGGTTTCTGGCGCGTGGCGATGGTAGCACATGGCACTGGGGCGGCTTGAGCTCGTCCTAGAGTCCTAGGGGGGTAGAATGCTCGCGTCTCCTTCTTACCTCGTCCCCCTTGCCCGCTAGCTCGCCAACCTAGTGCCATGGGCTACCATCGCCTCTCTGTTTTCACTGCATCCTTCCACCTTGTTTTCACTTTCCAATGCTTCCAGTTTTCCCTGCCTTTGCTTCATTTGTCGCTTGTGATCCTTTTCCATGGCTTTATTCCATCCTCGACCAGTTTCCTGCATCCCGTATCCTTTATTCTCATTCTCACCAGCCCATGCCCTTGTTCCAGGAGGGAGGGCAGTGGGATGACGCACGGCCTGCGTCCTGCATGCCCTGCTGACCACGCCACTCCTTCACGCGCCAAACGAGCTCCACTGGCGCTGCTGCTGCTGGGAGGGCTGCTGCTGGGAGCGACTGCTGCTGCTTCCGTCGCTCAACCCGTCGTACCGCTGCTAAGTCACCTCTTAATCCCCTGACTCACCCTCTTGCCATCCTGACCGCTTTCTGTCTTTGGTTCATTTTCGTAACGCGTTGTTCTCTCAACGCATCCTCGTAGCCAAAACTTCATTTCCACATGGGAGGGGCAAAAAGTTGAATTGGGGGTTTCTGGCGCGTGGCGATGGTAGCACATGGCACTGGGGCGGCTTGAGCTCGTCCTAGAGTCCTAGGGGGGTAGAATGCTCGCGTCTCCTTCTTACCTCGTCCCCCTTGCCCGCTAGCTCGCCAACCTAGTGCCATGGGCTACCATCGCCTCTCTGTTTTCACTGCATCCTTCCACCTTGTTTTCACTTTTCAATTCTTCCAGTTTTCCCTGCCTTTGCTTCATTTGTCGCTTGTGATCCTTTTCCATGGCTTTGTTCCGACTTGGACCAGTTTCCCGCATCCCGTATCATTCTCACCAGCCCATGCCCTTGTTCCAGGACAAGAGGGGTGGAACAATCAGGAGCATCACGTGAGGAGCAACAACTCGACACAGCTGTGGCACACTCGTTTGGTTTGTTTGCAAAACCCATCCAACCAATGGTGAGGTTTGCACACTCGTTTCGCACATTCGTCGTGATTGCCTCTATACTCCTGCTGTCCCGTTGTGCCTTGTGTTTGCTCGCTCACTTTCTCTCTCTGCTACTTTCACCTCCGTACCTACCTACTCCTCCCCTCCCCCTACCCATCCCATCTCAGCAGCGCGAACTCAGTGGGTGTGGAAAGGAGCAATGGAGCGAATGGTTGCTGCTGTTGCTGGTGCTGGTGCTACTGCTGTTGGAGCTGCCGCATGCAGAGAAGCACTCCAACTGACACTTGAAGAGCGAAACGAAGCTCAACACAGCTGTGGTCCATCCAGCCTCTGGTTTGCACTCTCGTTTCACATTCATGCATTCATCCGTTATTGCTTTAAGACTTCTGTTGTCCCGTTGCTCCCTGTTTTTGCTCGCTTCCTCTCCCTGCCTCATGGTGCTGCTCTGGTGCTACGGCTGACGGCTCTGTTGCTGCTGGTGATGGTGATGGTGATGGAGCGAGTGCTGCTGCAGATGGTGATGGCGCTTGCAGTCCCGCTGCTGCTGCTGCTGGTCGCACTGGTACGACTGGGGCCTACTGGCATGCAGAGCAGCACTCCAACTGACACTTGAAGATTGGGGCCGCACGACCACAGTCTCACCACCTCGGACACTCCACTCTGGTGAGCCACGCACCACCATCCACTCCACTCCACTTCTCCAACAATCCTTATCATAGAACAATACAGCAATTGCAGCTGTGCGCGGCTTTTTTTTTCGCAGGACAGCCAAGGCAGCCTCTGCTTGTCCTGTGATGCACTCCTCAGATGCTGCTGATGGCTCTGGTGCTGCTGGTGCTGCTGTTGATGGTGCTGGTGCTCTTGTCCTGCGATGCACTCCTCAGATGCTGCAAGCAAGGCAGTCTCTGCCCTTCTGACTCGCCCCTTGCTACCTGCCCCGTGCCCGCTTCCCTCGCTTGCAGGGCAACTGAGATGGCTATGGTCAGGAAAGAAGACTGAAGAATGAAGAATGAAGGCTTAGGAGAGGCTCTAGGATGCTCTGTGTAGGTTGAACCTTGCTCGCTAGGAACACCCCCCCCCAACCCCCACCCCTCCCCACCCTTCCTGCCTTCCTTGCCTTCGCTTCCCCTCCCCCCCCACACTCCCCACCCTTCCACCCACTAACCCATCCACCTGACCACCCACCCATCGACCCACCCGTCCATCTCTCTAGCCCACGACCCATCCACACTAACCACAGGGCAACCCCACTCTGACTACAGGGCAGCGCCTAACTACAGGTACGCTAACCCCACTCTGACTACAGGGCAGCGCCTAACTACAGGTACGCTAACCCCACTCTGACTACAGGGCAGCGCCTAACTACAGGTACGCTAACCCCACTCTGACTACAGGGCAGCGCCTAACTACAGGTACGCTAACCCCACTCTGACTACAGGGCAGCGCCTAACTACAGGTACGCTAACCCCACTCTGACTACAGGGCAGCGCCTAACTACAGGTACGCTAACCCCACTCTGACTACAGGGCAGCGCCTAACTACAGGTACGCTAACCCCACTCTGACTACAGGGCAGCGCCTAACTACAGGTACGCTAACCCCACTCTGACTACAGGGCAGCGCCTAACTACAGGTACGCTAACCCCACTCTGACTACAGGGCAGCGCCTAACTACAGGTACGCTAACCCCACTCTGACTACAGGGCAGCGCCTAACTACAGGTACGCTAACCCAAGTCTGACTACAGGGCAGCGCCTAACTACAGGGCATGCAGAAAAGGATAATGAACAAGCAAGTAATGAAACTGTGCGGAATGGAAAGAAGAAAGAACTCTGGAATGTTTGCTTTGTGGTCTGTGTGAAGAAAGTGATGGGATTAACAAGATTAGCTTAGTTTGCTGTAACTCTTGTTCTGCTATTATAGGCTGTAGGCTGTAGGCTGTAGGCTATCGCTATGTCTAGTACAGTTGGTAGAGTGTATGCTGTTGGCTGTATCTCTACGTAGAGTACATGCTGTAGGCTAGGAAGGCTGAAGGCTAAAGGCTGTGGGCTGTGGGCTGGGGGCTGTAGTGTGTTTCACCTTGTATGCAGGTTGTAGGAGTGTCCTGGCAGAAGCAGAGGAGGAAACGAGCAGAGGAGGAAACGAGCAGAGCATGGCGATGCAGAAAGGAGGAGGAAGCACAGGAAGCAGAGAAGAAGAAGAAGAAGAAGAGGAAGCGCAGGAGGACAGGAGGTTGCTTCAGCAATCGTGGTAAGATCTCTCTTGCCCTTGTATTCTATACTCCTCCTTTCCTCTTCGCTTGGTTTCCATAGCCTCCTTACTTGCCTTCTTCACTAGCCACGTGTACTTGCATTCTTTTCTTGCCACTCCTTCATCTTATCATAAGTTGTTGATCTGCCACTGTCCCAGATGTTCGGAAGCCTAGGATGATGCAGAGGAAGCAGGCAAGAGGGAGCAGCGATAATGGAGCAGAAAAGAGGGAGCAGAGATGAGGGAGAAGAATTGTGATGTGGTAAGTCCCTCCGACATTTACCCTTCTTATCCCCTTCTCCTCGCGCCTTCAGTGCTCTGCACGCCATGTCCACATTTGCTTCCCTCGGCCGAACAGTTTCTCGCCTCCCACTCATTTTGCTTGCTCCCCTTCCACTCCTCTCTGCTTGACTGTACACCTTCACGTTTCTCCTCATGCAACTGTCACTCCATGAGTAGTAGTCACACCATGTTTCCCCTCTCTCCCACTCTAACTCTTCCTCCACTTCCAACGCATTTTCACTATGGATGTTGCAGGGTCTTGGGAGAAGACACCGACAGAGGGAGCAACAACCGAATTGCATTCGCATGGTGTGTGGTAAGAGTACTCCCGCATTCCCTTGTTCCCCTAGCCATCCCTCACTCTTTCTCCTCTATATTTAATCGCTGCTTCGCTCAGATCTTTCCTGTCTCCTCCTCTGCCCTTCAACTTACAGTCAAGCACACCATGGGCGACGGCAAAGCCGACGGCGACGGAGGAGCGAAGAACAGGCGCGACGGCGGAGCTCCGCCAGCACCTCCAGCACCCGGAGCACCAGAAGCACCTGGACCAGCACCCTCCGCCGCAGCACCCCCCGAGTCGGCGACGTCAGCACCAGAGGCCCCAGCAGCGTCAGACCTCCCCTCGCCAGCACCTCCAGAACCAGCAGGACCACCGTGTCCAGAACCGTCAGCTCCAGCGTCGTCAGCTCCAGCAGCTCCAGTACCGCCAGGAAGAGCACCCCCAGACGCAGCAACCCCAGGCTCCGTAGGCTCAGTAGCAGCACCCCCAGGCTCAGTACCCTCAGGCGCAGTACCCCCAGGCTCGGCACCCCCAGACTCCGTACACGCAGGCTCAGCACCCCCAGTCGTAGCACCCCCAGGCTCAGCACCCCCAGGCGCCGAACTCCCAGGCCCAGCACCCGCAGGCTCAGCACCCGCAGGCTCAGCACTCCCAGCAGCACCACCTGCAGCAGCACCTGAGTCACCTGTGACCTCGACAGGCTCAGCGACGGGAGGAGGGTCTACCTGAGAGACACCTGAAGGAGCAGGACCCTGAGGGGGAAGGGGGTCTACCGGAGGGGGACCAGGAGCAAGGAAAAGCGGCGGGGGAGGGAGGGGGGCAGTGCGGTAGGGGAAGAGACGGTAAAAAGGGACCGACTCGTCAAAGGTGACGTCCTGAGAGGCGAAGACCCGGCGCGAGGTGGGGTGGTAAAACTGCCAGCCCGGCGCGTCAGGGACAAAGCCAAGGAAGACACAAGGAAGCGTGCGGGAGGAGAGCTTGTCCGCGGACGTATCGCGGACAAGGGCACGAGCACCCCACACCCGGAAGCGCGACGCATCGCCAACCTCCCCCGTCCAACGCAGTGTGGGCGAGGTCTCCGGCAAGGAGACACGGGGCCAGAGGTTGAGCTGATGCGCGGCGTACCGGACAGCAAACGGCCACAGAAAATGGGGAGCCGCCGCGTGGACCAAGGAGGTACGAGCGACCTCCATGACCAGGCCAATGCGGCGCTCAGCAACCCCATTCTGCTGTGGGGAGTCCGGAAGCGTGAAGGTCTGCTCGATGCCCTCCGCCTGACAGAAGGTCCTCAAGAGATCGGAGGAAAACTCACCACCTCTGTCAGAGTGCAGACGCAGGACAGGAAGATCCGTCCGGAAACGGCGGCGGAGCTGGAGACAAACTGTGCGGATCCAAGGGATCAGAACAGCAGGGACCTCACCCTTGGTGCGCAAGGGGAAGACCGTGGTGTAACGCGAGTAGTCGTCGACAACCAGCAAAAAGTACCGCTCACCGCCCTGGCCACGAACGCGGGCTGGGCCCCACACGTCCAGGTGGAGGGTCTGCAGAGGAGCCTCTGTCGGGGGGAACGAGGAGGAGTGAGGAGCGGCGCGCTGCCGCCCCTCGACGCAAGGAAGGCAAGGCGGCGCAGGCGAGGCAGGGAGGGGAGGGAGGGACCTGGGAAGACCAGACACAAGGCAGCGACGGTGCATGCCACGGAGGCGTGGCAAGGAGGGGTGACCCAGGCGGTGGTGCCAGAGAAGAGTCTGGTGCGACAGGGAACGACACTCACAGGCGTGGGCCACCAGACCTGACGCGGACACCTGACCGACAGCAGCAACCTGAGGAGACGCAGTGGTCAGTGTGTAGAGACTCGACCCCGGCCGACGGGTAAACGTAGCCAGGTGACGGCCGGTCCTGGAGCACGTGCAGATCGCCACACGCTGTCCTCCAGGGGTAAAGGTGTCAACCCACTGATCCTGGATGACAGCGTTGCTCACCAGGTTCGTCGAGAACGAGGGGAGGTGGAAACCCGACAACGAGCCAGACGGAACCGCCGGACAAGGGAGCACAGTGGTGGACTGGGCAAGGACTGGGCCCCCAGAGGGGTCAGCCAAGGAGACTGGGACCGGTGCAGGAAGCGGTGTGAGCTCAGTACTGTCACGAAAGAAACAGCGGGAAGCACCTGAGTCAAGGGTGAAGGTGTGACAGGCCTCAGCCGGTGCGGTACCTGAGAGAGCAGTCTCTGTGGGTGCTGTACCTGAGAGAGCAGACTCGCAAACAGCCGGGACAGCACTGGAGGGAGCAAGTACAGGGGGCACCATACCAGAGAGAGCAGACTCACTAGTACCCAGGGCAGCGGGCTCTATACCTGGGTCAGGCGGCACACACAAGTAACAGTCTCCCTCGGCACTAACAGTCAATGCATACATGGCAGCAATAATAGCATCATAGTCAAGAGCAAAGATATCAACACCAGCCCTCATGAGCTCAGCCCAGCGGGGGCGCTCAACATCCTCGCCCATCTCCTCACGCCAAGCGTCGTCAAGGCGGGAGAAGCAGCGGTACGGGGTGTGGAACCTCCCACACGTCTGTCCCTTGCGGTCACCTGTGCGAATGACATAGGAACAGCGGCCACTGCCCCCCGACGTCCCACGCTGAGCAAGCCACTCACGAAGCTGTTGGGTCGTCTGGGGACGCTGCTGCTGCTGGGAGCTCTGGCCCGAGCCAGTGCCTCCACTCCGACCTCCGCCGCCACCACTACCACCGCTCCGACCGCCACCGCCACCACCGCCACCACCGCCACCGCCGCCACCGCCGCCGCCGCCACTACTGCCACTGCTTCCTCCGCCGCCCCCGCCTCCACCGCCGACCCCACTCCCACCAGCGCTCCCGCCACCGCTCCCTCCAGCACCGCCTCCCCCCCCACCTCCCCCACCTCCTCCCCCCCCAGCGCCACCCCCGCCACCCTTGCCCCCCTTGCCCTTGCCGGTGCGGCGCCTCCCACCAGGAGCAGAAGCAGCGCCAGCAGACTCAGCACCAAGGAAGTCAACAGCAGCAGCAGTAGCGTAGGAGGGAGCGAGGGGAGAGGGAGAACACCCCTCAAAGATGGGGGTGCGAGGAGCGCCACGAGCAGCACCGACAGCTACAATGCTCTTTTCGGCCGCTAGCAGCTGCTCCTCTAGGAGGGCGACTGTGAGCTCAGTGGGACAGCGAGCAAGGAAGTGGTCTCGAACTGAGCTGAGGGTGTCAGGGAGACGGGTGACTATGAAGTGGAGTGTCCAGTACAGGGGAGGGGGATTCTTAGCGCAGAACTCGGTGGGAAGGGCGGCACGCAGGCGAGCATCACTAGTGCGAAGGTGAGTGATAAGATCGGCGACTGTAGCAAAGGTGGACAGCTCAGGGAACAGGTACGGCAGCATGAGGCGGCTAAGCTCGGCTGTGGCAGGCGAGGAGTAGCGAGCAACGACAGCATCGTACAGGGCCTTAGCGGATTTGCAGTCGCCAAAATGCTCGAGCTCAGCTAGCGGCAGGTGACTGCGAATGGCTAGGCGAGCAGCTGCGTCACGAGTCTGCCAGTGGGAACGAACACTAAGCTCAGCTGTGGCAGGAGGGGCAGGCGCAGCACCAGACGCGTAATCATAGAGCGACACATGCTCCTTGCTATCGCTCAGAAGGAACAGCTGCAGGTCATCCAGCCAAGTGGCGAACTTCACAGGGCGGCCCTCAGCATCGAACGACAGCACGCGGATGGAAGCCATAGCGACAGTGCGACTGAGCAAAGGAAGCTGCCGCAGCGCTGCAGGTAGGTAGCTCGGCGGGAAGCGCGGCGGGCGGGCGACGCGGCGAGCGGGCAGTGCGGGGGGCGGGCTGCGAAGCGGGCAGCGCGGTGCTGCAGGCGGGAAGTGCGGCGGGCGGGCTGCGAAGCGGGCAGCGGGGCGGGCGGGCGACGCGGCGAGCGGGCAGCGCGGCGGGCGGGCTGCGAAGAGGGCAACGGGCAGGCGGGCGACGCTGCAAGCGGGCAGCGGGCGGGCGGGCGACGCTGCAAGCGGGCAGCGAGGCGGGCGGGCGACGCTGCGAGCGGGCAGCGCGGCGGGCGGGCTGCGAAGCGGGCAGCGGGCGGGCGGGCGACGCTGCAAGCGGGCAGCGAGGCGGGCGGGCGACGCTGCGAGCGGGCAGCGCGGCGGGCGGGCGACGCTGCGAAGCGGGCAGCGGGCGGGCGGGCGACGCTGCAAGCGGGCAGCGGGCGGGCGGGCGACGCTGCGAGCGGGCAGCGCGGCGGGCGGGCTGCGAAACGGGCAGCGCGGTAGGCGGGCGACGCTGCGAGCGGGCGGCTCGGCGGGCGGGCGACGCTGCGAGGGGCGCGCGAGGGCGCTAACGAGAGGCGCACGAGGGCGCTAACAAGGGGGCGCGAGGGCGCTAGCGAGGGCGCGCGAGGGCGCTAACGAGAGGCGCGCGAGGGCGCTAACGAGGGCGCACGAGGGCGCTACGAGGCTAGGGCACGGGGTAGCGTGGTAACCGCATGCGAGCGGTGGTGGGCCCTTAAAAAAAAACGGTCGGTAGGTCCTAGGGACCTCCTGCTCTGAATACCATGTTAACAGAACTAGGCAAGAATGGCTGCATTGAAAGAAACAGTTGGGTACAAGTAGCTAACCCTAGTTGGGTTTGTACCCTGTATTGGCTACCCCACTACAGCCTACCTACATATAAATAACACATTACAACTTAACACCAAGGTCTGAGAAAAGAATGATATTGAGAAACCCAAAAAATGTCGCGATACATTAGGGTGTTTTCCAAAATTCTGGCTTAATGCCAACAATTGGTTTTTTAGGGCAGTGTGGATGAATCAGGCCGTCAGTTTCCTGTCGTGTCAGGTCATCACAAAATGTGCGCGAAGAGCACCGACATTGAGATCCTGTGCTTGTTCGAAGCCGTAATTTTACACCTTCGAAGAAGTTTGAGAGTGTGCGACAACCGAACTTGTTCGGAGGTCACTTGTTCGGAAGCCTGGAATGCCATCTCAGAGCCGCAACCTGCGTCGCGGGAGCACCCCGCCATCCAATCAGAGCCGATGGCGGCTGCTCCAGCCCTGGTTTGTGTCGCCATGCCGCTTTCCGTTTCGGTTTGGAGAAACCCAAGGTGCGCCACTCACTTCGCATCACACGAAATCTCGTCGGCCCAATCGTTACCGTTGAATCTCAGATAGATTTTCGCTGACTGGACGCAAAGAATTCCTGACATGCGTCAGGAATTTCCTCAGACGTCTGTAATTTCCACCCTCGCCTCGTCAGTGCTGTACAAACCTAACTCGGTGCTCCGGCTGGTACATACGCTAGATTTTTTTGTGACACCCCTCCTCCGCCTAGTGGAAACCTAGAAGTTCCCGTAGACCGCCAGGAACACGTATGTTCCTCCTCTGTTCGAATGCCATTCCCGGCGGGCGTAGGGAACGTCTACCAATGTCCGCTCGTCACTGAGAGGGTGTCTCAAAACCCTCGGTCCACACTGGTTCTATGCGGTCGATGTGAGGCAGTCCACCAAACCAGGGTGGACCCGAGCGTGGACCCACATGGTACGCTGCAGCGGACCAGAGGTGTTCGAAGGAAGCACCCCCGTTTTAATGGGCGAATGTGACCATACCGGGGAGATATGTCTGGCTCGGCGAGCCAGTCCACATCGGACCCCTGAATAGTGATGTTCTTTGCGAACACTTGCGAGCCTGCCTCGCGAGTGTCGCAAAGCTTGGCAGCGCGCTAGCGGACTGGTGTGAGAGGTGACGACAAGCCTATTCCCTGCACCTATGGAATCGCCAACATTGAAACCTGGTACAGTTGAGCAAGTGTTCTGTACAGTCCTGCGTGATGGTAACCCAGTTTTTTTAGAAAAGGTACAGTTATGCTCGCCTACACGCTACTGTTGATTGCATCTGCGGACCCAACAACAATGAGTCCCAAGCTGGTTCGCTAGGCTGGTCCACACTGGTCCAGCGGACCAGTCCGGGGCATTTCAGGGTGACGAATTTCAACGTCGGACCAGGAAGGGGCGGACCCGCGTACCAGCCGAAGTGAGACACGTCCTGAGGCGTCATGTGTAGAAGCTCTGCTTCCCCCGCTGACTCTCCAATGCAATTCTGAGTAAATTACGAATACAGTAATTTATCGAATTTCGCTTTCTACGATGGGGGCGAAGCTTCAGGTCCAGCTGCTGCAGGCTCGGAACCTGGCGGCTAAGGACAGCAACGGCTTAAGCGATCCGTACGTGCGTATGCAGGTCGGCCGGAGCAAGGCGCGCAGCAGCACGGTGTATAAGAACCTCAATCCGACGTGGAATGAGGAGTTTCTGTTTAGAACGGATAACCTTGAAACGGATGTGCTCCTCGTGACCGTGTGGGACGAGGATTACTTAGGAAAAGCGGATTTTCTGGGTCAGATGTCGGTGCCGGTAGCTGCGGTGGCGGCTGCGGAAGGGAAGAGCCTTCCGCCGACATGGTATCCGCTCAAGAAGAAGAGCGAGCGATCTCGCTCCTTCGTCTCAGGTCAGAAACCATGAACATTCGTCTCAGATGTCCTAATTCCAACAGCACCGTCCAATTCGAGTCAAGTTCTCTAATGAATGTCGTCAGAAAGAGATCATGCGTCTCGCAATGCGTTGTTTGTGGGATGGGGTGTGCGGCGTATTTTGCTGAAAAACACCTTGTTGTGGGTAGAGTTTTGCAAACTGACGAGTTAGAGTTCGACGCTCCTCGGTCGTGGCGTGATGTCAAACTCGGCCGCATTCCGCATTGTGTCGCGTGCGCTCACGCGTTGAGCCCCCGGATTTCACGCCGTTGTCGCGGTGCCACGCGTTTCCACGACATTTGATGCTTTCGCATGACATTTCACGTTTTCATAACCGCATTTCACGACTTCTTTAGGTCTCAGTTGATCTTTCAAGCGTTCGCCAGTCAAAATGGTTCCTCGTCCGCTCGATTGCACCCAGTCAGGGCCAGAATACGCGTCCGGGGGATTCCCGGCAGTCCCGGGAGTCCCGGCGGACCGTGCTATGGCGTTTCTGTCCAAGTCGTTATTATGTTCTCAACGCCATCGCCAAACTTCTCCCCTTCTCCCCACCGCCATTGCAACCCTACGTCATTCCGCAGGCGAAATCCTTATCGAGGTCTCGTTATGGGGCCTCGTGTCCCACGCGGCTCAATCGCAAACCGCCAGCCCTGTCAGCTCGACCGCCCTCTCCCCCTTCTCCTCCACCCCATTCTCCATCACCCCTCCCTCCACCTCGCTCACCCCCTCCCTCCCCCTCCTCACCTCCTCCTCCTCCTCCACACCATCCTCCCTCGCGTCCACCCCTGGCAACTACCACCCCAACCCAACCGAACCGGCTTACAACCCCCCAGCCACTTTCCAACTCCAGATGGGCCTCACCACAATCTCCTCCGAGCCACACTCCCCAACCTCTTCCACTCACTCAACCGCGTCCGCGCCTGGCTCTCTCGGCTCGCTGTCTACGTGGCTGTCAGGGCCCCTGTCAGGGCCGCTCTCCTCCACCTGCTCCTCCGCTGCTTCCGGCTCGTTAACCTTCAACTCCGGTCCTCTGCTGCTGACTGGGGTGCCCTCTGCTGCTTCTGACTCTCTGCCTGCTTCCTCTCTGCCTCCTGCTGCCGATGCGCCAGCTCTCCCGCTGCCTCCTGCAACGATTACTTCCTCTAGTGAAGCTGACGTCATTGCTCCTACTCTTGTGCCTGATGGTAGCTCGTCCTTCGCTGCTCCTCCTCCCCCTGTCACAACCGGGAGCGACGCAGCAACCCTTCCTGAACTTGCGTCGCCAACTGACACGCGGCTCTTACCTCATTCTGCCGACTTGCACCTGAAACCCGTTGCTGAATCCCACGCCATGCAGCACTCCGCCTCCGCGCCTGCCCGTCCCTCCAAGCCCAACTTCTTCCACTCCTTCACTCTCTCAGGACCCTCCAAATCCAAATCTAAATCTTCCATGCGCGCCCACGTCAGCACCATATCCGAATCTTCCGACGAATCATCCTCTCCCTCAGCCCTCCTCCCTCACGCCGCCACCATCAACACCCCCCCTCCACACCACCACACCTCCAAAGTCCCAGCAAACACAGACGCAAGCACCGAGGTCGTCTTCCCAAGGGCGAAGTCCGTGGGACTAAGGAGGCGCATGTCTGGCTTTACCTCCTCCTCTAAGGCCTCCCGAAGAGCCTCAGAGCACCACCAGCAGCAGCAGCAGCAGCAGCGGCTCGCCGCATGGGCTGCCGAAGCAGCGCTCTGTGTCGTCCTTTTTGCCCCGCCGCCGCTCCTCCTCCACTGAGAATGCCACTGTGAGGGCCAGTAAGAGCTCTGATGGCGCTGCTGCTGCTTCCCCCCTGCCGAAGTCCGGGAGTGTAACGGGGGGAGGGGCGGGGAGTGGGGGGTCGGGAGCGAGTTCGGGGGAGGATGGGGGGGAGAAGGGGGAAGGGGCGGGGGCGGTGGGGGGATTGGGAGGAGGGGAGAGCTTGGTGCCGCTGTCGTGGTTTGATGGGGATGTTAAGGGGGTGGCTTCTAAGGGGGATATGCCGGGAGCGCTGGGGGGAGGAGTGTTGGTGGAGCAGTGGTATGGTGTGCCGGCGCATGAGCTGAACGGGATTCTCTTCAAGCCTGACTCTGACTTCTATGCTGAGTTCACTGCCGGTGAGACGCGGTGCAGTGCGGTGTGATGTGGTGTGATGTGGTTTGGATTGGTGTGACTTTTGAGTCGACTTATAAGTCACGTTGGGGGGAGGAGTGCTGGTGGAGCAGTGGTATGGAGTGGCAGCGCATGAGCTGAATGGGATTTTGTTCAAGCCTGACTCTGACTTCTATGCTGAGTCCACTGCCGGTGAGACGTGGTGCAGGGTGGTGTGGAGTGATTTGGTGTGGTGTGGGGTGGTATGGTGCAGTGGGGTGTGGTGTGATGTTTAGGAAGGAATGCCAGTGGTGTGATGATCCTGGATCCCCTTTTCCCTGTCCCCTTCCGTCCCTCTCCTCCCACTCCTTCTCTCTGCCCCTGCAGAGCGCAAGGTGTCTCAGCTGGAAACAGGGCCATGGATAGAAGGCGACGCTGCTGCGATCCCCTCCCTAGCAGACTCCCTCCCAGCCACCATCACAACCGCCAACACTCCCGCCTCTCCTCCAATCAGCTCGCGAGTGGTCCGCTACATGACCGCGCCCTCCTCCCTGGTCAAGTCTGTACTCGCTACAGAGCTGATGCGTTACAGCAGGGCGGACGCGGGGGGGTATCTGGTGGAGGTGTATGTGGCGACGCCTGACGTGCCGTACGGCAACACATTCCGCACTGAAATGCAGTTCTGCATCACACCGGGACCAGGTACCACCTCCCTCTTGCTCTCCCCCCACACCCGCCCCCCCCACCCCCCCCTGCCTGACGTGCCGTACGGCAACACGTTCCGCACTGAAATGCAGTTCTGCATCACACCGGGACCAGGTGAGGCATCACGCCTGCTCCAGGTGCCACCTCTCTCTCGCTTTTCCCCCAACCACCCCCGCCTGACGTGCCGTATGGCAACACGTTCCGCACCGAGATGCAGTTCTGCATCACGCCTTTTCCAGGCGAGATGGGTGGCATCACACCCACACCAATATGGCACCCTGACGTGCCATATGGCAACACGTTCCACACTGAAATGCAGTTCTGCATCACATTCGGACCAGGTGAGGTGGTTAAAATAGCATCACGCTTTCTCCACGTGCCACCTCTCACCCTCTCGCCCCCCACAACTTGCAAACTGCCCCCCTAACTTAAAAGCTGCTGCTCTGCTCCCCCTTATTCCCACGCCCCTTGCCTTGTGCATGGCCACAGACGGCAGCAGCTGCCAGCTGCGTGTGTCGTGGGCGCCGTGCTTCCTACAAAGCACTGTTTGTGCTCACAAACAGACACCAATAACTAAGAAGCTGCTGCTCTCCTCTCTCCTCACGCCCCTTGCCCCTTGCCCCTAACCATAGACGGCAGCAGCTGCCAGCTGCGGGTGTCGTGGGCGCCGTGCTTCCTGCAGAGCACCATGATGAAGAGCATGATTGAAAACGGAATGCGCTCCGGACTCAAGGACACCTACGTCGCTTACCAGACGGTGAGAGACACGAATGTGCTGGTAACCACCAGCCAGTAACCACCAGGCAGTAACCACCACCCTGTGCACAGTCCTCCTGCAGAGCACCATGATGAAGAGCATGATCGAGAACGGGATGCGGCCCGGGCTCAAAGACACCTACGTCGCTTACCAGACGGTGAGAGGCATGCATGTGCTGCGTTGGTAACCAGGCTGTATCGCACACATCTTGTTGCCCTGTGGAGCACAGTGGTGAAGGGCTTGAATCTCAAATGTACCAGCCAGGTGCACAGTCGTCCTGCAGAGCACCATGACATGCTGAAGAGCATAATCGAGAATGGCATGCGCTCCGGCCTCAAAGACACCTATGTTGCTTACCAGATGGTGAGAGGCATGCATGTGCTGGTAACCAGGCAGTGCTGACATTGCTTACTCACATGCAGTTCTGTGCTGCTGTAGCTGCAAGTCAGTTAATAATACAGTTGAGTCCTTCACTCAATGCACACCAATCAATTCTCCGTTCCCGTCCATCTTCCTCTGTCCCACTGCCCCCGCAGATCCTGTCTAAATACGCTGCACCGGCCACGGCCCCTCTCGGCTCCTCCTCCTCCCCATCGGCCCTCCTCCCCGAGCCTCCACCGCAGCAGCCGCTGATGGCGCGGCTGTTCAGCGTGCTGGGGCACTTCTCCCTGCTGCTCTTCTTCCTCTCCCTTATAGTGCTCCCCACGCACAGACCATCCACTCCTTGAGTCAACTCACACGAATCATTTTCCCGTTTCCTCCCTCCTTGCTCATTTCCGCTGTTCCTGTCCCGCAGATCCTGTCTAAATACGCTGCACCGGCCACAACCCCTCTCGGCTCCTCCTCCCCATCGGCCCTCCTCCCCGAGCCTCCACCGCAGCAGCCGCTGATGGCGCGGCTGTTCAGCGTGCTGGGGCACTTCTCCCTGCTGCTCTTCTTCCTCTCCCTTATAGTGCTCCCCACGCACTTCATACAGCGCGCCAAGGGCCTGCCAGGCGTGCAGTTTTTCCTGCTGGACCTGCCAGATGGGGTGATGGAGCTGCTGTGCACGGCTGTCATTGTTCTCTCTGCTGAGAGGGCGCTCTTCCGGCTGAGGAATATTATCACCTCACGGCTTCTGAGAAGTGAGTGTGTGAATGTGTGCATGCGCAAGTGTGTGGGGGAGAAAGCAGCCTGCCAGGCGTGCAGATGTTGCTGCTGGACCTACCGGATTGGGTGATGAGCTGCTGTGCACGGCTGTGATGGGCACTCTTCCGACTAAGAAATATCATCACCTCGCAGCTTCTAAGAAGTGAGTGAACGTGTGGGTGTGTGACTGTGTGTGTGTGCATGTGGGTGTGATGTGCGTGTCATGTTTCCGTACTCTCTAATCCTATCCTACCATACCCACCCATGCTGCATGCATGTGTGTGTGTGTGTGTGTGTGTGCAGGGGGCGACCATGGGAAGAAGGCGGAGGGAGAGGGGTGGCTGCTGACAGTGACACTGGTGCAAGGGGAGGGCGTGGGGGAGGCTGGGGGACTCGGTGGCAAGAGCGACCCGTATGTGGTGTTCACATGTAATGGCAAGACACGCACCAGCTCTGTCAAACTGCAGACCAACCGCCCGGTGTGGAACGGTGAGAACGTGTAAACGAACATGTGTTGGTGTGTGTGGGTGGCAAGAGCGACCCGTATGTGGTGTTCACGTGTAATGGCAAGACACGCAATAGGAATTGGATGGGCGTGTGTGTGTGCGTGCGTGTGTTTTGTTTTTCTATGCTGGCGTGTTTTGTGTGAGTGTGTGTGCATACGCGCGCGACCAACCTTCCCATGTCCCATCCCACGTCCCATCCCACATCCCCTTCCTCCATTTCTCCAGAGGTGCTGTCATTTGATGCCTTTGAAGACCCGCCCTCCACGCTAGACGTGGAGATCTTTGACTATGACAGCCCCTTCCCAGCGCCCACATTCCTCTTCTTTCCCTTCCCTCCCCTCCCCACACCCCTTCCCTTTTCCCCCATCCCCCAGAGGTGCTGTCCTTCGACGCGTTTGAGGACCCTCCATCCACTCTAGACGTGGAGATATTTGACTACGACGGGCCCTTCTCAGCGCCCACTGCCCTCGGCCAAGCAGAGGTGGACCTCGTGCGGAGCAGCGCGCAGGAGCTTGCAGACCTCTGGGTGCCGCTGCAGGGAGGGCCGCGGGCAGATGCGCGCAGAGGGGGGAAGGCGCAGGGGCAGGCGCCAGGGCAGGGGGTGGAGCCAAGGCTGCAGCTGCGGGTGCTGCTAGCGAGTACGAGTGAGGCGTCCCCTCCGATGATTCTCGAGCGGATCAGCAAGCAAGTCGGCAAGGAGGTGTGTTGTTGCGTGGGGGGATAGGTGGAAGGAAGATGCAGGTGCGTTGAGTTTCTCATGCTCCCTGACTTAAGAGCCACGTGATACAAGTGTAGTTTTGAGAAGTCTAAAACTGCTTCCTTATGTGCTCTGTAATACCCCTCTACGCTCACCCTACTACCCCATTGCTCTCTTCTGCCCCTCCCCCAACCAGCTGCTGCGTATATCTGATGAGAAAAACATGGCCTTTCATAATTTATTCGACCTGCCTGAAAACGAGCCGCTTATCAACGACTTCTCCTGCGCGCTCAAGAAGAACCTTCTCTCCCAGGTAGGGCCCGAGGCTCACGTGTGCCACATCCTAGTATCTCCACTGAGCCTTGCGTTGTTGTTGCCTACTACGGTCCGTTTGTCATCAGCTTCATCCTTCTTGACTCTCTCCACCACCTCACCTGACTCTCTCCTGATACTCACTTCCCTGCTGCTGCCTCTCTCGTCCTGGCTCTTTGTAGCCGCTTATTCCTCACCCTCCTCTCCCCTATTCCTTGATCTTCCAATTTCCCTCCCTCCCTCCCCGCCCCTCCTTCCCCTCCACTCCCTCCCCTCCCCACAGGGTCGTCTCTTCCTCTCCCCCCGCCTGCTCGCCTTCCACGCATCGCTCTTCCGAGTGCGCATCAAGCTAGCAGTGCGGTGGGAGGATATAGACGAGCTCAAGCTGCTTAAACCCTTACCCTCTTTTTCCCACAATACCCATCTCCTCTTTGTTACAGGGCCGCCTGTTCCTGTCGCCCCGTTTGCTCGCCTTCCACGCATCCCTATTCCGAGTGCGCATAAAGCTGGCAGTGCGGTGGGAGGATATAGACGAGCTCAAGGAGAACGCGCCCACCATCCACTCCATCAACCGCCTGCTCAACCCCTCCATCACCATCTATGTCAAACCGGGGAGAGGGGGGCCCGATACACGCAGCGCTGCCTATGGCATTGACCCCTCGGGCCGCCTGAAGATTCGCTTTCAGTCCTTCGCGCGGCCCACCATTGCCTTCCGGTCAGTGCTTTTTGGTTAGGGCCATTACCCTGTGAGCCGGTAAGCGAGTGCACATTCAATGTGCTTCCCCCCCACCATCCACTCCATCAACCGCCTCCTCAACCTCTCCATCACCTTCTACGCCCACACCTGCCTTACCCTCCCCCTCACCCTCCTCTCCACAGGCTGATCACAGCGCTGTGGCGTCACAGAGCGCTGCCCCCCAAGCAGCAGCTGGAACGAGCCAAGGAAGCCGCCACCGCTGCCCCCCGAACAGGCTGTGATATACTTCCTCTCTCTCTTTCCTCCCTCCCTCTCTCTCCCTCCCGCACCCCTACCACCCCCAGGCTGATCACAGCGCTGTGGCGTCACAGAGCGCTGCCCCCCGAGCAGCAGCTGGAGCGAGCCAAGGAGGCCGCCACCGCTGCCGCTGCTGCAGAGGCAAGCGGAGCAGACGCAGCAGCAGGGGCAGGGGCAGGGGCACCGGCACCGGCAGCGACAGGGGCAGGGGCAGGGGCAGGGGCAGCAAGGGATGGTGCGAAGCCCCTCCCAGGGCTTTGGGGTTGGGACTGGCGGGGGTGGGGGTGTGGGCAGTGCAGCAGGGGGGAAAGGAGGGGCTGGAGCGGGTGGTGTTGCTGGCAGTGGTGGTGGGGTGGTGGGGAGTGATGGGGAGGGGGTGGAGGAGCAGGGGGGAGTGTGCACAGACGTGTATGAGATGATTGACAGCATCAGCACTGCTGTGCCCATGACGGTACGTGGGAGAGTGTGTGTTTGGTATGCAGACGGTGGGTGGGAGAGTGTATGTGTGAGTAAGGTGAGCAAGATGTGTGCAATGTGCAAGGACTTGCATGGAATGGTCACCTGCACCTGCACTCGCACACTTACTCGCTCACACGGTCACACCCACAACACAAACACCCAGTTGCACCCTCGCCCTCACCCCCACTCACGGCCACACTCACAGGTGGAGCAGTTCCTGGCGATGACGGAGCAGCAGCAGCTGCAGCGCAAGGCAAGGTAGCAGATACGAACCCAACACTCATGCCCACATGTACCCCCACTCACGCACTCACAGGTGGACCAGTTCCTAGCGGTGACAGAGCAGCAGCAGCTGCAGCGCAAGGTGGCAGACATAACGAACCCAACATGCACGTCCCTTTGTGCCCACACACACTCCCACACCCGCACCCCCATTCATGGTCCCACCCACTCACAGGTGGACCAGTTTCTAGCGATGACAGAGCAGCAGCAGCTGCAGCGCAAGGTGGCAGACGCGACGGGCCAGATGCAATCAGTCCTTCCCGCACACTCATGCATGAAAATTACCCAACACTCACGCCCACATGTGCACACACTCACTCACCCCGCCCTCCCCCTCACCCTCCCTCCTCCCCTCCCCTCCCCCCCCTCTTCTGCCACACTCACAGGTGGACCAGTTTCTAGCGATGACGGAGCAGCAGCAGCTGCAGCGCAAGGTGGCAGACGCGACGGGGCAGACCCACTTGGAGGTCTCTGATTGGGTGGTGGTGGACGGCGCGCCGCCCGGTGCCGCGCGGAGCCAGCGCAACATCAAGTTCAAGTTCTCCCGCCAGATGTCGCCGTTTGGGACCACCGTGTCAGGCGTGCAGCAGGCCACTAAGGACGCGACACCTGGCATGTGCACGTGGGCCACGCTAGAGGAGTCGATCACTCTGCACCAAGTGCCCTTTGGAGATTACTTCCAGGTGCGTGCTCGTGAAATGTTTTTCCACTGCCTGGCATGTGCATGTGGCTGACGTGGAGGAGTCGCATACTCTGCACCAGATGCCCTTCGTTGACCGATTTGCCTGAGAGGCTGTGCATCATTGAAACTTTGCAGGAGCTGGATTGGAGTTGCATATGTTTGTACCGGGGCTGTTTACAGGCTGTTTCATGGTGCTTGTGATATGTGCATGTTACATATTGATATGGATGTGTGTATGTTGATGATTGCAGGTGGAGACCAAGCGGGAGCTCAAGTCGCAGCAGCTCGTGAACGGCAAGGAGGATGGGAAGGCGGAGGCTAAGGCGGGAGGATTCAACGAGCAGGTGTCGGAACTCAAGACAACGGTGGGCATCACGTGGCAGAAGCAGGCGAATGAACGCACCCGTGTCAAGATCAAGGCGAACGTTGGCGAGTGGTTCAAGGAGCACAACAAGAGAGTGCTGGACATGGTAGTCAGGGAGGCCATTGCGGCTACCCAAGGTTGAAAGGTTTTTCAAAAGGTCGTACCCAATCCTGGCCGGGGAAATAAATGATGGTGTGAATGCGGAATTGCGGAATGGACGATTCCGGGACGTCCGCGGCGGATGGGCAGTTGAAGGTATGGTATGACTTGGTTTGCTAATTATAGTAGTAATATCAAAATAGCAGGTGCACTGGTGAGATATGCCATTTTCACCCAGCTGTACCACTAGATGATTCGTCGAGCACGACTTCGACGGCAAGTGGGTTGGGCTGACTGGAAGAAGCCTCCACCGTCCATCCGTCCATCCCATGACTCTTGGGTTCATCTGATTCGCGCGTGCCAGTTTTGGGTTCGTCATGCTGTAGCCTAGTTTCGTTTGTTGAAACGCACCACACCGAGACAAACCGTTACGAATGAGGCGAAAACGAGCGTGAGTGGACACCTGCAGAAATCTGGATCTCTGGAAATCGACGGAACGGAATTTCCCGCGGCAGCAGCAGCACCACCACCAACCTTGGGAGTTGCGGGCCAGAATCGCATTACCTAGGAACTAAATAGGTTGAAGACGCGAGGATTTCTGGGAGGGAAATCGGGATTTAGCGGAGAGACGAGCAGCTAGTCACTGACGCTGAAGATGTCTTATCCTTGTAGAACCCGTCACTGACGCTGTCGGAACTGCGGATGCTCGCAGCATGTCGCACATAAAACCGATGCGTCGCATGCAGGACTGAAGCGTCGCTTGTACGATTCGCCGACCTTGAATGTACTGGTAAGGATCGTCATTTAGGAGCATCTTTTAGAAGCACGTTCCAGGAGCAGTGTTTACTAGGCAAGTCAGATCCAAAGGCTCGCCTTGTTCGCACTGCTCGACTCAAGAGCAATCCTCGTACTTCACCGTCGATTTCTGAGACGTCTCAAATCCAGGGCCATCCTCGTACTTCACCGTCGAACCAGCTTTTGGCTCAGTTTCTAATGAGGATTGCGAATCGGAGCGCGTCACCGCTCGCCATTCGCGCTTCTCTCACTTCGGCCAATCGCGAACTACTGAAGATCCGCCGACTGCCATTTGACGGTCATCTGATCACCATTCGACCGAATCCAAACGTGCTCCGACTGCCATCTGACAGCCAATCACAATGATGTCCAGAGGGCCTCGCGGAGGCCTGCGTCGACCGCCGCATTTGCCGGGCAAGGCGGGAGGCGACTGGTTCGCGTCGCTCCGCGGTCGAACGTTAATGTCCATCGCTCTCGTCGCCGTCGTCGCCTCCACCAGGTACGCCGTCGTCGCCGTCGTCGCTCCACCATGATCGCTCCACCATGATCGCTCCACCATGATCGCTCCATCATGATCGCTCCATCATAATCGCTCCATCATAATCGCTCCATCATGATCGCTCCATCACACAGTCGTACCACCAAACGCTCCGCGCATTTTACTCCTTCCCTCACTCACCTACACATCCACTCCCCCACACCCACTCTCCTCACATCCATCCCCCCACATTCAACCCCCCCACATCCACCCCCCCACATCCACTCCCCAACATCCACTCCCCCCCCACATCTCCGCAGGCGCAGCTGGTTCCCCTCGGCGCAGCTGGCGGCGCTGCTGGTGGAGCGGGGGGGCTGCGAGTTCCCCATCCAGCTCAACGCGCGCGGCGCGCTGGAAGGCCCGTGGGTGAACCACTCCGCGCACGACCCGCACGCGCTCCTCGACCTCGTCTCTCGCTCCGCGCACGGCGATAGGCGGAACGCCTTCGCGTCGGACGCGGACGGGGGAACGGGGGCGGGGGAGGCGGAGTTTTACTCCCCCGCGCGGTACCAGGCGATGGGGAAGGTGGTGGCGGCGGAGGAGGGGGAGGACGACGGCAAGGCGCCGTGGGGGCATGTGGTGGAGGGGCTGCTGACGGCCGGCACGCTCAGCACGGGGAATCGACTCACCCTGGCGTTTGCACGGCTAGCAGAAAGGTTTCTTGCCTCATGGGTGCGAATCGATGTGAGTAGAGGGGGGGAAGGGGACGGGATGGGTTGACGGGTGGTAGTGGGGTTTGGGGGGTTGTGTGAATTGGAGAGTGTGTGATGCGAGGGGTGCATCACACGTGGTACAGGGGCTGTTGGCGACGGCAAGGCGCCGTGGGGGCATGTGGTTGAGAGGCTGCTGGCGGCAGGCACGCTCAGCACGGGGAATTGACTCACCCTGGCGTTTGCACGGCTGGCGGAAAGGTTTCTGGCTTCGTGGTTCCGGATTGATGTGAGTGGGCAGGGGGGTGAGGGAGTTGGGGGAGGATATCTGGATTGTTGTGAGTTGCGGATTGGGGATGTGGGGGGATGAGAGTGGTGGTGGGAGATTTGGGGGATAACTGGGGATAGAGAGATCATTTCCTGCTGCATCCGTGTGTGCTCTCATCTCATACACTGTACCCCTGTGCGCCTCTTCCCCTGCCCCTGTGTTCATATGTGCCTGTGTGCTTGCATGCCTGCGAACAAGCAGGGTATCACCAAGGGGCTTGGGAAGGCGGGTATGGTGAAGCAGATCATGTTCCCTGCCATGGCCGTCAATCCCAAGGTACCGCCCCAAATCCACTGCATTCCTCCCCACTCCACTGCTTTCCTCCCCACTCCACTGCATTCCTCCCCACTCCACTGCATTCCTTCCCACTCCACTGCATTCCTCCCCACTCCACTGCATTCCTCCCCACTCCACTGCATTCCTCCCCACTCCACTGCATTCCTCCCCACTCCACTGCATTCCTCCCCACTCCACTGCATTCCTCCCCACTCCACTGCATTCCTCCCCACTCCACTGCATTCCTCCCCACTCCACTGCATTCCTACCCACTCCACTGCATTCCTCACCATTCCACTGCATTTCTCTCTCACTCCACCGTATCTCACTCATCTGCTTCTTCCTCACTGCACTGCTTTCGCCCCTCCTCCTCCCCACCAAGTCCCACGCGTCCCTCCCAACTCCCATGCATTCCCTCCCACCACCCTTTCTCCGGCCCGGCTCTCCGCCCCCCTTCCCCCCCCCCCTCTCCCAACCCCTTTCCCCCTCCCGCCTCTCCGTGCCCACATCTGCAGATGCAGCCGTGCCTGGCGCATGTGCGCATAGTGCTGCGTCGTGTGTACTTCCGCTACAGCTCCTTCCTGTTGGCTTACCCCTCTCTCCCCCTCTCCGCCCCTCTCTCCTTCCCCGGTTTCTTCCCCCCATGTGCAGATGCAGCCATGCTTGGCGCATGTGCGCATAGTGCTAGGCCGCGTGTACTTCCGCTACGGACCCTTTCCGTGGCTTACACCTCTCTCCCCCTCTCCGCCCCCCTCACCTTCCCCGCCTCTCCTCCTCCCCATCTGCAGATGCAGCCATGCCTGGCGCATGTGCGCATAGTGCTAGGTCGGGTGTACTTCCGCTACGGCTCCTTCCTGGAAGATGCGCGCAAGCTCAAGCGCATCAACCTGGCAGTCAAGATGATCCACCATGCCATCACTGCATACGACCTCCGATGTACGTTTCTGTCTGCCATGCGACCTCACATGTGCGTCTTCTTGTGACATCGTATCAAGGTGTGCTCTCAAGCGCATCAACCTGGCAGTCAAGATGATCCACCATGCCATCACTGCCTACGATGTGCGTCCCTTTTTTCCATTGCATATCAATCAATCAAAGCACACCTTTTGAGTCGACTCAAAGCAACCTGGCAGTCAAGATGATCCTTTAAGCCATCACTGCATACGGCCTCCAATGTATGTCTGGTCCATTAGCGTTGACAACTCCCTCTCCTCCAGCTGATCTCCAACTTTTCCGCTCAGCACTGCTCCTATAGGCGCGTTCGACCTGCCTTCAATCTCCTCTCAATGCCTCCGCCCTCCCCACTTCCCTCCCCTTCTCCTCCCCCTTTCCCTCCCCTTCTCCTCCCCACTTCCCTCCCCTTCTCCTCCCCCTTTCCCTCCCCTTCTCCTCCCCCTTTCCCTCCCCTTCTCCCCTCCCCTCTCCCACCACCAGCACTGCGGGCGGAGCTATTCATAAACGCGTGTGACAAGCCTGTCAGCTTCGACAACTCCCTCTCCTCCGGCTGCTCCGGCTTCCCCGTCTTCAGCACACAGTGGACCCCCGGCTCAACCGACATTCTCTTTCCAGACCCCCTCGACCTCGACTACTCGCCTCCACAGCACGCAGAGCACGTGCCCTGGGCAAAGGTGTGTGCTTTCGTCCCTGGTGCTGCTTAGGAAGCATTTTAGGTGAGTCGGGCTTGTGTCTCCCACGCTAGTCAGTCAGCACGCACTGGACCCCCGGCTCCACCGACATTCTCTTCCCCGACCCCCTCGACCTTGCCTACTCGCCTCCACAGCACGCAGAGCATATCCCTTGGGCCAAGGTGCGTGCCTTGTGCTCCTTGTCAAGCCTTTTATAACATATCTTGGACAGTCTAGTCAGTCAGCACGCAGTGGACCCCTGGCTCCACGGACATCCTCTTCCCAGACCCTCTCGACCTCAACTACTCGCCCCCTGTTCATGCGGAGAACGCGCCCTGGGTCAAGGTGTCTCTCTTCTCGTGTTCCTTGTACTGGATGGGAAGCCTTTTAGGCCAGGCGGGCTTGTGTCTCTCAGGCTGGTAAGTCAGCATGCAGTGGACCTCCCCGGCTCCACTGACATTCTCTTCCCCGACCCCCTCGACCTCGACTACTCGCCTCCACAGCACTGAAAAGACCCCCTCTGTACCCCCTCCCTCTGGTGTGTGCCTGTCACAGAAGGAAGGCAAGGCGGTGTGGCGCGGCAAGGGGTTTGAGTTCCAGCTGAAGCTCTACGACTGGGCCTCCAGCTTCCTTTGAAAAGAACCCCTCTGTACCCCCTCCCTCTGGTGTGTACCTCTTGTAGAAGGAAGGCAAGGCGGTGTGGCGCGGGCGTGGGTTTGAGTTCCAGCTGAAGCTCTACGACTGGGCGTCCAGCTTCCGCCTGCGCCTGCACCGAACCTCCGACTCTCGCCCAGACCTGCTGGATGCGCGCATCTCCAGCTACAACCCGGGGGATCTTGCCGACCCTAAAGAGATGCTCAAGAAGTGAGTGGTTCAGTGCGGTGCACAGGTGCTGTGTGATTTGTACTCTGAGAAAATGCCATGCCGTGTGATTTCAATGTGCCCCTTTTCTTACTGTCACCTCCCTTTGCTCCATTCTCCTCTCTTTCTCTCCTTCGTAGGAATGGGTTTGTGTTGAAAGAGGAGGTGGATGAGGGGGTAAAGGAGAGCGCGTTCAAGTGCGTCTTTCACAAGTGAAGCTGCAATGCTATTTCCTTGTGTCCCTTCCCATTCTCCCCCCGACCCGCTGCTCTGTTTCCCCGCCTCAGGAACAGCTTAGTGTAGGCGGAGGAGCTGGGTGAGGGGGTGAAGGAGAGCGCGTTCAAGTGTATCTTCCCTCCTATCCTCCTCTTTATCCCCCTCCCACCTCCCTTGTGCTTCTCTTCCCTGAAGAAATGGGTTTGTGTTGGCGGAGGAGATGGACGAGGGGGTGAAGGAGAGTGCGTTCAAGTACGTGGTTGTGGTGGACGAGAGGGTGGGCACTCGTGACACGTGTCGCGCTCTGAGTGCCCAGCAGGCCATCATTCGGCACCAGTCGGGCTTCATGCAGTTCTTTGAGCCGCTCATGCTGCCTGGGGTACACTACATCCCCGTTACACACAGGTCAGTGCTGCCTGGGGTACACTACATCCCCGTTACACACAGGTCAGTGCTGCCTTCATGGCAAGGCAACTTATGTCATTGCCTGCTCTTGATGCCCTTTCAATTTTCTTTAGGCAGCACGGCGATGCAGTGCACTCCATGCTGCTCAAAGCGCCCAAATCCATCTCCCACTCTCCATCTCCCACTCCCTACGCCTGCTCTTTTCTGTCGCGGCACTTGGCTCATTCCTAGCTCTCCACGCCCTTGCCATGCTTGCAGCTTCACGGATCTGGTGGCAGCAGTGGAGTGGATGAGGCAGCACGACGATGCCGTGCACACCATGCTGCTCAACGCCAATGAACTCGCCTCCCACGTGTGCACGTGGCAAAGCCGCGTCCACTACTGGGCTGTGCTTCTCGCCAAGTACGCTGCTAGAGCCATGGAAACCCCTCAAGCCGTTGTCGCACCTACGGTTTGCCCGGGCGGCAAGGCTGTTCTTTCGGCGGAATGGGCGGTTGGAAACGTGACGACGCCGAGTTGTAAGGTGGAAGGGGGAGATCAGTGCTCGGATTTTTGTGTCACGGGTGTGCCCGAGGAGAAATGGACGTGGTTGGATGCGAAGGAAAGCTTAGCTGCTGTTGAGATTCATGATCCTGTGGGACATTCAGAAGCTAGGGTAGCATCAGAGTAAATCAATTTATATTCCATTCCAGTTCAGTTGATTAAATTGTCTAATCTCCTGTGATTATTCTCCATTTATTATATAATAGTGTTAGGCCCGACGGCCTAAGTCCGCTAAAGAATTAGCGGGGTCGACTAAGTCGAGGATAAAGCGCGGCGGAAGGCTTTGGCGAAAAGACTATTGGCGAAATAGGCGAAGAAGTTACTGAGTAATTGAAAGAGAGTTGAATGAGAATTGGTTGATATTGGTGGATACAAGCAAGGTTGATATAGCATGCAAGAGCAATTGTGGGAAAGTGGTTTGTGGGACTAGGAATTGTAGTGCAAGAAAAGTAGAGTGCCACGTGGCACTAGGAAATCTAGGAAGATAAGGATAAGGGTGAGTTGGAAAGTACTGTTCGGAATGAACAGTAAACACCCCTCTAACACTACCCCCCTCCCAAGGAGGCGACGTCTACGGCGCCTGCAGACTGAAGGTACGCTTTGAGGCAAGCGTTGTCAGGAGACAGCGAGGACGAAGGAACCCAGCTGTCGTCGGCTGCGTCGTAACCACGCCAACGAACCAAGAAGTCGATGAAAGAGACACCTCCCTGCAGACGGCGACGGTGCCTGAGGATGCGCTGGATCTGGTAGTCGGGCTCGTCGGTGTCAACAGCTACCGGCAGTGGAGTGCGATCACGGCCCGAGAAGGTGGAGTTGGGATCGGTGTATGGACGAAGGAGAGACACGTGGAATGACGGGTGCATGCGGAAATGAGCGGGAAGGCGAAGGCGGTATGCGACTGGACCAAGTGCGCGCTCAATGACAAATGGACCAATGAACCGTGGGCGAAGCTTGCCGTCCTGTGGCAGTCGGAGGTTGCGGCTATCGAGAAGGACACGGTCACCGACTGAAAAAGACACCTCTCGACGACTGCGGTTGGTGGTGCGTGCCATGCGTGTGTTTGCAAGCTCAAGGTGCTTCCTCACATGGTCGTGAATGAAGGTGAGGTGCTGGTGGAAATTGTCCGCACGAGGGACAGTGGGTGTGAGATCGACTCGAGTGGGGACATTGGGGTGCTGACCGTACAGTGCGAAGAACGGTGACATGCCTGTGGCGGAGTGGTGCGTGTTGTTGTATGCGAACTCTGCCATGCTCAGCTTCTTGTCCCATGCGGCTGCGTCGTGCATCGTGATGCTGCGAAGAATCTGCTCCAAAGTCTCATTCACACGCTCGGTCTGTCCGTCTGTCTCTGGATGGTACGCAGACGACATGGCTAAGCGAGTCCCAAACAGTGCGAAAAGCTGCTTCCAGAACTTCGAGGTGAATCTAGGGTCGCGGTCTGAGATGATGGAATCTGGAACCCCGTGCAGTCGGACTACGTTATCTACGAACAGCGTCGCGGCTTCCTCTGCTGTGACCTGGCCGTGCGTGGGGATGAAATGCGCTGCTCGGGAAAACTTGTCCACTACCACGAAGATGGCGTCGTGACCCCTAACTGTGCGCGGTAATGTCAAACATATATGCTGCATATTTTCTAGGCTGTAGTGGGGTAGCCCATATGGGGTACAGCCCAATTAGGGTTTACTACTTGTACTCCTGCATGCTGCTAGTTCATCCATTCCTGCTGCTAGATTCTGACATGGTATCAGAGCACTAAGGTCCGTAGGACCGTTTTTTTTTTCCGTACATGCCTGCCTTGCCTTGCCTTGTGCCGTGCTGCACTATGTGCGCCGTCCAGCAGCCCTAGCGCTGCCTCCTGCTGCCCTAGGCCAGCGCGCTGCCCCTAGAGGCCCGTAAGGCCCACGCGCCGCCCCTAGAGGCCCGTAAGGCCCGCGCAGCCCGCTGCAGCCGCGCGCAGCCCGCACCGAGCCGCGCGCAGCCCGCTGCAGCCGCGCGCAGCCCGCAGCTGCCGCGCGCAGCCCGCGCCGAGCCCACGCAGCCCGCGTCGAGCCGCGCGCGGCCTGCTACGGCCTCGCGAGGCCCGCGCGCGGCCCGCAGCAGCCCGCGCCGAGCCGCGCGCGGCCTGCTACTGCCTAGCAGGGTGGTCCTTCTCGGGGTGCTACTTCTAGGGGTGCTGAGCCTGGGGGTGCGGAGCCTGGGGGTGCTGAGCCTGGGGGTGCTGAGCCTGAGGGTGCGGAGCTTGAGGGTGTGGAGCCTGGTGGTGCTGAGCCTGAGTGTGAGGGGTCTGGGGGTGCTGAGCTTGGCGGTACTGACGCTGGAGGTTCTGGAGCTACTGAGGGTGCTGGCGCTGGAGGTTCGGGAGCTGCTGGAGGGCCTAGTACTGGTGGCGCTGGAGCTGGAGGTTCTGGAGCTGCTGAGGGTGCTCGTGCTGGAGGTTCTGGAGCCGCTGGAGGTACTGGTGCTGAGGGTACTGACACCGGAGGTTCTGGAGCCGTTGGGGATGCGGGCGCTGAGGGTTCTGAGTCTGCTGTTGCGCGGTCTCCTTGGAGTAGCCGCCTTCGTCCACGTGTGCCTCTCACCCCACAGCAGCTGCAGGACTGGTACGGTCGCCGTCAGCGTCGCGCTGCTGGAGCTAGGAGTGGTGCTGGTCCTTTGTCTACTGGAGGTGCTGGAGTCGCTGGTTCTGGAGGTGCTCGTGCTGGAGACACTGAGGCTGGAGACCTTGGGACTGGAGGTGCTGGTTCTGGGGGTGCTGCTGCTGGAGACACTGAGGCTGGAGACCCTGGGACTGGAGGTGCTGGGTCTGGGGGTGCTGCTGCTGGAGACACAGAGGTTGGAGACCCTGGGACTGGGGGTGTCGGCTCTGGGACTGGAGCTTCTGGAGCTGCTGGAGGTACGGGAGCTGCTGGAGGTACGGGAGCTGCTGGAGGTACTGGAGCTGCTGGAGGCACTGGAGCTGCTGGAGCTGCCGGTACTGGTGCAGCTGCGCCGACACGACTGTTCTTCGCTCCGCCGTCTCCGTCGTCTCTACCGCCGCCTGACTCTGCTCTTCGTCAGGTTGTTACTCTCCCGTCGTCTACTGGTCTTCCGTTACAGACTGGCTCACCGCTACCTGCTCCCTCTCCTTACACTGAGCCGACAGGCAGTCCTGCTACGCGTCGTGAGCCTGCGTCGCGTCCTGTCTCGCCTGTTCATTCTGGTCGTACCGTTCGTCGTGTCGCTCGTGCCAGTCAGCCGGCTGTCCCCAGCGCACACCTTGTTGTCCGTCGTCCTTCCTCTGCTCCGCAGCCTGTTCCTCTGCCGTCTCCCCCTGCGTCCTCTCTGCCTGCCGTTCCGGACCCTGAGTCTGACCGGTTTCGTACTGAGCACCCTACTGTCACGCGTCTCCTAGCCACTGTTGTCACTGACCCGTCGTTTGAGTCTACTGCTGCGTCTGCCTTGGTCGCTGAGCTTGTTGACTTTGCTGCTGCCTGTCGTCTAGACTACGCCGCTAGTCTTGTTGCTGGGTCTGAGTCTGTCTGTCCTCCGTCCGTCGGGGGTGAGTGTGCTCTTAGCACGGACGTCCTTGAGGACAGGCAGGAGGAGTTCCAGTGTCTTGCTGCTGCTTTACCTCATCTTGTGTCCTCGCTACTTGCCCCTGAGGGAGACCCGGATGCACCAGACATCCCGACTCCGCGCTCTTACGCAGAGGCGATAGAGGGTCCCTACTCCTCTCAGTGGCAGGCAGCCATGGACGCAGAGATGGCTTCCTGGAAGTTCACAGGCACCTACGTTGACGAGGTTCCCCCACCTGGGGCGAACATCGTCAGTGGCATGTGGATTTTCAGGGTGAAGCGGCCGCCGGGTTCTCCGCCTGTCTTCAAGGCGCGTTACGTGGCTCGAGGCTTCAGTCAGCGAGAGGGAGTTGACTTCTTCCAGACCTTCTCCCCCACCCCGAAGATGACCATTCTTCGGGTGCTGCTGCATGTTGCTGCTCACCGTGACTACGAGCTTCACTCTCTTGACTTCAGCACAGCTTTCTTGCAGGGCAGCCTGCACGAGGAGATCTGGCTGCGTCGCCCCCCGGGCTTCACTGGGTCGTTCCCTCCTGGCACCCAGTGGAGCCTCCGGCGGCCAGTCTACGGTCTCCGCCAGGCACCACGTGAGTGGCACGACACACTGAGGACTACGCTTGCGGCTCTTGGGTTCGCGCCTTCTACTGCTGACCCGTCGCTGTTTCTGCGCACCGACACTTCACTGCCGCCGTTCTACATCCTCGTGTACGTCGACGACTTGGTTTTTGCCACTGCTGACACTGAGGCTCTCGCCCACGTGAAGTCGGAGCTGCAGAAGAGACACACGTGTACAGACCTGGGTGAGCTGCGCAGCTACCTTGGCTTGCAGATCACCCAGGACAGAGCACGTCGCACCATCACCTTGACTCAGTCACACATGGTGCAGCAGGTCCTTCAGCGCTTCGGCTTCACCTAGTCCTCAGCACAGGCCACTCCTCTGGCTACAGGTCACACGCTCTCAGCTCCACCTTCGGACGAGTCCGTAGAGCCGAGTGGTCCTTACCCAGAGCTAGTCGGCTGCCTCATGTACCTGATGACTTGCACTCGACCTGACCTCGCGTACCCTCTTGGTCTTCTGGCTCGCTACGTGGCTCCTGGTTGGCACCGACCTGAGCACATGGCTGCTGCTAAGAGGGTACTGCGCTACTTGTGCAGCACATCAGGCATGGGGCTAGTGCTTGGAGGGACGAGCCCAGTTGTCCTCACTGGGCACTCAGACGCTTCTTGGGTTGACGACCTGGCTACTCAGCGGTCGTCACAGGGTTACACCTTCAGCCTTGGCTCTGGTTCAGTTTCGTGGCGTTCTACACGCTCGTCTTCAGTTCTCAGCTCCAGTTGTGAGGCTGAGATCTACGCCACAGCCATGGCTGCACAGGAGTTACGCTGGCTCACCTACCTGCTGACTGACTTGGGAGAGCAGCCTTGTTCTCCTCCAGTGCTGTACGTCGACAACAAGGCCGCCATTGCCTTGTGTGAGGAGCACAGACTGGAGCACAGAACGAAGCACATTGCTCTGCGTTACTTCCTGGCTCGAGAGTTGCAGTAGCGAGGCCAGCTTCGTCTTCGTCACGTGGCCACTCGGGCCAACACTGCTGATATATTCACCAAGGCACTTCCGTCTGGTGATCATCAGCGCTTTTGTACCCTGTTAGGCCTTGTGCCTACGTTTCCACACTTGCTGTAGTCTCTGCTTGTACTGTGATCTATATATATACATGCATGCCTGCTCTTGCTAGGTAGTCATCACTGTACTGTTATTGTTGTATATATATCTCTGCATGTGGACTGGCCTTGTGGCCCTTTGCTTGTGCTCAGAATGTGTGGTGACGTTGAGATCCACCCTGAGCTTGCTTTGCTTCTCTTGACTGGTCGTTTGACCCCTTGTTCTCCCCCACTTTGCCTATGGGGGTGTGTCAAACATATATGCTGCATATTTTCTAGGCTGTAGTGGGGTAGCCCATATGGGGTACAGCCCAATTAGGGTTTACTACTTGTACTCATGCATGCTGCTAGTTCATCCATTCCTGCTGCTAGATTCTGACAGGTAAAGCCATGATGAAATCCATGGTGACTACCTGCCAAGGGCGGTCGGGCGGTGGAATCGGCTGCAAAAGTCCTGCTTTGCGCTGGCGAGAGGACTTCGTACGCTGACACGTGTCGCACGAGCGAATATAATCCTCTACGTCTGCTGCAAGCCCTGGCCAGTAGTACGTGCGACTAAGCGTCTTAGCCGTCTTATCCGCTCCGAAGTGACCTGCACTAACTACGTCGTGCGCCTCTGAGAGAAGGAGCTGTCGAAGAGGGCGGTAGGCTGGAACCCAAATCCGTGCTGTACCCTTCCGTATGTAGACACTACCCTGCACCTCTGCTCCTGCGGGCGGCTGTGCTGTGAAGTCATGATCTACTGTGTAACCATGCTCGAAGAGTGCTGTGAGAAGTGGATGGCCGGCAGTGACTGTGAGACTAGCGAGCTGGCAACTAGGGCGAGTGAGCGGATCTGCTGGGTTGCGCACGCCTGGCTTGTACTCTATCCTGTAGTGGAAACTCCCCTCCATGAACTCCATCCATCTAGCCTGGCGACGACTCAGCTGCGGCTGCGACTTGAGAAAGCGAAGCGAACAGTGGTCCGTGCGTATAACACTGTCTGCCCCCTCTAGGTAGCACCTCCACACCTTATACGCATGGATGATCGCGAGCGCCTCCTTGTCGTGGATCGGATAGTTCAACTCTGCTCCCCTAAGCTTACGCGACTCGTACGCGATCGGCTGCAACCCGCGTCCCTGGTCCTGAAGAAGCACTGCACCTATGGCCTGATCTGAAGCGTCGGTCACTACAACGTACGGGCGAGTGGGATCGGGGTACGACAGTGTCGGTGAAGACGTGAGCGACTGCTTCATCTGCTCGAACACCTGTTGCTGCGCTGGGCCCCAAACGTACTCTACGCCTTTCCGAAGTAGGTCGGTGAGTGGACTAGCGATGGAAGCGTAACCCTGAACGAAACGACGGTAGTAGTTCGCGAATCCGAGAAAGCTCTGCAACTCCTTGACTGAGGTCGGTGCTATCCAATCCTGTACTGCTGCGATCTTCTTCGGGTCGGTCCTAACGCCACTAGCGGAAACGACGTGACCTAGAAACTCGACCTCGGGGAGGAAGAACTCGCACTTAGACTGCTTCGCGTACAGCTTCTCCCTCCGCAAGACCTCAAAGACCCTCTGCAAGTGCTGCACGTGCTCCTCCTTCGACTTGGAAAAGATGAGGATGTCGTCTAGGTAAACTACGACGAACGAACCTAGGAACTCCGAGAGGACTGTGTTCATGAGCGTCTGGAACGTTGCTGGGGCGTTGGTCAAACCGAACGGTAGTACCCTAAACTCGTACAACCCCTGCTTCGTACGAAACGCCGTCTTGTGCTGATCCTCTGGAACTACGCGAATCTGGTGGTAACGCTGGGAGGTAACCTTGGGGGCAACTCGTCGGGGAAGACGTCTGCGAACTCTGCTAACAGTGCACTCACCTCAGCAGGAAGAGTCGCCTTCTCACTAACTGCTGCACTCCCTCCTTTCCCCTCCTCTGCTTCAACCTCCTCAAGGAAAACTGCGAAGATCCGTGCCGCACGCTTCACTAACTGTCGCACACGAACAGCATTAATGATAGCTGTGGATGATGTGGCCCCATCGCTCCACTGTGGCAGCTCCCGGAACTCCCCGTCTACCTTGACACTGCAGCTTCCCTGAGCCCAATCGAACTGAGTACTAACCGTGCGTAGCCAATCTCTCCCGAAGATGAAATCGTATCCGTCCAGCGTCGCAGAGTCGAAATCACGCCTAACTGTGATCGGTCCTAGCACTACGCGCAACTTGCGAATGATTGGCCCTATGTTGAGAGGTGTCCCATCTACCATTCGAGCATCCTTGAAGTTGACTGCGGAATCTGCTTCGAGATGGAGACGACTAACTAGCGATGATGAAACGAACGAGTGGCTAGCTCCGCTATCGACGAGAATCTTAACAGGATCCCCGCGAAGCTTCCCTAGAAGCACGACTGGACGATCAACAGTGTCTACCTCGTTCTCCGTAGATGACTGCTGCGAGGCCGTCTCCTCTACGTTGGTAGACGTGGCGGGTACGGGAACCTCCACACCAGCTAGCGACCCGCTATCTACTGGCGGTTTCCGTTTCCCTGCTGCTGCTCCTTGAACTGTGGGCAGTCCCGCTTCATGTGACCCGGCTTTTTGCAGTAGTAACAGTTCCCCCTAAAACCCGTCCGCTGTGAACCGTCACTGTTAACTGCACCAATCTCCATGGGCGATGGTCCGTCCCTCGATCGAGCGTCGTTGATCGGTCTGCTGTATCCCCTATCGCGATCGTCACGACCCCGTCGGCTTCGTACTGCGTCGACGCGTTCTGCTGCTGCGACTACTGACTCGAAGGTGGACAACCCGTGAATCGCTATGACCTCCGCTATGTCCGGCTTCAACCCCTCGAGGTAGCGATCGCGCATCTCTGCTTCCGTGATGTCGTCTATCTCGTTGCAGATACTCAAGAACCGTCGTGTGTACTCCTGGACGTTTCCTATCTGGCGGAATTGACGCAGACGCTTCCTAGCAGCTTCGGAGGCGTTCACCAAGTCGAACCTACTTTTCAGCGCCGCTTCAAATCCTTCCCATGTGGTCGGAACCGTGGTAACACCCAAAGCTAAACTCCCTAAGCTCGAAGTTGCAGCTGCATGCCCCACGCCCTGTTGATGCCCGTCCGTCTGAGCCCTTCTAACAGCAGTCTGCGTAAGTTGGCGCCACCACTCCAAGGCCGGCCCCCTCAACAGCGTCACGGCATACTCAATCCGCTGCTGCGCGTCCGCCTCTTGCACCCCGCTCGCGGCGAAGTAGTTGTTGAGCATGAAGAGCCACGTCCGCACGTTCGCGTCGCGCTGACTTGGGTCGAACGACTCCGGTTTCTGCGGCTTGAGCGCGCTTCGACGTTCCGGCAGCGCTTCCGCGCCAGTCGACGTGGTGGGTGCAGGAGTTGGTGCGGCATGACCATGGGGGTTAGAAGCCAATTCATGAAGTTGTTGCATTTCAGCTCGTACCTGACGATTTTCCAACGTCAACTCTTGAAGTTGGCGCATGAGTTCGGCAAGCGCGTTGCCCATGTCTTGGGGGAGAGCGTTCATGGTCTCGTCCATGTTGGCTCGACGACTCCAAGTCTGCAAGTCGGCACCGCGGGACGATGACGGCGTAGTCTCGTCGTCGACGGTCGCTCGTTGGAAGTCGCTCCCCGCGAAGGCTCTTGATACCAAGTGTTAGGCCCGACGGCCTAAGTCCGCTAAAGAATTAGCGGGGTCGACTAAGTCGAGGATAAAGCGCGGCGGAAGGCTTTGGCGAAAAGACTATTGGCGAAATAGGCGAAGAAGTTACTGAGTAATTGAAAGAGAGTTGAATGGAAATTCGTTGATATTGGTGGATACAAGCAAGGTTGATATAGCATGCAAGAGCAATTGTGGGAAAGTGGTTTGTGGGACTAGGAATTGTAGTGCAAGAAAAGTAGAGTGCCACGTGGCACTAGGAAATCTAGGAAGATAAGGATAAGGGTGAGTTGGAAAGTACTGTTCGGAATGAACAGTAAACACCCCTCTAACAATAGGGTCAATATAGCGAGTATCCAAATTGGGTCGAGCGGGACATGTCGTCCCCACCCCCACACCAGCTTTTCATCGTCGAAACCTGCCTCGCCAGCTTGACGACATTCGCAACCGTCGCCAACCTCATCCGTTTCCAGAACAAGCCGCTCCTCATCTCCTTCCTGAATCTCTCAACGATCTGTCAGTGAGCAGGACCTTCGTGCTGTAGTACCTGTCACCCTAGGGTGACGCGCTCCTGTTCGAACAAGAGGCTTGTTCGGACTTGGAGGTAAGCACCTGTCACCCTAGGGATTCTGGTTCGGTCATCGTTATTATGGACCTGTGAAATATCGTTTCCTTACTCCGAGGTGTGCGGCTCCTAAGTTTTTTCCCACGACCCCTTCTTGGGATATATCAATTTTTTCAAAGGCTTCTTCGTAAAGCTGACAGGCTTTTCAGGTAGCAGATCCATTGTTGCGGTTACTAGTGTCGAAACTGCAGCCATGTCGGGGGGTTTCTTCCGAGGGACCAGCGCGGATCAGGACAGCAGATTCTCCAACAAGAACGCGAAGCTGCTTAAAACGCAGAAGTTCGCACCGGAGCTTGATGAGCCGGCAAGTTTCGTCCGACTGTTTATTTTTCTGTAGCCGGGATCGCGATTTGCGCGGCTGTGGCCTCCTTTTCTGACGCATTGAGGATGATGGATTTATTTTCATTTCCTTCACAATTTCTTGCTCTTTGCAGGTGGACATGAGCAAGGTGAAGAAGGAGGTGATGCAGCCATGGATAGCCAAGAGGGTGACAGAGCTTCTGGGCGTGGAGGATGAAGTGCTCATCAATTTCATCTACAGTCTGCTGGAGGGCAAGGTATGGCGATTTTCTGACAAGCCTCTCAACATGGCGTTTCTAACCAGAGGTCTTGCTGCTGTTTTACCTTTTAACCTTCGTTTTTTTTTTTTTTTTTTTTTCTCCTTTGGCGAGGGGGTGTTTAGATTCCTAGATTAGTCTCGGTTCAAGAGCTTATTTCGATTGGTTGTGATCTTGTCGACAGCTTCGGCATCCACATGGCTCGGATCACTGCTCATACCCGCCATGGCATCAGGGTCGCAATGGTCGCTTATGATCGCCCATGATCGATGACTCATGACTGCAAGAGGGCATCTGCTCTGCAGGGAAACCAGCCATGGCTTCGGCGCTGACCAAGTAGCGCTTGCCTTTCTGGCTGGCCGTCTCGCTCTGTTTCAACCGTGTCAATTCCGCCTGGTAACCCTCCTGTTACCGTTCGCAGATCGAGAACCATCGCTTTATTCCTGCCTCCTACGTGTCATTCGTGCAGAACAGCCGTCGCAGTTGCTTCTTTGCTGTTCCCTTTCCCTTCTCTCCGCCTGGTCCCTCAAACCCTTTTCCCCTCGCGCGTGCGGCAGAAGGTGGACGGCAAGCAGGTCCAGATTCAGTTAACCGGGTTCATGGAGCGCCACACGGCGCGCTTCATGCGCGAGCTCTGGTGCCTGCTGCTCAGCGCGCAGGCCAACGTCAGCGGCATCCCGCAGAAGTTCCTCGACGAGAAGGCGGAGGAGACGCGGAAGAAGAAGGTGCGTCGTGCGGGCTTTGTCGTTTTCTGCCTACTCTCCTCTTCGATGGTGTCCGTTGATTTGATCCTATTCGACCTTATATTATTTGCTCCCCGCGTCCTGTTGTTTTTGTTCCTGGTTTGCAGGAGGCGGAACAGCGCATTCTGTCGGAGATTGGGCGCAAGAAAGGGATGCAGCAGGGCTCGTTGCTGGGCCCTGGCACGGCCACTGCTTCCATCCCGGTGAGTTGCGCTAAGAAACGCACAGCGACCTCCGTAACACGAGAGCACAAAACCGCACACGATACAGCACACGTGCTCGCTTCCCTTTCTCCAACGACTGCTGTTTGATGTCTCCCTCTCTCCCCTTGTACCTCCCGTGATGCGTGTGTCTCTCTCTGCGCTGCTGGTGCACAGGGTGTGGACGTGGAGGCTGCGCGACGGAAGGCCGCAGAAGCAGCAGCGCGCCTCACGGCTGCTCTTCTGGGACACCCCGCTCCCGCCGCCGCCGCCGCCGCTGTTCCTGCTCCTGCTGCGGCTGCTCCTGCTGCTGCGCCTGCTGCTGCTGCGCCCGCCGCGGTACCAGCGCCGGACGTCCCAACCGCTACTGCTGCCGGCAACGCTGCCGTCGCCGCCGCCACGGCCGCTGCTGCTGCGTTCACAGCGCAGGCTGCCAAGCTGGCGCAGGAGAAAGAAGCAGCCGCCGCCGCAGCTGCTGCAGCTACAGCTGCCGGTGGTGGTGGTGGTGGTGGTGGTGTTGCAGGAGCAGGTCAAGGGCAAGAGTATGGAGGGCCAGATGGAGAAGGAGCAGCTGGTGTTGCTGCTTCTGCTGATGATAATGATAATGATGCAGGTGGTGACGAGGGGAAAGCGGAAGAGGAGGATGATCAGGCCCCCTTGCCTCCTCCCCCTCGAAACCGCTCCCCCGCCCGCCGTCGCCATCGCTCCCGCTCTCTCTCCCCCGAGCGCCGCTCCCGGTCCCCTCCCCGCCACCGCCGCTCCGCGTACCGCTCCCCCCGCCGCTCCCCCCCGCCGCCGTCCTACCGCAGCAGCCGCTACCGCTCCCCGCCTAGAAGCCGCGGGTACGAGCGCGGCGGGCGCTCGCCGCCAGGGGACTATCGGCGCAGAGGGGGAAGTTCCCGCTCACCCCCCGCGCGCCGTTCGTCCCGGCAGGAGGAGTCGTTTGCGCGGTACCCTCCCCCGCCCGGCAGATCGATGCGAGGGCGAGAGGAAGGCGGGCTGGACAGAGGACGCGGCGAGAGAGGGCGGGAGGTGAGAGATTGGGAGGATAGGGGGAGGGACGCGCGAGGGCGGGAGGAGAGGATACGGGGTGAGCGACGGGTGGAGGAACGAGGGAGCGGGAAAGACAGAGGCACGTCGTTCAAACGGGGGGTTCCCCGTAGGGATAGGGGCGGCAGGGAGGAGTATGGTGATGAGTATGGTGACGACGAGGAGGAGGAACAGGAGGAGGAGTATGAGGAAAATGTACGGGGTGGCGTGCGCAAGGAGGCTAGGAGAGGAGAGGCAGGACGACGAAATGTGGAAGAGGAGGAGGAGTATGAGGAAAATGTACGGGGTGGCGTGCGCAAGGATACTGGGAGAGGAGAGGCGGGACGGCGAGATGAGGAGGAAGAGGAAGAGGAAGACGAGGAGGAGGAGGACGGGGGACGGGAGGGAGGCAGGAAGGGCAAGGCGGGTCGATTGGTGGATGATGTGGGGAGAGGTGAAGAGATGATTGTGAGAGGGAGAGGCCAGGGTGACGCGGGGCGAAGTGCTAAGCGTGGTGCAGGTGCGGGTAGGGATGGGGGCAGGGATGGGGGAAGGGATGGCGGAAGGGGTGGGGGACGGGGTGAGGATAGGGATGGGGGAAGGGGTGGGGGGAGGGATGTAGGCATTCCATCCCCTGATGCTGAAGGGAGTGAGGGCGACGAGCCGAATGGCCGTCTGGGCGCTTTCGACAAGTCTGGTGGCAGGAGGGAGAGCGAAGGGCGACGGGGGAGGGGTGGGGTTGAGGAGGAGGGGGATGAGGAGGAGGAAAGGTGGGGCGCAGACGGGGAGAGGAGGCAGGGTGACAGGGGCAGGTATGTCGCGCGCACGGGGGAGGGGAGTGGGTACGAGGGGCGTGCGCGTGAGAGGCGAGACGAGGAGAGGGGGGCAGGTAGAGGGGAGGGGCGCGGAGGGCGGAGAGCAGCGTACGAGGATGAAAGGGGCGGGGAGATGCGGGAGGGGCTGAGGGGTTTCAGCAGCAAGGGATCTAGCAGCAAGGGGCCTAGCGGTAGGGATGAGGCAGGTGAAGATTGGGAGGAGGAGCGGGGTGCTGGTGCTGGTGCTGGTGCTGGTGCTGGTGCGGGCTCTCGTGCCGGTCCTGTTGCTGGTGCACGTGATGTGCGTAGACCAGGTGACAGGTATGAGGATCGGCGGGATAGGAGGGATCCGAGGGCTGTGGAGCAGGGCGAGAAGGAAGAGAGGGGGGAAGAGGAGGAGGAGGAGGAGGTGGGGGGTAGTCAGAAAAAGTCTCGCAGCTTCCACTCTTCCCAAGAACCATCTGCCTCTCCCCAAGATGCTTCCCCTCCCTCATCTGCTTCTCCCTCCCCCCGGCGCCCGACAAGAGACGCCGGGGCACGAGCGGACGGGCAGGGAGGTCAGATGGGTGGGGAGGGGTTTGGAAGGGTGGGGAGTGATGACTGGGAGGAGGAGGAGGGTATGAACAGTGAGGAGAGGCGGGAGGCGAAGCGGAGGAGGAAGGAGGAGAAGAAGGCGCGTAAGGAGGAGAAGAGGAGGAGGAAGGAGGAGAAGCGGCGGCGCAAGGAGGAGAAGCGTGCAGCGAAAGAGGCACGGAGGGGCATGGGAGGGGAGGATCGGGGGAGCAGTGAGGATGAGGATGAGAGACATCAGGAGGGCGGGTTGCCCCGTGGTGCGGGAGGAGGTGGTGCGGGAGGAGGTGGTGCGGGAGGAGGTGGTGACGGCAGAGGCAAGCGAGAGAGGGAGTGGGAGGAGGGAGAAGGCTGGGGGAGAGAGAGAGGGGGTGGGGGATTTGTGGGAAGTATGGAGGAGCTTAGGGAGAGGGCCCTGCGATCCATGCAGTCTAAACGGGCCAGAGAGGGGTGATGGGATCATGGGGTGATATGAGCATGGGAACAAGGGCCGCTGGTGGGGGGTTTGTGGGAAGTATGGAGGAGCTTAGGGAGAGGGCCCTGCGATCCATGCAGGCCAAACGGGCCAGAGAGGGGTGATGTGATGATGAGGATGATTGGGAGGAGGGTAATGGGATGATATGGAAGAGGGGTGATAGGATGAGGCTCATAAACTGTGGACGGGCGGGGGGATCTGATGGGATGGGGGAGGTGGGGCGTGGGTGGCTTGGACCAAGGCTTGACAATGCTGAAATGGGCTTGTAGGGTTGTCACAAGTCGCGACTTCCTATCGGTTGAGCTGGGCTGAGTTGGTACACCTACTCTACGAGTTGACGCAATGAGTTGCATGCGTGCAAGGCTGATGTGATGGTGATGGATGGGGCTCTACTTGGGTACCGTGGGCTGTTGGTTGGATGGCGCTGGTTTGTTGGAACAGTTGTTTCTCTAGCAGCCGATTCACTACACATACTGGATGCGATTTTCACACCTTAATTTTCTTAGAGAAGCAGTTTTCTTGGGCATTGGGATAAATGTCTACCTCATTTTTTCTAAGGTTGTGTATGTGCAGGCTGAGATCGAACATCCAGGTTACGCTTACCGAAACACCCTGTACTGTCGCGGTGCCCCCAGAACAACAGTGCCAGCGAGCCCCACAGCCCAACATTCCCAGATTCTGCCGCACATGTGAGCGGAAGCGCGAACAAACACCTACTCGACGAGTGTATGCAACCCGCTTGTCGCGGCATTCCCTAGGCATGGGCTCGTTCGCAGGTCACATAATCCCCGGGACGCTTTTCCTCCTAGTGGGGCTGTGGCACCTGCGATGCAGCATCAGGAACTACCTCGCGGCACCGCGAGCCTTCGTGTCCCGACTATGGCATCCCGCGCCGCTACCCGGCCACTGGGCGCGGCTCGAGCTGTACATTATAGTAGTGGGGTCGTTCCTAGATATGGCTTTCGTTGAGCTCGGAGTCGGAACGGGGTTCCATCCGATCGAGAACGGTGGAGTCGCGCCCGGCCACCTAAATAACTTCGAGGTACCTCGCTTCTCCACTTAGCGGCGCGCATTGAACGGCGCGGTCTGAAGGCCCAACTACTCAACATTCACTTGTGATGCATGACCCATGCTTGAGGCGCTGATAAAAAATAAAAATATAAATGAAAATAAAAATGTAAAAGCATGCTCCATTTTTGCCGCATGTACCCCTCACCCTTCCCCGTCCCCTCGCCTTCCACAATCCTCCCCCCCGCTTATCCTCCCCTCTCCCCACACCTCTCCCCCCCAGCGCAGCACGCGGCGATGCTGCTCATGTTCTTCCTGCTCGGCTGCGCCCTTCTCATCAGCGAAACCACCAGGTCAGCAGGGTGAACAATTGAACGGTTAATGTTCTTGGAGGGGAGAAAGGGGGGGTGGGAGGAGGGGGGGAGAGGGTGGGGGGAGGGGGATGGGATGGAAATGCCATGTCCTCGCACCCGTCGCACTGCCCATTCTTTCTCCATCCCGCCCCGCCCATCTCGTCCATCCCGTCCATCCCCCAATCTCTCCTCACCCCTCTCCACCCATCCCCATCCCTCCCCCCACAGCCTGCTCCCCCTCCCTCTGGGCGCGTTCCACGTGTTAGCAGCGCTCGCATTCTTCTGTGAGGGCATGCTCTTCACCCTCCACTCTACGGCTCATCACGGCCTCGAGCCACGATACCACATGCTGCTTGCCATCGCCATCGCCGCCTGTGCTATCTGTGCTCTTCTGGGGGCTGCCATGCCGCACTCCTTCCTGCTCGACGCCGTAGGGAATGGAGCGATCGTGATGCAGGGGCTCTTGTTCTGGCAGGTCAGTCACTCACCTACGAACTGGCACCGCACTGTACCGTACCACACCGTAGCATGCCACACCATAGCGTTCCATGCAGGGGCTCTTGTTCTGGCAGGTCAGTCTCCTGCATCTCTGCACCGCACCACATCGTATGGTATCATACAGTAGAGTACTGTACCATACCACTGCAACAGACCATACCAAAGCTCACTTGGCTGGTCCCTCACTTTCTCCTCCCCTCCTTCCTTCCCTCTCGTGCGTGCAGACCACCATGTCTCTCTATGGCCTCATGGTGCCAGCAGGCTGCTACCTGGGCCCTGACACTGTGCACTGTGACTCTGAGGGTCAGAAGCAACGAGCAGCATTACTTGCACCTCTCACCCTGCCCCCCACGTTTGCACCCTGCATCCCCCATCCAATTCTCTCCTGCAGACCGCCATGTCGCTGTACGGCCCCATGGTGCCAGCAGGCTGCTACCTGGGCCCTGACACCGCGCACTGTGACTCTGTTGCAGGCGAGTACCGAACCAACATTCCATGCCTAAGCTCTCTCCCTCCTCCCTTTCCTCTCTCCCCGGCAGACCGCCATGTCACTGTATGGCCCTATGGTCCCAGCAGGCTGCTACCTGGGACCTGACACCGTGCACTGCGACTCCGATGCAAATGAGCACCGAGCCATGGCCCTTGCTGTGCTGCAATTCATCGCTCTCCTCGCCTGCACCCTCGTGCTCTCACTCGTGTATTACGGCGCGGTTGCGAGTGCTGCTCCACGGTCGACCCTTGATTTCATCCATGCAACGCATGCTGTGGAGTGTGGGGAAGGGGAGGGGAAAGATGGTGACGGGAGGGGGGACGGTGGCAAGGGTGAAGCTGTGTTGGTGGCGCTTGGTGCGCATGAGAACGGTGTGGACACAGATGGAAGTGTAGATGAGGAGAAAGGCCTTCTATCTTAGAAGAAGGATACCAGATGCATGAATCTGATTCCTTTCATGTGCTAGTATACATCATTGCATGCTTCTTGGAGGATGAAATAAAGGGTATGGTTGTTGCCGATAGCTGTAGTTGGTTGGTGTAGGTGAGCTGGTTATGATTGACTGTAAGGGTATGGGCACACGCACACAAACCCCCCTAGGCATCACATCCACCTTATACTGTCCGAGCAGTTTGATAGATTATAATCTTCCGTACGTACCAAATTCTAAAAGGTTATCGTCCAGTGGTTTTGCACGGTTGAGCGGGTGCTCTTTTGCTTTTTGAGATGGTTCCGCTGGGGGGGATCCCTCCCCATCCCAAACTCATCCAAATCACCTTCACCGTTTTCTATCACATCCAACCTAATCCCATCTCACATCTCTACCCTCGTCGGAATTCCCAAGGCGCCAACGAACATCCATCCCTGTGCGGCCAGGGGGTAATCCCACCTCGCTTTTGGCTATCCGAGGTGTGCGCGAGCGAGAGAGTCTTCGCGGAATCCGTGGGGGTCTGTGCGTGTCCGTGAGTGTCAGTGAGCTTCGGTGAGTGTCGGTGGGTGGTGGTTGGAACTAGGGGTAACGAGTAAGGTAGTTGGTTGCTGTCCGCCGCCTCCTCATCTCCTCCATTACAAGTCAACAAGCGGCGGGCACAAACTGAAATCAAATGGAGCAGCAAACGGCCTGCGTTTCACCTTTCAAGAATCAAGAACTCCGACCGACCTTGTCCACTGCTTCCGATACTGTATGTGCAACCACACGCACGAGTCGTTGCCTGTCGAACAGGTCACCGCTGACTTGGCCTGACTGCTACTGTACCCGAGGCACCATGGTGCCATCATGGCATCGAAGGGTCTTCACGAGTCACAATATGGACACCGTCCTCACGGTCGAACTCGGCTTGAATCACGCTTCCGCTCTCTCCTCTGAATCACGCTTCTGCTCTCTTCTCTGCTGCCGCCGTAGTATATCAATCTCGGAGGCGTATCAAAACTCAGACACAACCCTGGTGATTCCAAGTTACCGTTTGAGTTGCACAGAAAACCGCGTTCCTAGGTGACGTCTCGGAACAAGCCTACTAGTGCTCTCGCGCGCCACAGGGGCTCGGATTTTCAGTCAGCTTGTTTTGAGACGTCACAAGGGTGACGTTCACCGTGACTGTGACGGGCGAATCTTCGCTTCCTCGGTCCTTTTCTGCGCCATTCGTGACGGACGAATGGGGTCATTTGTTGGTCACATGTTTGCAGGAACGGTCGCGCTGATTTTCGCTTCATGGAACCTTTTCTGCGCCATTCGCGCTTACCTCGCCGCGCCGCACGCGTACGTGGCACGTGCGTGGCATCCGGTGCCGATTCGCGGGCACTGGGTGCGGCTCGTGGTGTACGTTCTTATCTGCGGGGCGTTCGCGCAGCTCATGGAGGGGCTCTCGCTGGGACTTCTGTCTGCGTTTCAGCATAGATTTGAAATCATTCAATTCGAGGTGAGTTTTTAGGATTCTCGTGCTTCTTGTTTTTCGTTTTCATGTTTTCAGATGCTTTCGAGTTTGTTGCGCGTTGAGCTTGAGGAACCGTCAGATTCTTTGTTGTAGAGACGCTGCACACTCCTTGAAATGCCTCTCTTTTTGTACCTCCTCAAACCACACTGCACGGCGTTGCGCTTGGTTCACCTTCCTTGGATCAGTATACATTGCTTGTTTCGCATTTTGAGCTGCAACATGTATTTTTTGCTTCTCCCTCTGTTCGTCCTGCACCCCTTTCGTTCTGCAGCACGCCTTGCTCTTTGCTGTCTTCGTTACAATAGGGCTCATCTTCCATGTACATGACACAACCAGGTGAGTCCGGGGAAAGTTGTGCGAGTTAGTTCCACAATGGATGAATGAAGTTCTGTATCTGCCGAATCTCGGTCCAAGCTCGTGTATAGACATCATAGTTCCATCTTCCTCATACGGTATCATTTTCCTAACCTCCCTTCTACGTCCCGTTCCACCTGCGAATCCTCCCAATCTTCCTGACATTTTTAAATTCCCCCTCCCCCCACCCCCGTACCCCCACCTCTCTTCCCCTCCTTCACCCACCCGCATCTCCCCCTCTTTCATTCCAACCACCTCCATGTCCAGTCTCCTGCCTCTCCCACCAGGCTCCCTGCACATCCTCTACGCCATTGGCTTCTTCAGCGAGGCCATTCTCACCACCTTCCACTCCATCTCCCACAAGGGTCTCGAGCCCCGCTTCCACCTCTTCCAAGCACTCGCTGGCGTCATCTGCTTCCTTCTCGCGCTCCTCGTCGCCGCCTTCCCCTCCTGCTTTCTCCTTGACGCTATGTTCCTCTCGGGGTTCCTTTTCCAAGGCCTCTGGCTCTGGACCATGTCTCTGTTCCTCTATGGAGTGTTTCACTTACCGGGTTGTCGCAATGTGGATTACAAGATGGTTAAGTGTGACACGGAAGCGGAGGAGCATCTGGGCATTGCGCTCGCAGGTGTTCTTTTTATTGCTGTGCTCGTCTTTACCATGCTCCTCGTCCTTGCTCTCTATGCCAGGGCTGCTCGAAAGGCTCCCCGTTCGTCCATAGACTACATTCTTGCATTGTCTCCTAACCTCAAGGCATCTCAAATGGAAGCTGCCTCCAGGAACATTGGGGCAGGGATTGACATAAATGGGGAAAAAGATGTGCAGCGTGAAGGAGCAGCAGCAGCAGCAGCAGCAACAGTGGGTCCTAAAGTGCCCCTCACTCATGCTGTTGTGAACATCGAGAGTGAAAGTGATGCTTTGCTGGGTGGCAAAGTTGATATGTGACAAATTATTATAATTTTTAAACACATTGATGTTTTCAAAATTGTGTATTGTGAAAGCGAAGCTGCCTGTACCGAATATTTGGCAGCGTCGAAGCGCGCTAAACGCCCTTCTCCAACTACAAAAACCGTGGGTTGGAGTTCATTCCCTCCACCCACGTTTCTCGTTTTTCAACGGCTCAATCAACATTTCCGTTCGAGTAGTTCTTTTCCCCGTCCAAGCTGGCTAGAACTCGCACCCTCCCCAGAGGCGAGTCACCCTCAACACTTCTGCAAGACATTTTCAACCACAACCGCTCTACAATGGCGTCTACGCCGGCACTTAACCGCGGCAATTCGTCTGCGCCGAGTTCCGACACCGACCGTAACGCCCGAGAAATGACGGGCGATCGCCGTAACAAGCGCCGGGCAGAGGAAGGATCGCCCGCCCCAACCGCCGTGGACGTGCTGTTGGGCGGGCTCGAGGTCAACAAAAACTCGAGCCCGCCCCAGCAGCAGCACCCCTCGGCCCCTGTGGCGCCTGTGGCGCCTGAGGCGCGTGTGGCGCAAGTGGCGACGGCGGCACCTGCAGCACCTGTGGCGCCACACGCGCCTGACGCGGAGCACACGCCGGCGCCTGTGGCTGGACCGTCGCGTCAGCGCCAGAGGCGCCGAACAGCGACTTCTTCTGACGCGACGACCCCGGCGTTGACCAACGCGTTGACTCCGGACCAGGTCGCCGCGCTTCTGTCCCTGTTACAGCAACACCCGGCCAGCGTTACAGCTACGGAAATTGCACAACCCGCGGCCTCTGCATCTGCTAAAAAGGAAAACGCAAAAAGAGAAAAAGGAGCGCGAGGAACAACGGCGAACCGGCACGACAAGGAAGCACCGGCCAGCATCCCACCTGCGCCAGTGGCCGACAACGACACCGACGGCTCCGACGACGATGATGGTGAGGCTCCGGTCCATACCAAAAATTTTAATTCCATGGAGCATCTTCCCCCCCTCCCCTCTACTACTAACACCACTTGGTCGGCGGCGACGTTCAACGACGCGCACGTGCGGGCGAAAGCGGAAATTCTGGAGGACATGCGGGCCTACCTGAAACACGCAGAATACAAGCTGCAGCACGGCGACTTGGCGGGCGGACTCGAAATGGTCGTCGCCGCCCTCGACGACATTTCCGCGCGCTTCGAAATGTTTCAAGTCGAAGACGCCTCCGACGACCGCGTTGCCAAGCGCTACAAAATGTACCTGCAGAAAAGCCTTCTCACTTCACGCCCGTTCAAGCAAGCCGTCGCGGACGTGGCTGCCATGGACCGAGCGGCGGGCGCTCACGCTCGCTCCCACCGCGGTGGAACCCATGGCGCCATGGCGTTCGCCCCAAAACGGGGCCCTCCAACCTCGGGCAATTTCCAAGGCTTTCGTGGTTCGTGTTTCCGCTGCGGCCAGCCAGGCCACGTTGCCAATGCCTGCCCTCGGAATGGGCACGGGGGCCAAGGACCCGCACCGGTTGTGTAGGGTTCGGGCTATGGCGAAGTGCGCCACTCGGCGCGATGCACGGTGCACTCTTGAGTGCTTAGACCGTGGGCAGCCTAGTAGGGCTTGCGGTGGCCATGGGCCAGCCCTAGGATAGGGTGGTAGAATTTGGCCATAGGCCTAGCTTTGGGGAAGAGGAAGAATGCCTCTCGGTCCCCTAGGATAGGGTAATAAAGTATGGCCGTAGGCCTAGCCTTGGGGAAGAGGAAGAATGCCTCTCGGTCCCCCGGATGCCCCAATTGATGGGATGAGAAGCATGCTAGTAGGCATGACAATGCATGACCATGCGAGATATGGAATTTATTAAAGGCCCCCTTCTGGTTGCGAAGGATCACAAAAAAAAAAAAAAAACAAACAAAGGGAGAACGCGAGGAGGAGAAGGGGGAGGGGGAAAACGGGCACATTCCTCCCTCAAACCGCCACCATGCATGGCAGGGATGGGCAGCCCTGGTTCAATCTTTGGAAGACCAAAAAGGGAGAGAAGGAGCAAGAAGTACAAAAAAAAAAAAAGGGAGAGAAAGGGGGGCATAGCAATGTCCCTAGCCCAAGCGAGGGCTCGCGCGGAAAGACACGAGCCCATGGCAAGCGAAGCATGCAAATGCTCAAACAATGATGGAAACACGCACAAAAAGAGAGGGAGAGAGAGAGAGAGAGAGAGAGAGATGTGTGTGTGTGAGAGAGAGAGAGAGAGAGAAAGAGAGAGAGAGAGAGAGAGAGAGAGAGAGAGAGAGAGAGAGAGAGAGAGAGAGAGAGAGAGAGAGAGAGAGAGAGAGAGAGAGAGAGAGAGAGAGAGAGAGAGAGAGTGAAGCATGATCGCGGTCCCAAGCATCAATCCTAGAGCAAGGTTAAAAAAAAAAAAAAAAAAAAATAGAGCATGGAAAAAAGTTTGCCAAGGTGCGATCGGACGCCCAATATGGAATGATGACAAACCGTTCGTATGGTTCTCACTGCTGACGGTTCATCTTTCGCGCATGCATGTATATGTCACACGCATTCACTAATTAAGGCGTGTAACTTGATTGGTCCCGTTCAATTCCTTGCCGTACAAACAGGAGCACAACAATACGAGGTGCCTCGCGACGAAGACCCGTACGAATTCGCCGTCACGGACAAAACCGTCACACGGATGTGCGGTCGGCTTCGCTCGACCTTTGCGTGGTGGAGCTCATGGTGCCCTTGCAGCCTTGTTCTATCCATAATCGCCAACGGTTACTGGCTTCCATGGAGCCACGGCCCACCACCGGCCTTCCGGGAGCGGAACCACGCCGGTGCATACGCGCATGCTACGTTCACACGTACTGCCATCCAAGAACTCACAGAGACCGGGGCTGCAGTCGAGACAGCCGCAAGCGAGCTTACGTGCATAAGCCCACTTAACGTGGTCGAGCAGAGAGAAAAATGTAGGCTCATCCTTGACCTGAGAAAAGTCAACGCAAACCTCATCGTTCCAAAATTCAAGTACGAAGGACTCAGCCGCGTGGCAGACGTCGCACGAGCTGGGGATTGGATGTTTTCTATCGATCTCAAATCCGGGTACCATCACATCGACATCCATCCCTCGTGCTGGAAGTTTCTCGGTTTCGGATTCGATGGGCGCACTTACTCCTTTCGTTCATTGCCGTTCGGTCTTGCGACAGCCCCATTCGTCTTCACGCAACTCATCAAGCAGCTAGCCCGTCGCTGGCGAGAGCAAGGCATTCGAGTAGTACCATACGTGGACGACATCTTATTCCTTTGCCAGTCAAAAGCCCACGCGCAGGCCACGTGCCACCGTGTGATACTGGACCTTAAAGCAGCGGGTTTGGTGATAAATGCAAAGAAATCACAACTGTCACCATCGCAACACCTTCGATTCTTGGGTGTGGAGCTAGACACGGTCACCGGCCGATTTACCATCGGTCCCGAACGACGAGCCTCACTTCATGCAACCATTCGGAACCTGTTGAGCGCAAGCAAGGCCTGTCGACCCGTCTCAGTTCGCCAAGTGGCCAGAATCACAGGCATGCTCGCGTCAATGGGCGTCGCGCTGGGTGCAACAGCTCGTGCCTTCAGCCACGCCATGCTACAAGTGATCAATGACGCACCTTCATGGAAAAGCAGCGTGATCATCCCCCCACCTGCGGCTGAGGAGCTAAACTTCTGGCTCGAAGAGTTTGATCGGTTCAACGGTGCGCCGTTTCACGTTCGAAACAGCTACGATGCTGTAATCCATGTGGACGCTAGCGCTCACAGTTGGGGCGCCACTTTGACCACCTTCCCTGGCGGCCTCGAAGAAGCCAGCGCAACAATGCCAGAGCCACTGCAAGCGACGTCCAGCACACGGAGGGAGATCGAAGGAGTGCTTTGGGCACTCCAAACATACTCCAGCAAGATCAGACACAAACATGTTCTTGTGCGGGTGGACAATCAGGGCGTCTTCTTCATCCTTCGCAAAGGTGGCTCGCGCAGCCCCGACCTTACCACGGCCTGCCAAGCCATCATTCGGATATGCATGGAGCACGGCACGCGTCTAATCATCGAATGGATCCCACGCGAGCTAAACTCACACGCTGATGAGCTCTCAAAATCAGTCGATCATGACGACTACTCGTTGAAGACGCCGTGGTTCCGCATCTTAGAACGACGTTGGGGTCCCCATTCCATCGACCTCTTTGCAAATCCCCGCAACTCTCAGCTGCCACGCTTCTGCACGAAAATTCCTCACTGCAGTAGACGCATTTTCGCTCGCCTGGACAGCAGAAAATAGCTTTGCTTTCCCCCCGCCCCACTTAGTACCGGCCGTCCTCCATCACGCACAACGCACCCATGCATCGCTCACACTGATCATCCCACACTGGCCGGGTGCAAACTGGTGGCCACTCATACAACCTTCCCCACGAAACTGGGCACCGTACATCCACGCGCACATTCCCTTGACACACGGCAGCCAGTGCCTGGCAGCGGGAACACATTCCACTGCCTTTTCAGGCACCGGATTACCACACAGCCCAATGATCGCACTTCGGGTGGTATTTGACTAATTGAGAGCGTACGTGCCTTGTGTCCAGATCTGCTACCAAAGCTACACAACCAACTCATCAACATGCTCACACAATCGCGAGCGAATTCGACGATCCGTACATACGAACCGTACTGGACCAAGTTTCGGGCCTTCTGCACAAAGGTGGATCTTCCCTTTCTTCCCGCGTCCGACATGGCCCTCGCGCTATACTTGGTGCACGCAATCCAACGCAAAGCAACCTTGTTCGTAGTACAGCTCACGTGCTCGGCAGTCAGCTTCGCCCATCGCATGACTGGAAGCAAATGCCCGACTGTCGGACCGTTCACCACCCAAGTGCGGGACTACGCGAAGAGACACTGTTCTCGCCCTAGTCGTTTGAAGGAGCCTGTATCAATCCAACAAGTTCGGGACATGTCCGCGAACTACTTGCAGTCGGCCAATCCTGGCGAAATTCAGAAGGGGTTGATCCCTATCCTCATGTACTCCGGATTTTTACGCTACTCCGACCTGGTTGCCATCCAGTGGCAAGACATCCAATTCGACGACGAAGTCATGTGGATCCTCATCCCACACTCCAAAACGGACCAGGCTGGTCGTGGAACTTGGATCCCCATCGCAGCAACGACGGACCCCTGTTGCCCAGTGCGCTGCACCCAACGCTTCATCCAACTCGCAGGCTATGGCCCGCATTCAGAAGGGTCGCTGATTCGCGTTTTTGGCCATGCTCCCGCCGACAAGGGCCAGGCCAAGCCACCCTCGTACACAACGATCCGGAACTGGTGTAAAGAAGCATTCGCAAAAGTTGGACTTGGGGAGCAGCAGCTCGGCACGCACTCCTTCCGAAAGGGCGCGGCAACCGTAGCAGCCAACATCGGCGTTCCGGACAGGATCTTCAAAAGGATGGGCAGGTGGCGAAGTGACACAGCCAGAGAGATGTACGTGACACCATACGTCGGACATCTTATCAAGGCATCCCGCGACCTACAGGACCCGACATACGCACTGCCCCCAGAACAGCACGCGGAGGCACTCTTACGCAACCGGAAGCCACCACTGCCCATGTCTCAGAGGCCCCAGTTGCAATGAGAACGATGCCAAATTATAAGGACAAGAAAGCAAGCTTTCTCAATATTATAATTTTTAAACACATTGATGTTTTCAAAATTGTGTATTGTGAAAGCGAAGCTGCCTGTACCGAATATTTGGCAGCGTCGAAGCGCGCTAAACGCCCTTCTCCAACTACAAAAACCGTGGGTTGGAGTTCATTCCCTCCACCCACGTTTCTCGTTTTTCAACGGCTCAATCAACATCCCCACCACCCACCCCGGACCAACTACAAGACCACTGCTGCTTGGACGGACGACTCTATAGCTAGTAATATTTGTATGTACTAGCATGTGTTTAAGAACGTTGCATATGTTGTAATAAGCCAGTTGCAATGAGAAAGATGTCAGTTTATAAGGACAAGAAAGCAAGCTTTCTCAATGGTTCTCCTCTCCAACTTTTCCCGTCAGTCACACCCCTGTTTCCGCACCCCCTTCTATTTCAGTCTTCACTACCCCAATCCCCAATTTCCTTTCTCCCCTCCAGAAGCTAGCTTCCTAGTACCACCTTTCTCCCCCTCTTTTCCGTTGTATCGCTCAGCGGGCCACCATGAGGTCAGTAAGCTCCACGAAGAGTTACACTGGAAATAGAAGTTTACTTGCTTGAGATCAGGATGGTGATAGTTACTGTCTCGGGTGGTTTGCCTCACCCAGTTCGCCATAACTTCATCTTTAGTATTCTCTTCCAATCCGCTTAGTATATCTGCTTCCGGGCCATTTCCCGTGGCGGTGGAAACACGTCCATTTTTTTCTTCCCACAGAAAAATCCGCAACTGGCGTTTTCTCCTCGGCGATTGTTTCGGACATTCCCGACTGCTCTCGTCATCCTCATGCCCCTTGCTCTCTACGTCATGCTTCCCTCGTCACGTCATTTCCCTAATTGCCTCCCCCGCGGTGCAGTAATCTGCAGAGCTTCGTGCTGCGCGAGACGAATTCAAACCTGCTGAAAATTCACGGAGATTTCTAGGGTTTCACTCATGGTTGCACTGTGCTCTTTGTATCACCCTCGACACTCCCCACCCTCCCCCTGCGCGCCGCAGTAAGCTGCAGAGCGACGTGCTGCGCGAGGCGATATCAAACCTGCTGGCGGCGTCGCGCGAGAAGAACCGCAAGTTCTCGGAGACGATCGAGCTGCAGATCGGGCTCAAGAACTACGACCCGCAGAAGGACAAGCGTTTCAGCGGCTCCGTCAAGCTGCCGCACGTGCCGCGCCCCAAGTACCGCGTGTGCATGCTCGGAGATGCCCAGCACGTCGAGGAGGTGCGTGTGGCTGGTCGTTCAGAAGCTTAGGTGTACCTCGATTACATACCGGTCGATTCCAGCACCGCGTTTGGAAGCTTGGAGATGCCCCCCAATTTGAGGAGATAGGTGTGGCTTATCGTTTGAAATATAACGTTGAGACGTGGCTAGGGTCGCTGCAAGTGCCGCGTGATGCTGTGGGAATCCGGTTTTCACAAATCACGTGTGGCATTGCAGAAGTGGGTGGTACGCAGCTGCCATCAGTGCATCTGTGCGTCTGGGCAAGCATAGCGCGTTCGTGAGGTCCTTAGCTGCTGCGGCAAGAGCATTTGTTCTTTCAACTTCTAACTCCCTCGTTCCCTTATTTCCTCCTTCGACAGGCGGAGAAGATCAATCTGGACTGCATGGGCGTGGAGGCGCTGAAGAAGATGAACAAGAACAAGAAGCTCGTGAAGAAGCTCGCCAAGAAGTACCACGCGTTCCTGGCGTCCGAGGCCATCATCAAGCAGATCCCCAGGCTGCTCGGTCCCGGACTGAACAAGGCCGGCAAGTTCCCCACGCTCGTCACCCACCACGAGCCCCTCGAGAGCAAGGTACGCGATATAAGGCTAGGGTTTGGGATTCGTTAAGAAGTACCACGCGTTCCTGGCGTCCGAGGCCATCATCAAGCAGATCCCCAGGCTGCTCGGTCCCGGTCTGAACAAGGCCGGCAAGTTCCCCACGCTCGTCACCCACCACGAGCCCCTCGAGAGCAAGGTGAGAGTTTTGTACGTGGTATAACTCTAGGGTTTGGGATTTGTTAAGAGGTACCACGCGTTCCTGGTGTCCGAGGCCATCATCAAGCAGATCCTCACCTACTGCTGGATCTTGACGAATCTCTCTTGCTGCTAAATTCGCACGTGTGTCCTCTTTCTTCCCTTCTCTTCTCCCCTCACAGTTGCTGGAGGCGAAGTCGACGATCAAGTTTCAGCTGAAGAAGGTGCTGTGCATGGGCGTGGCGGTGGGCAATTGCGACATGGAGGAGAAGCAGATCTTCCAGAACGTGCAGCTCTCCGTCAACTTCCTCGTCTCGCTGCTCAAGAAGAACTGGCAGAACGTGCGTGCTTTTCTTTTTATTATTATTATTTCTACTATTATTATTATTTTCGCACCTTTTTTCTGTTTTCCGGCATCAGGCGCTGTTAATCTCCACTGATTTGTCTCGTCTCTGCACCGCCTCACTATTTCTTCCCCTCTCCGTCTCTCCCCGCCCTCCCCCTCCCTTTTTCCTTCCTTCCCGCCGGGTTTCCATTGCGCTCCCCTCACAGGTCAAGTCGCTCTACATCAAGAGCACCATGGGCAAGCCCCTCCGCATCTACTAAGCGCATCGATCGCGTCTTAATCGCCTCGTAGTTGCATTGCTGATGTGGCTATTGTTGTCCTTGTCCGGCCGATTTTGGCCCTTTTCTGGTAATGCACGAACTTTGGGCGCAATCCGTGTTCTCTCATTGGCTGCCAAGCTGGTAACCCTACTTCGTAGGGTGATAACCATGCGCGGCTGTTTGAGTTACTAAAGCAACTCGCTTTAGTGCACACCACCAAGGCAATAACGGGTACAGGGATGGGCGCATCCAAGGGTTGAGGGGAGAGTGGGGAGGGAAGAGAAAGGGAATGAGATGGTTGCAATGAGAACGATGGAGGACGATTGCAATGAGAACGATGCCAAATTATAAGGACAAGAAAGCAAGCTTTCTCAATGTATGAATTGTATACATTTCACTTGCTTGGTGGCTAACTTGAGATATAGAGCAACATTTGCGTGGAAAGAACGGTACATGTGTTAATGATTCCAGCAATTAAAAAAGCAGTGTTGCTACCACTACCTTGCAACCCTAATTAGCTGACATTCAAACGTCATCCCCTTATTACGTCAACAACAGATGGGGAACGCGGGTGTAATAACGGCAACACGAACAGAACCGCTCTATCCGAAGGCCTAAAGGTGTTATCGGAGCGAGCAGCTGCAGGCGCTATCCTCGATATAGCACGTCTCGGTACGGTAACCCATTGCGGCGGCTTCATGATCACTGCAGATACAGGGGAGACAAGACATGGGCGGAAACAAGATTAGAATCCACAAAAGCCATTCTTCATTATCTCAGGAAAATGAAGCGGAAGAGCAAACTTGTAATCCGCTAATCTTTCCAGCCCTGCCTGCCCCACACCAGCCAACCCAGACCAACGCGTTCCCCACATCCCCACCCGATCCCTTCAGCCACCTAATCCGCGCAGACCCGCAATTCCCCGCTTCACGCACCATCGGCGAAATTCCCTGACGGCAGTCAGCTCCGCGCCCTTCGCCTCGTCCAGCCACTGCACGCGAAGACCCCGCGACGCGCCTTCCGCCCTCACCGCCGCCTTCACCGCCACATTCGACACCGTCTTAGACAGCGACGACGATCTCGACGGCTTGATAGCCTGACCGTTATCGCAAGACGGCGACCCGGGGGCGAGGTGGTGAGTGGCGAGCACTGGCACGGGCCCCGCGACGAGGTCCCACTCCCAGCAGTCGACGGGGGGCGCATGTATGTGCGGCAATTCCGCTTCAATATCCTCGAGGCATTCGAGAATGAACTGGGAGACGTGGGTTCTAATCTTGCCGGACGCGCAAAGCCCGTCGTGCAGAGCTTGGGTTAGGGAGACGGCGACCGAGAGAGAGAGCGCCGATAGGGATGAACCGCACGGGGAGTCTAAAAGAGCGGCGTGAGCGGAGCTGAGAATCGCAAGGGACGTGTCGAGACCCGAGATGCCGCCGTGGTGCTGGTCTTGTGGGGTTTCTACGACCGGCGTGGGTTCGACTCCTGACAAGCGCAGTTCTGATGGTGCTGCCAGGCTGGGAGGCTCCAGACGAACAGATGCTGATTCGCAAGAGACGGATGCGACGGCCATAATTTCGCGAAACCTCGCAACGGATGGGTTATTGTAATGCTAAGGGTATACGCGACGGGGAGCTGCGGCTATGATCTACGACGCGACACCACGTTTCGTCAGCGAATTTCGCCCAAAATTCCTGTGTCGATTAGCTACCTCCACGACTTTGAAAGACCTATATGTCAAGTAGCTCAACTCGAGTCTGACCAGGAAATACTATCGAATGAACAGAACAGACACTGGTGCAAGCACCAGGCGTTCTTACTGAAAAGACGACTTCTTTTTATACTGGATACCTAGCCTACCAGTCTTTCTCTGGAGAAAATGTGTGGTCGAAGCGAACCAAAAACCACAAGCATCACGAGAGCAACCTAACCTAATCCGTGCCTCCCCCCATTTACAAGAAGGTCCTGTAAACCAAGCCTCCTTCATCGTTCTGCACCATGATTGGTGGTAATGAATTTGTTGGGAAGGTGATGTGCGCGCTCAGCGCAGCCCCAAGCAAGCAGGTCAGCCACGCCAGTGGCTCGGAAGTTACCGAACAGAAAGGGAAGAAAGCTTCGGCGGGGAAGCTGTGGCCGTTGATGTGCGACTCGTACGCCGTGCACGAGACCAGTTGGGGCGATCGCGCATCGTCAATGATTCCTTGCGAGTGGATGGGGACGTGAGATCTGTTGACATGACATCTGCAGAGGGTCAATCGGCATCGCTGCTGTCTTCGCGATTTTGTTGTTGTTGTTGTTTTTTCTTTCATGTCCCTGCCCAGAGGGGCTCCTCGCTCGGTATTATCATCTTTCGACTACAACATTGGCTACACTGATTTTATTTTCGACTTGGAACATTACCGAACGCTCTGAAACCGCATGTCGAACTCAACAGAATTACAACAACGAGGTTGGTCAATTGTTGCCGAACCGCAAAAGAGGCGACGCCGCCGCAAATGGCGCTGTTTTCAGCCAAGCCATAACGACGGCATAAAGGCTCGGGTCGCCGCCGTCTGTTCCCATAACGGAGACGACGCTCTTCTTCGAGATTTCGAGCAAATTTGCTTTCGTTCAAAAGGTACACGAGCTTGTAGAAATTACATCATTGACCATCCTGGAATGTATGCGTATATTACATTCTATAGACCATGTTCTGGAAAGTCGAGATTCCTTCAATCGAGTTTATGCTCGAGAAGGTTCTCTGCACTCAAATTGCTGTCGTCATGGCATCTTCACAGCATCAGATGCTCTACTCCACGTCATCGCCGTACATTACTTGATGCGTGTGCCATAGGTGGGGAGCACAACCTAGGCATGCTGACTCGGCAAACCGTATCGAGTGGAATTTTGCAGATGTCAACGGCCGAGATCTAAGAGCTCACCATAACGGGTGGCCGTGACCTTGGACATCACGCGAATCGCCCTTTTTCGGCAGTCCATCCGAGTCGCAGTGCCAAGTCACACTCAAAGGATCAGGTCGTGTCCGTAGGGATGACATGTCAAAGTGAGCAGTGTCAATTTGGCATTTTGACACTCAGCCAACATTGTTGGCAGGGTGTCAAGAAATTGCAGGTTGCCATCCAATACAAATCGTCGGACACTTTCTAAATTGGCACAGTCAAACCTACAAACGAGAGAAGATTGTCGCAAGTGCCTATCTCACGGCCAGATGCTGCCCAATCAGCACACAATCTGTCTTTTGAATTGTTCGCTACCTGGCAGATCCACCCATGACAAATTCTCAAACCAATGAAATTCCGTCGCTGATGTTCGTACATGCGCTTCGACTTGACACTTCAGCTACAGTGTTTGACACTCTAATTTGAATGCGCTTCGGGTTGACACGCTCTCACTTGACATGTCAACCCTACGGACACGAACTCAGGTGAATTTAGTCCGTTCATCGCCTGGGGAGTTGGTGTGGAGACTCGAGGGGCTACAAGGAACTGTTCCAACCCAAAAGCAATCTGTTCTAAGTTTCTCCAAAGAAAATGTTTCTGTTGGACGACAATGACGGAATTGGTGACAGCAAAGCACCACCACCACCGTGGTGCCCTAAGCATCCATTCAACACTATTTTTTTTGCAGCTGGTAAATCTAGGACGTTCACTATCGACGCCCACCGCTGCCGCCGCGCGCAGCCATGGTGGACGTTGATTCCGTCAGAGCCGTCGCCCCAGAGGCCTTCCAGTCGCCTCAGGCATTTCACTCTCTCAACGACTCGCCGTCGAGCCGATCCGTCCAGGTCCGTCCACTCCAATCCGATGCCCATGCGACAGCATCGGTGGCCTCTCGCCCTGCGTTAGATTCCTCCGTCTTAGATTCACCATCCAGTGTCCTGATCCCTCTCTCTCGCGCTCCTCCACCCGCATCCGCGCCAGCAGACCCTTTTACACCCCCCGGCCGCCAACAGGACTTAAACGAGATGGCTACTATCGAGGACAGCAATATCGCCGCCAATCGAACCTCGATACAAACCATCACGAAAGGCAGCATCCGATCGCGCTATTCCATCGTTCGCCGAATCGGCCGCGGCCGCTTCGGCTCCGTCTACGAGGCCGTAGATCGCGCCACGAACACCCGCGTCGCCATTAAGAGCATCCCTAAAGCTCGTCAGAGCGCCCTTCCGTCGCTAATCCGAACCAAGGTGACCGAGGCTGACGTGGCTCGGCAGCAGCGGCTGGTCGAATCGGAAGCTGAAATCAGCCTCATGCTCGGATCGGCTACAGCCGGTCAGGCTGACAAACCGGGTCGGGCTGTATCGACGAGTCCAGCGGCTGTAGCCGATAATTCTGTTGCCGAAGGCGCTGTAGATGCTGGAGCGGCGGATGCACTGGCAGCGGGGCAGGGCAACGTGGGGCAGGGGAACGTGGTGCAGGTGCTATCTGTGGTGGAGGGCCGGCAGCACTTTCACATCGTCATGCAGCTCTGCCGCGGCGGCTCGCTCGCCGAATTCCTCGAGAAACGCCGCCGCGGCCAAGCCGCCACCTTGGCCGCCGCCGCCGACGCCGTCTTTTCTCCTGCCGCTGCTTCTCCCGCCGCCTCTTCCACCGCAATTCCCGCTTCGGGCATCACCCCGTGCCCCTTGCACTCCTGCCAAGTCGCTCGACCCTCAGCGCGCGTCGCTGCCGAGGGGGATCGCTCGCCTGTCGGTTTCCTTCCCGCAGACTCCGGAAATGCCTCGCCGTCACCGCCGGCGACGGGAGTGGCGTCAGATGCGGAGAGCAGTCCTCACAGATGGTATCAGGCGGCGACGTGGGAATCGAACTCGGAGGACGAAGGCGGAGAGAACGAACGGGAGGAGCTGGGGGGGACTGATTCAGCTGGCCGCAATTGGCGGCATCGGATGCGGGATGAAGAGCGGTTAGGGGAGCGCGGAAGAGAGAGTGAGGTCATGGAGAGCGGAGGAGAGAGTGAACGGGTCGTGGACGATGGGATGGAGCAGGAGGACGAAGATTCCGTGGCGTCGCAGCTGAAAGCTGATTGGGTGCCGCGAATGGCGCTGACGGGAAAGGGCATGGAGAAGTCCGCATCGACGGGCGAGCTAGCGCAACTCGCGGAGGCAGCAGCGGCTGCTGCGGCGTCGTTCGCAGGGCGAACTAACGCCGGGCACGCCGCGGCCACAGGGTTGGCAGGATCGTCCACGTCAGCAGGAGCTGAGTCAGCAGGAACGGAAGCGCTAGCGAGCAGTAGGGTGGTGGTGTATGGAGGGATGAGCGAGGAAGGAAGGAAGAGACAGCAGGAATGGGAGGACGAAGCAGCGTGGATCGTTTCTGAGATTGCTGCAGCGGTGGCGTATTGCCACAAACGGGGCATCTTACATCGAGACATCAAGCCAGAGAATGTTCTCTTGACGCTGCCGCCCAGCTCCCAGCCAATCACCGTCCTCGCCTCTCCTTGCTCCCCTTTCACCGCAGCTGCGTCTTCGCAGGACCAATTTTTTTGTTCTGCCCGTGTTGCGGGGCGGTCAACGTCAGTGGGGCAGTCAACGCCAGTGGAGGAGTCAATGTTAGTGTCAGTGGGACGGTCAACATCAGTGCAGCGGTCAACGTCAATGAAGCCAAGCAGTGAGTTCCTGCGCAAGAGCCCCTCCTTCTCCATCCTCTCCCCTGCTGCTGGTGCTGGTGCTGGTGCTGCCGATAGTGAGGGTGGTGGGGCGAGGGCTAGGCCTGTGGTGTCAGAGTCAGGGCGCTACCAGGCAGCCAGTGTGGGTGCTGCTGCTGCGCATCCACCCCACGCTGGTGCGCATGGCAGAGTGCATGGAAGCGCTCATGGCTGGGTGCATGGGCACAGGCGTTCTGCCTCTCTCGCCAGCTGGCTGGGGCGAACAAGCCTCCGGAAAAAGCAACACCAGCAGCAGCAGGAGCATGAGAAGCAGCAGTGTGAGAAACAGCAGCATCAACAGCTGATGCAGCAACTGGAGGATGGGATACAGTCTTTCAAGGCTGGTGATACTGAAGTCCCCATTTGTTCTGCTGGTGTTGCTGCTGCATTCCTCTTGTGCTCCTGCACATGCCAGCAGCAGCAGCACACCCACAATTCCCCTCTTCCTTCTCTCAGTCAGGTCCAAGGGCTGAGATTGGCCGACTTTGGCCTGGCAGAGAAGCTTCAGCCAGGGCAGACAGCCACACGAGGCCTTGTTGGCAGCCCTGCCTACGTGGCGCCTGAGGTGGCCGCAGGGCTCCCCGTCAGCTTCCCTGCAGACGTTTGGGGCATCGGCATTTGTCTGTACATGGTGCTATCGGGTGGCCAGCTGCCATTTTCTGGGCGGCGCACTCGGCTGCTGTTGTTGAATATTCGGCGGGCGCAGCTTCCTATGGGGACGGCGGCATGGGTGGGCGTGTCGGGAGAGGCGAAGGATGTAGTGAGGAAATTGCTTGCTGCAGATCCCAAGCACCGGCCGAGTGCGGAGGAGGTATTGCAGATGCCATGGGTGGTGAACGGCAGAGAGCGGTGGCTGCAACGCCAGAGTGGTCTTATGGCTTGATGTTGTGCGATATGCGCTCTTGGAGCTCCTTGGTGTTCATGTGTCATTTATTCATTTAGTATAATGTGTCAGCCCCAAGTTACTTGCCTGAGGAAAGTAGAGGCAAAATCTGGCTGATTGATATCTTCAAACAAAATTATGATATGGTAGGCATATGAAATGCTGAGAGCAAACGGCGCTGGATGGCTGTGTTCATTGAGGAATTTGGGAAAAGTCGGCGCGGAGTGGATGAGCACGTGATTGGCTGGCAAGTTCTCAATGTCCCATAATCAACGGATCTGAGCCCAGGGTAAAAAACAGCAGTCGCGAAGTGGACCAATAGAACCGGGTCTGGTCTGTTCTGGCCCAGCCCGTGTGTGACACCTGACATACAGAACCTGTTACGCTCGGGCAAGGTTAGGCCCTGGAAAATGGCAAGAGAAACTGGCTCGGGCCCAACTATAGGTCTGTCATGACTGGGGCGTCTCGTAGACTCGACTTCACGAGCATAGCGCATTTCACCCTAGAGAATCTGGTTTTTCCTGCTGACATGATAATGACACCCTTCCCTACCCACACCACTCAACCTCGAGATTCTGCAGTGTCTCACATCACCCTGCGCTCACAGTATCAACACTCGAAAGTGATTTTGCTTCAGGTTTGTTCAAATTGTTGGCCAGAAATGCCTGCGCCCGATTGTTGGCGACTAGTCCAGCCATTCCCCAGAAGCTCGTGCTAGCTCGGAGTATTCTCTGCCAAGAGTAACAATGTTTCGGAAGTCGAGACGCTCGTCGAATGCACAATTAGTTTCAGTTCCCTCACAGGACTTGCTAAGCTTGCTGGACGAAGAATGGGGTATGCCGAAGGTCAAAGGCCAGGAAGCTCGGAAGGACAGTCCTGGTCATGTTCCTGTGGTTCCACGCGACGTCAGCTCTGTCAACAGAAGGCTTCAGTCGAGCAGAGTCAGAGATTTGACTCCGGAGAAATCTGAGCCTAAGCCTGACCTCTCGATGCCACTCCATGCACAAACATCAGAACCCTCGCATCCAGAACCTTTCCAGCCTGGACCAAACTCAGATGAAGCCCATGTTCACCCCACTCCGCCTCGCTCGCCAGATCAGCTGTCGCCTAGATCCGACGAGTCAAAGGAGGTCAACTTCGACGACGCTGAAGAGTTGCCTGCTTTGTCGTCATTCTCTACCACGGAAGCATCATCTTCTGCCGGAGCGGCTGGACGCGAGGACCTGGACGACCAACGAGACGGCGACAGGGAATCATGCGCCTCACAGGAGTCCACGTCAGCCTGGTCTACAGCTTACACCACGTGGCCGTCTAGCCTCCACTCCACCTCCTCGTCCTTAATTATGAGTCTGAAGCGGGGAGGCGGAGACCTGTCTTCGTTACTCTTCTGGTCGTTTCTGTTGCTTCCGGTGGCTCCTCTGATCCTCATCTCGCTACCGTTCTGTCTGCTAGTGCTAACCCTGCTCGTCATCGGGGCAACACTCGCTTACACGTCGTTCGCCGGTAAGCAACGTCACTCGATGCTCGATCATGACTGCATGTGAGCTCCTGCCGTTGTTCACACTCTCACATCTCTAGACTCTGACTCTCTCTCTTTCTTTTCCTCCCCCCTCCCTTTCTCTCACTCGCTCCCTCGCTCTCTCACACTCACTCAGTCACTCGCTGTCACTCTCGCTCTCACTCTTTCTCACTCACACTCCTTCCCCATGTGTATATGATTTCAGGAACGTGCATCGGCTGTGCGACTATACTCTCACCGTTTCAAAGGAAGCTACCCGAGCCGAAGCGCATTCGCTTGACGGACGGACGGCTTCTGGCGTGGCAGGAGTTTGGAGTCCCGCAGGGAAGTGCGCGTCACACGCTTCTTGTCGTCCACGCACCCCCTCTCTGCCGCACAGCGGGTTTTCCAGGTCTCAGGTACGATTTCCTTTTTTTATCACTTGCCATATCATTTTATCGCAGCGGGTCTTCTATCTTCTGCGAAGGTCGAAATGTCAAACTGACGAGCATGCTTCGTTGTTGCTTCATTGATTTGCAGCGAGGCGTTCTTTCATCAACGGTCCATCCGCGTAATCTCGTTCGACCTCCCCGGCACAGGGTTCAGCGACCCTCTCCCTCTCCAGGCCACCACCACAACGGCATCGTTCGCCTCTGCTGTTGCTGACGACATCAAGCAGCTGGCCCAGCAGCTGCATCTAGTACCCGGGCTGTGGATAGTGGGCTTTGGCCTAGGCTCTCCTCTTGCTCATGCTGCTGCTGAAAGGCTGGGTCAAGGGCTGGTAGCAGGGCTGTTGCTGCTGGGGCCACCAGGGGTTCTGAACACTGGCGAAGGTGGTGACACTAACGAGGATAATAGTGGCTGTGAAACGGGCATGCATAAGGATGGTACACATGTACATGCGGGAAAGGAGGAGAGGCGTCCACGTGGTCAGCCAGCGATGGTGATGTCGCGGCAGCAGGCTGGCGGAGTGTGGCAGCTAGTGCAGCAGTCATTTAGGGGACGCGTAGCAAGTGCTATTTTGCGGATAGTGGTTCCTCGTGTGCTGGTGCAGTCAGTGGTTGTGCTGCTCCGGACCTCACCTGCGATTCTCAAGTGGATTGTGACGGCCACTTCACTTCGTCCCATTTCACCCCGCGTGGTTTCGCTTATTTGTGGTACGCTCCACGTTCTGGTTTTCCGTGCCCTAGTTCTATGTGTTTTTCCCTGCTGGTTCATTTTCGCTTGTCACATATGTAATGGAACTTGCTTTCATTGCAGCCTAACTCCTTGACTCCCCCTTCCCCCCCACGCTCCCCTCACCCCTTCTCTCCCTCCCTTCACACACGATCTCTCTATCTCCCACTCCACACACACACGCACACATACCCTCCTGTCCCTCTCTTCCTTAATTCAGGCATCCTCCATTGCGCTAATCACTTCCTTTTTCTATATTATTTGTGCCACAGATGGCTTGCTGGATGCACTTCAGCAGGGCGACCTTCCTTATTTGCTGAACCTACTAGTCCTAACACTGCAACCCCACAGCACGCAGCCATGTTCGTCTGCTAATAACTCTGTTTACTCAGGGCCTATCTACACCTATAAGGTGATGTACACGAGTATATATGCAATCTTTGTTGTAGAAGCAGTCATTTCTTCCTACTGTTGTGCCTGCTGTTGGTTTTTACCTTTCCTGCATCGCTTAACTTCATGCTGCAGATGGGGATCTGTCTGTCGCCGCAGCTTGGTTGCTAATATAGTCTCAACTCATTGTTGGTAACTTCTGGCAGGTATTTGATGATCCAAGGTCTCAAAACTTACTGCCGGAGGCGATGTTTGAGGGTTGAGATGCTGGTTGACATCAATCCAGGCAAAATTGCCAGTGTCCAGTCTTGAAGGACTTTCACAATCATGCATTTCTTGACATGAACTAACGCTTGACTTAGAATTCAAAGCTACATGGTACTGCATTACATTCTGTAACGAGTAAAATGTTAACCTAAATCTTTGTCTTCCAGGATAGAAAGACTCATGATTTATTTTCAGCTTGTAACGCGTGGCACCTTCAACTACTACTTCCTGTTCGACCAGATACACCCTCATTCTCAGTCTGTGCACAATCGCCACATGAACATGCCAGCTGTAATGACATCAATGCGTCCAACATGGTCCAAGAACATACGCTGTAAGCACATTTGCCGTACTTAACCGTACGAACAACTAACTGTAAGTTTACATACCGTTGTTTACCGTTCCCCGGGAGTGCGTTTGCCCGCCACCTACCTAGAGTTCGGCTCCAAGCACCAGATCGCTAGGGTCCAAGCAATCAGACGCACTGTAGCCAGTGCTCCCAATTGTGCGTAGACTGAGAATGAGGGTGTATTGCGTGCTACGCTTGCTTCCCTGTCACGCACCCTTGACCCTGCGACCTCCCAGCCCTTCGAACTTGATTTGAATACATATCTTGCTAAAACACCTACAACGACTGTGTCACAAGCTGTCCTGGTTAGCGCATCTTGCATCTTGTCTCTTCCTGCCTCTTCAAGCTCTAGCGGTTATCTAAATATCCGTGTTTCCTCTACGCGTCTACGGTGCCCTCGCGATTTCGCGTCGCCTGTTTTCTCTGATAGGCAGCGGATCAATCCTGCGACGAACGGCTTTGAGTTTGTCGTTCGGGGTGGCCTCGAGTCACCACATTTAGCCAATATGATTAACCTAGGTATGATCAAGAAGAAGCAACGGGAAGCAGCAGAAAGCAATAATGGCAGAGCTCCAGGAAGGAAACAGTCGGCTGGCGAGTTGAGAGTTCAAAAGGGTGAGCATTCGCTGTCACTGCTTTTTAGTATTGCGGGGAGTTATCACGTCGTCCGCGAACTATTGGACCGTGGTAATCAAGAATGATGCTGAGTAGTTGTGTTGTTCCCTGCAGATATTTCCGAGTTGAATCTTCCAACAACAACGAGCATCGCCTTTCCAGAGGGAAAGGATAACCTTCTGAAGTTTGAGATTACGATTAAGCCAGATGAAGGCTACTACATGTAAGCGCTTCTTAACTTACACGCTTTAGGCGTCTCCGAGATCTCGCCCGTCGTGTACTCTCTCTGCCTTCTTTTGACTTCATATCGACTTCACAGCTCTGTCCCTTTGCTGATTTCACCTCGCGAGCTGCGTTCCACCTCTTACCTGTTCCGGTTTTGTGCATCGCTCACCAAACACCCAACCCTAACCTTGTCAAACGCTCCTTTTCAACCTCCTTGCACCACTCAGAGGAGGAACGTTCACTTTCAGCTTTGAGATTCAACCTTCTTACCCTCATGAAGCTCCCAAAGTGAAGTGCAAAACCAAGGTACAGCACCTATCAATTTCATTGACATCATTGCAAGGTATTTGTGTTGACGAAGCACGGCCCTGAGGTCAGAATTTCGCTAACTCTAGAGCGTCTTGATTGCTGATCGCTTTTCATATCACTTGCAGGTGTACCACCCAAACATTGACCTAGAAGGGAATGTTTGTTTAAACATTTTGAGAGAAGACTGGAAGCCTGTTTTGAGCATCAACTCTATTGTCTACGGCTTGCAGTTTCTTTTCTTGGTACGTTTGACTCCACGTGAGGCATCATCTGTTTTGTTTGGGGGTTTGGAGGGTGGGAGGTATGCGTTAAATGCAGGGATGTGTGGATTTCGAGTGTGGGTTGTAATGCAGTGTTTGTCCGAATGGATTGCGGCTGATACCATGATTCCAATCTCAAGCACTTCTACATTGTTCTCCCACAGGATCCCAATCCTGATGATCCACTGAACCATGAAGCAGCAGAGGTTCTGCGCACCAATCCACGGCAATTTGACTACAATGTGAAGAGGTCCATGGCTGGTGGATATGTTGGAGGACATTCATTTCCTCGCTGCATATGAATTCAATGTACCTGGCTGTTGGCGCAAGAGTGGCAAGATAGCTAGTCCGCGTGGTCAGCCTGCTGTTGATGGCACGGGACATACGGTATTATGCAATCAGGCAAGCTGCTTCTATGACACGCTGTGTTGCTATCTAGGAGACAGCTGATGTGCTGTAGGTTTCTAGAAGGAAAGAGCAGGCCTTGTAGAAAAGCAATGCTAGCCAGCAATGGATAATGAAAACACAGTTGCAATCCTTACCAAATGATAATCCTGTACATCTCTGCCCCATCGTTGTAGGAGAGGCAGATAATTGGTGTCCTTGCCTGGTGGTGCCTACCTAACTCAACTAGACGCATGAGGTAGTAAGAAGTATGCTGCCTTCAATCAGGCAGCCTCCAAAAAAATACCAGTTGCAAAACATTGGCACAAGTCCATACCAACAAAATAAATAACTAAGAATCTTTTTGTTTTCCGGTCCTACAACAACCTACCACATTTTATGACACTATGTTCATGCATGCTAGCTTCTACACTAAATTGCCGTTCTCCTCAAACAGGTCCTCCAGCTCACAGAACGACCCCACTGTCAGGCCCGCTCTCTTCTCCTCACCGCACACCACCACTTCTGCCCCGCCCTCCATCTCAATCAGATCATTCCAAATGGAAAGCTCCCCCTGACATATGCCTTGTGCTGCTGCAGCGAGCGCCGCTGCTGCAAGAGAATCAGCCACATCAGTAGTACTACCACCAGCCACAGCAGGCACAGCAGTTGCACCCGAAGCAGCAGTTACACCAGGGGCAGAAGAAGCGGCAGTAAGCATCTCAGGACGAAAACGTTGGCAAGGCACAGGAGGCAGCTCTGTTGATGCACCTCCGCCCACGCATCCACACTGTGCCTCTTCGCTCGCTCCAGTGCGACGGCTGTCCTGCCGCGCAATTGTGCATGCAGTCTTTGAGATTTGCTGCCCGTCGCTGATCTCGCCCCCATGGGGATCATCACTGCCGGGCAGACCGGAAAAAAAGGAGCGGGCGAATTCCAGAGCAGCGGGGGGCAGAACGCCTCGGCTGGTCCGAGGTATCTCGTGCGGCCTCATGTGCGTTGCTGTCAGGGCAGATGGAGACAGGGGAGGTGCGTTCATCGCTGCATGATAGAACCGGGTTGGAAGGGCTGCTGCTGGTGCCATACTCTCAGTAAGAGGAACAGGAAGCATGGGAAGCACACTTGCTGATATTGATGTTGCAGCAGAGTGGGGAGCGGCTGAAGCTTCTCCTGCTGACAGCATGGCTGCGGCTCGTAGAAGCTGCTGTGCTTCCACTGGCACAGCGATGCACTGACAGGAGGGCTGAGAGGAGGGTTGGGAGGAGGTCTGGGAGGAAGGCGGGGAGCAGTCAACAGAAGCAGAGGAAGCAGCGTTGCTGGGCGAGGCACTGCGGGAAGAATGGCGCTGAGACAGGTGGTGCTGAGATAATTTTGGCGGGATGGGTCGGAGAGTGTGGGAGGTGCCTTGGTCGGCGGAGTGTGTAGGGCTGATTGGAGTGCGTAGAGTGAGGGAAAGGAGGGGAGAGAGTGCGGTGGGCCACGGTTGGTAACGGTGGAAGGGGCTGTTGGCACTGGTGGCATTGCAGCTGTTTTGAGAGATGTGGTTGAGAAGGGAGCAGCAGAGTGGCAGTGCGAGGAAGGGGAGGGTATTGAGGAGGTCGGACGGCTATTTAGAGCAATGAGGGGAGCGGTGTGGGGAGCGGAGGGGGGAGCGGTGGGAGGTGGGACAGTCAAAGATGGCGAAAGGCTGTTGGGAAGGGAGGAATGCAGAACGCGGGAGCTTTGCGTCAGCTCGGAGGTAAACGGCGCGCGAGAGGCGGAACGCCAAGGGGTGACGAGCGAGATAGGGCGGGCAAAGTAGGGCCACAAGGTGGATGCATGGTCGGGTGAGATGGACGGTGCAAGGGAGGGTGCAAGGGATGGTGCAAGGGACCGTGCAAGGGACGGTGCAAGGGACGGTGCAAGGGAGGAGGGTGAGAGGGAGGATGCAAAGGAAGGGGTGATGGAGGGCGAGAGGGAGGGCGAGAGGGAGGTTGAGAAGGAGAGGGGCCAGCCAAGGGCGGGGAGAGAGCCTGAGGTGGGTGTACTGCTGCAGTGGGTGGCAGGTGCGAGTGAGGGACAGTGCAGGGACTGGAAAGACCGAGTAGAGTTGAAATTGATTGGACCCTGTGTGAACAGTGACGGCTGCTGCTTCTGTCGCTGCTCCTGTTGCTCTTCATGTTGTTGCTCTTGGTGCTGGTGCGGCTGTTGCTGCTGTTGTTTTTGCTGCAGCAGAATCGCCTGAATGGAGATCCAGGATGTTGGGATTGCTGGCCTGAATAAAGCAGAGCAGAGGGGAGGGGAGCAAAGCAAACGGGGAAGAACGCGTGAGAACCGGAGTAATCACCAGGCTTTCGCGTAAAGAAGAAGGCAAACGGAGATTAACTCAACCCGGAAGCGTCGAAAAAAGCAAAGATTGTTCACCAGGAATTTGCGTGCATTCGCGTGAGCGAAGCACATCAAGAGTCATAGCCGAATAATGCAAGAGAGATCCACGAGTGATCCACGAGTGCATGCATGCATCACTCATAGCCTCACCTGCTACCGCACTGACGCTGGCAACTCTGGTTGTCAGCGGCCCGCAGAAGCAGCGAGCGCACAGCCGACGCATCAGCAGCCTCAATGTCCTGAAGCTGCCCGGCCGACAGGCCTTCACGCATGCCGGTGTGAGCAGCACCGCTGGTGTTGAATCCCGTGCTGCTGGTGGTGAATCCCGAGCCATCGTCATTGCGACGACTCTTCATCCCCCGGTCCATGCGGTGTGCGTGGTTTGGATGCATGGTGCGAGTTGTCATGGCACGTGGTTCGGAGAACAGAATGTGCGCCAGCTGTTGAGCTGTCACCGATGCTGTGCTCTGCTGTGCTGCTCCTGCTGCTCCTGCTGCTCCTGCTGCTCCTGCTGCTGCTGCTGCTTCTTCTGCTGCTGCTGCTGCTGCTGCTGCTTCTGCTGCCCCTGATGCTGCTGCTGCTCCTCCCGTTGCTCCACATGCTGTTGCTCCTGCATGCTCTCTGCTCAGGCACCTCATACCTGATAGAAACAGCTCTGGGACCACGAGGATAGGCTTAGCAGCAGCTGCTGAATTGAAGTCAGGTGCATCTTCAGGTGAAACATCAGATGGTGCCAGGCTGTCTTGGAGACCAGGGGGAAGGAACAGCTGCATGCACTCGACCAATGACAGCCCGCCATATTGCAACGCCACGTCAGGACGGCTCCACATGTGCCACTGTGATTGGTCGGTGGATGAGAAGATGGCCGCGCCTTGCTGGAACTGTTGCTGAGCTGTCAGTGTAACGTCAGCGTGCTTCTGGGTGAACTTCCTGCAGACACGGAGAATGTGAGGCAGGGATATGGATTAAACATAGCTGTGATGGGGGCACGAAGCAAATGAAACGAAATTAAAGAGCAAAGAGTCCAGAGGCGTGAAGCATGACAGAGCAGGCCCATGAGCAGAATGAGCAGAATGAGTAGTGACGCATGACAGTGCTAGTCTGGTCTATCATACACACTGCAGGCCTTCCTGACGCATGTCGCGTGGTAGCATGGCATGGCACCATGTGGATGCTAAGATGATACAATAACATGACATGATAATAACACGACTTTGCACAGACAGCCGCTCACTTTTTGAGGAAGAGGAATCAGTTGCATGACATGCTGCGGATGGCATGTGCGACTCACTTTTTGAGGAAGAGGAATCGGTTGCAGCACGCCTTGTTGCCGCGCGCGAGCTGCTTGCCTCTCACCAGCCGCCCCCACTGCCGCGTGCCGTGCCTCAGCGCGTGCCGCAGCAGCACCGCGTCCTCCTGCCGAGCCGGGAGCAATGGGGGGCAAGCGGTAGAGGGAACGCGTTAGAGAATAAGCGGTAGAGGGTAAGGGGTAAGGGGTAAGGGACGGAGAGGGGGCACCGCGTGCCGTGCCTCAGCGCATGCCGCAGCAGCACCGCGTCCTCCTGGCCGATTGAAGCAATGAGGACACACGATACATAGAGGGTAAGGCACGGAGAGTGAGCGACGGAGGCGATCAAGGGTGAGCGACGGAGGCGATCAAGGGTGAGCGACGGAGGCAAGGGGAATGGCTGTCAGCAGCAGGCTGCATTGCGTCTTAATGCGACAATGCGTGCCACATTGATTGAGCCCACAGTCATGGGCAATGCACAATTTTTGAGGCGCCTAAAAAATGCGACCATGCGTGCCACGTTCATCCCAGTCCTAGGCAATGCACGCGAATTCGGAGCGTCCGTACCTCCTTAGTCCATGGCTGCGAGGAAGGCGCGAACCGCAGAATGGGAGGCGAATCCGCCACGGGGGAAGGCGGCGAGCCGCAATAACGCGACTCGGCTTGCTGGGTCGCCATGGCTGTGGGAAGAACTTGAAGAATTTCGGAGAATCAGTGGCACTCCTGTGGTCGAGAATCTCGGAGAATCAGGGAAGGCTGGGTTGCGATGGATCGTGGATCATGGAATCCTGAGCGGGTGACAGAGAAGTATGCGCGGAGAACGATAGGTTTTAGCGTCGAGCCCGAGTTATGCGAATTCGGACCTGGGATGCCTTCTCAGGGAGGTGGAGGGTACTCGGGGCGAAGAGGCGAAGACCGCGCGACGACCGCGCGACGGACAGGCAGGACGTTCGCGAAAAGATTTCGCCATATCCCCGCCCCGCATCTCTCCATATTGCACGTCTCCGCCTGTCCGCACCGCAGTGCCTAGTCAATTCAGTGCATGCGTCTACGCGTGTACAGGTAACACGTTCTGCCCAATCTGGGACTCCAAAGGCTTTTCTTGGAGGCGTTCCGGAGCCCATGTTGGGTTCCGCGACGGAATTTCGATTGAGCTTCCGAAGCAAGACAGGAGTCGAATGTAAAGGTTCGCGCATGGCCTGCTCCGCAGTTGCTGCCATTGGACGGACGGACCAACGGGTTAATTCTGCTGTCGGTTGCAATTATGCTTTCGCCGCGAGAATCGAGGAAACGACGCACCTAGCGTATAAAATAATAGCCAACTTCACGCTGAAGTGCACATGCGTGTGCGTTTGTGCACGTGCAAGACTTAAAACGACGGTGCACATTTGCCACCCAAAACCCAGAACCCTGGCGAACTGTTACTGCAGATGAAAAGTGTCTGCAGGACGTGCAAGGCTGTGATAAGAGGCGGAGGAGCTAACGTAGGACCATACATTACTTGACAATACAATAGAGGGGGAGCTGTAAGTGAGCAGTTGGTCCCTAAACACCCCGTGGTAAGCGTTGTCAGTAACGATAGGTGGTGGAATGAGCAACGCCATTGAGAACTTCATCAAAAGCGAGTTCCCAGTTGTAGAAAGTGGATTACCCGCACCACAATCGAACTTTCTAGTGCAGGAGAAGCAGACGATCTACACCATAACAGTGTAATTTGCAGTTGAGTACCCGCAGTTCAGAGAATTCTAAGGGAGTTTTCTAAGGGTCATTCTGAGACGATAATTACCGTCTAAAAAGACCTCCAGCTCCCTCTCACAGTGCCAAAATACAGATACCCTAGTACGTACTTGTGCTGCTACTGGGGATACTATAGGGCGAAAATAAATGGATAAAAGAATCCTGGCTGGCAGTGATTACTCATGACAATGCACAATCCACCCCTAGAAGATGCTAATGAACAGGTAAGCTGACTCTAAATAAGCCAACATCCTAACGGAAAGTGGTTACACATTGGCGCAAAACTATGGTATGCCAATGGGGAAAAAAAAAGGGCTATCGGTTTCTTTCATGCTACGCATAACACGTCTACAAGAGATCGCCATTCCCCTCTAGAAGATCCTCCAACTCGCAGAACGATCCCACTGTAATCCCCGCTCTCTTCTCCACACCGCACTCCACCCCCTCCGCTTCACCTTCCAGCTCAATCAGATCCGTCCAAATGGATACCTCTCCCTGGCATATGCCCTCTGCTGCTGCAGCAAGAGCCATAGCTGCAGGAGAATCAGCCACATCAGGAGCAGCAGTTACACCAGGAGCGGCAATTACACCAGGTTCGGCAGTTGTTGTAGTAACCATGTCGGAAAGTGAAGGCTGGTCCAAAGAAGGCAGGCCTTCCCCTGCACTGGCCAGGCACTTCCTTTCACTGGTGCACGTGCGCTCCAGTGTTTGCTGCACGTCGCAGCTCTCGCCACCCTGGGAATCATCCCTACCGGGCAGCCCGGAAAAAAAGGAGCGGGCGAATTCCAGCGCATCGGGGGGCAGAACTCCTCGGCTGGTCCGAGGGATCTTGTGCGGCCTCATGTGTTGTGCTGCCAGGGCAGATGGAGACAAGTGAGATGCGTCCATCGCTGCATGATACACCAGGGTTGGAAGGGCTGTCGCTGCTGCAGCAGGGTGGGGAGCAGCTGAATCGTTTCCTGCTGACAGAGTGGCCGCAGCCTGCAGCTTCTGTGATTCCACTGGTGCAGCGGTGCGCTGGGAAGGCGGTTGAGAGGAGGTCTGGGAGGAGGGCGGGGAGCAGTCGACAGAAGCGGAAGAAGCAGCGTTGCTTGGAGAGGCGCTGCGGGAAGAGTATCGCTGAGACAGGTGGTGCTGAGATGGGTCGGAGAGTGTGGGAGGTGCCTTGGTCGGCGGAGTGTGGAGGGCTGACTGGAGCGCGGAGAGTGAGGGGAAGGAGGGGAGGGAGTGCGGTGAGCAACGGTTGATACCGGTGGAAGGGACTGATGGCAACGGCGATGTCGCACGTGTTATGAGAGATGTGGGTGAGAGGGGAGCAGCGGAGTGGCAGTGAGAGGAAGGAGACGGAATGGAGGCGGGAGGAGATGTGAGAGGGTTGTGTGGAGCAATGGGGTTAACCGCGGGGGGAGCGGTGGGAGCAGCGACAGGGGCTGTTGTGCGGAGGGACCGTGAAAGGCTGTTGGGTTGGGCGGAATGCTGAACGCGGGAGCTTTGAGTCATTCCGAAGGTGAAGGGGGTGCGAGAGGAGGACAGCCATGGGGACGTAGACGAGAGGGGGCGGGCTAGGTAGGGCCGAGAGGTGGATGCGTGGGTGGGTGAGATGGACGGTGCAAGGGAGGGTGCAAGGGAGGGTGAGAGGGAGGGTGCAACGGAGGGTGAGAGGGAGGGTGCAACGGAGGGTGTGATGGAGGGTGCAAAGGAAGGGGTGACGGAGGAAGAGAGGGAGGTTGAGAAGGAGAGGGGCCATTCAAGGGCAGGGAGAGCAGACGTGGGTGTGTTGCTGCTGCTGCAGTGGGCGGCAGGTGCGAGTGAGGGACCGCGCAGGGACTGGAAAGACTGAGTTGACTGAGTTGACTTGGAACTGACTGAATCCTGTGTGAACAGTGACGGATGCTGGCACACTTGCTGCTCTTGTTGCTCTTGTTGCTCTTGATGCTGATGCGGCTGCTGCTGTTGCTTTTGCTGCAGAAGAAGCGACAGGAGCCAGGATGTTGGTATTGTTGACCTGAATAGAGCAGAGCAGAGGAGAGCAAGCGAACGGGGAAGAACACATGAGGACCAGAGTAATCACCTGACTTTCGCGTAAAAAAAAATCCTAACAGAGCGTCACCAGGAATTCGCATGCATTGCGCATTGTCTCACCTGCTATCGCACTGACGATGGTGGATCTGGTTGTCAGCGGCCCGCAGGAGCAGCGAGCGCACAGCCGACGCATCAGCAGCCTCAATGCCCTGAAGCTGCCTGGCCGAAAGGCCTTCACTCGCCCCACCGTGAACAGCGTTGCCGCCACTGCTGGTGAGTCCCGTGTTGTGGTTGCGGAGCCTCTTCATCCCGCGATCCATGGCGTGTGCATGCGTGGCATGCGATTCGGCAAACAGAACGTGGGCCAGCTGGTGGGCTGTCACCGATGGTGTGATCTGTTGCGCTCCTGCTGCTGCTCCTCCTGCTCCTGCTGCTGCTCCTGCTGCTCCTGCTGCTCCTGATGCATGCTCTCTGCCCAGGCGTTTCATGGCTGGTACAAATTGTTCTGGATCTGAAAAATCAGCCTCAACACAAGCAGCAGGTGCTGGACTGAACTCAGGTGCATGGTCAGGTGAAACATCAGATGTTGTCAGATTGTCTCGAAGACCAGGCGGGAGGAACAGCTGCATGCACTCGACCAATGACAGCCCGCCATATTGCAACGCCACGTCAGGACGGCTCCACATGCGCCGCTGTGGTTGGCCAGCAGACGGGGAAACACCAGGGCCTTGCTGGAACTGTTGCTGAGCTGGCAGTGTGACGTCAGCATGCTTCTGAGTAAACTTCCTGCAGACACAGAGGAAAGTTCCGCGCGGCATGAGCGAGAGGAAGAGGCACGGGTTAGATAAAGCAACTGTCAGCTGCGAAGAAACCCGTGCGAATAGAAACGCACAGCTTGGTGAATGACATGACATGACATGACATGACATGACATGACATGACATGACATGACATGACATGACATGGCATGGCATGGCATGGCATGGCATGGCATGACATGGCATGGCATGGCGTGTGCGGCTCACTTTTTGAGGAAGAGGAAGCGGTTACAGCACGCCTTGTTGCCGCGTGTGAGTTGCTTCCCTCGCACCAGGCGCCCCCACTGCCGCGTGCCGTGCCTCAGCGCTTGCCGCAGCAGCACCGCGTCCTCCTGCGAGAAGGGGACAATGGGGGACACGCGATAGATAGAGGGCAAGGGACAGCGGGTAGCGACAGAGCGCGATCGAGGGTAAGCGACAGTGGGTAAGCGATCGAGGGCGAGCGACAGAGGCAGAGGAAAAGGGCCGTAGTGGTAACCAGGCTGCATTGTGCCTTGACATTGCGAAAATGCTGCAGGCTGCGGACAGTCGCGAAGCAGCTAAAAGCCGAACCGCCACGGAAGGGAGACCAGGCATAGGTATTGACCTAGTAGGTGACAATATCGTAGATCGTACGCCATATTTTGGAATTCTCAAAACATCGTAGATCGTATGTCACAGCACGTGAATCCGAAGCGCGGCCGTACCTCCATGGTCCATGGCTGCGAGGACGGCGCGAATCGCAGAACGGGAGGCGATTGATCCGCCACGGCGGGAGGCTGCGAGCCTGCATGTCGCGACTCCGCTAGCTGGGTCGCCATGGCTTCGGGTAGAATTATAGTCGATGTCTTTTGGAGAGGGGCAGCGGTCAACTGCGTCCCCTGGAAGCTGGGGGACCAGACCGTTACGATCAACGCGATCCGAGTGGGAAGAGGCAAGCGACGCGCCACGTGTCACGAACTGAGTCGAGATCGAAAGCAGAAACGGGTGCGCGTCCGAAGCGGCGCGAGTTGGGGATCAGTGTCAATACAGAGGGCTCACTCCTCGCGTTCGACAAGAGAATTGGCGTTCTATGGAGGGAAGGAAGGCACCCTTTGAGAAATGCTCGGTCGCGAGAGTGCTCTATTTCGTTCCGTTGCGGCCTCGTGCTACTGTAATAGCTGCTGCGTATGGGAGGAGGGAGCGTGTGGAAAGTAAGTTGGGAAGTACGGCGGGGAGGAAATATACTAAATACTGGACACGTTCGAGAGTGCAACGGGAGCGGTGTTGCGGCACTAGCGCCAACTCACATCCCACCCGCTGCGACCAACGAGAGGGGGAGGTTGGATTGCGATGGAATCCCGAGCGGGTGACAGAGAAGCGTGTGGGGGATAGGCTTTTTGCGATGAGTCCGAGGGAGCCATGGCGCGAGTCGAGGGTTTTCGCTCGGGGTGACGACGAGACGAGACGAGGGACCGCGGAAAAGAGGGGAGGGTGCTCACGGAAAGGCGTCGCGATTCCCCTCCCCCACATGCACGGCCCATGGGGGGAGATCCGCGCAATGTGGAACGACCACCTTGCGCTTCTTTCCGTTTTGCACGTCTCCTGTCCGCGTTAGCGCAGTCTCCGGCATCCCGTCTACAGAATATACACACCAGGCAGCAGAGGGTGTACAGTAGCGTACACGTCCTATCCAGGCTGGAGCTCCTATGGAACTATTTGGAGTTGTTCCAACGACCATGTTGGGTTCCGCGGCGGGATCGCGATGCTGATCGCGATTGCGCTTCTGATGCAAGTTAGACGCTATCATCCAGCCTAGTATAATTGAGGTAATGATCAGCGCATGGCCTGTTGCGACATTTGCGGCCATTGGACGGGCCAACGGCTTTTTTTGGCTGTCGTATGCCATGATGCTGTCGCCGCAAAATCGAGGAGGCGACGCACCTGGCCACCTAGCGAATAAAATAATCGCCAGGCTCACGGTGAAGCGCACATGCGTGTGCGTTTGCGCAGGTGCAAGGCTTTTATTGAAGGGCATCGACGTGGAAGGCTGGGATGAGAGCTGGCCATTCCGACCGTACGCTACATGACACACGTGGAGGGGGGTGATTTAGAAACTGAGGTCCAGCGATCTGGTGTGAGGGAAGGAAGACGACCTCTGAGTCTCTGTCTGACCTGAGGTTGGTCCCCAGAAACGCTGAGGGAAGCGTTGTCAGTAAGGATAGTGGTGAAAGGAGCCATGTCTTGAAAACTCGGAACTTAGCAGGCCTCCTCGAGCCGAGTGTTGATGACAGTGGTTATCCATGCTTCCCCACTGATCGGGTGGAGCAGACGATCTTATCGAAACCGTGCGAGAGGGTGTAAAGTTCAGTGTTCTCTTGGGACTCTCTAAGTAAAACACTTAAATGGTGTTCAAAGTACCGTACCGTACCGTACCGTACTCTCTTTTTTGCTGGGTGGCTGGCTGTTGGATAGCCATGCCACGAGGGCTGTCATTCAATACATGTTCCGTCAGCAAAATCGAGGGTTGTCATTCAATCTGCTTCGTCAGCAAATCGAGGGTTGTCATTCAATATGTTCCGTCAGCAAATCAGAGGGTGTCTTGCTCATCAAGGGTAGAAAGTGCAATGTGAGGGTATTTCGGTACTGACCAATATTTTCACGAGTTCGTTCGTGTTCGATCGCATTGCTGTGTCAACTGACAGCACTTCACTTGATTAAACATTAGTGCCAAACACACTCGAACTCGAACAATCACGTTATTTTTCTTTTCTCTAAACACACGCTCCCCCTTCTTCTATGCATTCGTCAGGGAAGCTTTCAGGGGTGATAGGGGTACAGAGTTTATAAAATACGCTTTAAAAGGGATCAAATCGAGGATTCGAAAGGGTTGTTTCTACGGAGTCACGTGTATGCATCATCTCGTGCTGATGATTCAATCGGCACTGGCCTCTTCAAAACTTTCAAGGAACCTTCTATATTTCCCGCACTACACTTTTGTGAACTTTGACTGTCGTTTGAGAACTGCTATAGCCATACACAACTCATCTGCTGGATATAGGAATGAGCTGGCTATCTAAAGCAATTTGCATGATCAGCAATTCTTTTTCAACTTATTTTCTGCTCTCCCACTCTCTCTAAAGGATGACAAAGTGTGCGCATTAACATCATACAGAGGATACACTAGCATAATGCATTACACGCAATTTTTATATTACAGCATAACCGTACTACCACCTAACCCTCCGTATTAGCCTCCAATTTCCTGTTTGTTACCTGTGCTGCGATCAGAAGTTGATCGTTGCCTAGGATCTACTCAGGAAGGTTCGCATGCAGTACCGTAATGTTGGTGGGCCCTTGACCTCAATAGCAGAGTGAATGTAAAATGTTTGAGATGATTAAAACATGCAAATACATCGATATAAATAAGAGTACAGGGAATACGAAACGACCTAACTAGCCATGTACTCTAAGGGGTACATTCACTTATTCAAATGCATCCCCAACCGTGCGACCCGTACAGTTTCGTAACTGTTCCCGCCAAAACCATCTTGCCAATAGTTGCCTGATGCCGTCTGCTCCCGACGGTCCAGATGTGCTGTAACCGTCTGACGGTTCGATTCAACTCCAACCGTCTGACGCTTCGCGTTCATTCCCGATATTGCCTGCTTCTCTTTGCTGCGGTGAGGAGTGCACAGTAAT